AAACTTTTCTAAGGGTTTGTATGGGACAACGGGAGGTACTTACAGTGCACGCATTTTCCGTCCTGTCATGAGGCCTGGGTCACCCTGTCTTTAACCCATATTTTCACAAAATTGAGAATAACTTAGCTATTTTGCGAGGGATTTTCCTCATACTTGGCAGAAATGTGTATCACTACCATCTCTCTCGGACTGAATTGTGGCAGCGTAATATGATACTCTCAACAGCCAAAAACAGTTAATTTAGGCGCCAAATTCGTCGGTTGCTTTCTTGAGCAAATTCCCACCACTAAACACAAGGCAAATCAAAATGCAGTTATCGCTGTGAATATTTGAGACGTTTTTCATTGTTTTCCCACTTAGAGTGGCTGCCAAAAAAAAAAAGAGATGTGCTAGGCAGATTAAATCAAGTTTTGTCTCTGCGAAGCTGCTTCCTCTATCATGGTTTTCGCCCGAAAACATCTTAGCCCTTACCTGGTTCCAACCACTATCAACGAAAGTAATCCCACAGGTTCCTATTTATTTGGAAAAAAGACAAATTAAAACTGTTTAAGAGGTGGGAATTTTGAAAACTCGCAGTCACGTAATTCAACTTAGTGTCCGCCATTTTGACACGCAAGTCACGCGAGTGTTCAAAAGCAATAATTTAACGGCTGATACACTACCAAATACTAATTGGAGCAATCTCAGAAGTAATACAGGCAAACTTTGTATACTTTTGATGATATTTATTTCTTTTTCTCGTTTTCTGAGGTCGATTGCATCTCTGTAAATCCAGGGTTAGATCGCCTTTGACAGTTCTAATAAAACACAATTGCAAATTTGGGCGGTAAGAATAAAGAACGTTTGTAATTTTATCCCAAGTAGTATCATATAACGAGACTGAATTACAATTTTGGCGCAAAACTTGAAAGTTATCGCACTGATTCCTTGAAACTCTTCAAGGTTTTGTTCCCTAACAACGGTACTACTCGATAACGAGCTAAGTATATTCGTGTGAAACGAAAATGTCTGTCATTTTTAATTGTGGATTTGCAAGAGTTGCTGTAAAGGAGAGCTTTCGTAAGGTTGGAAGTGCTTCGGTTGCAACTAACCCTTGTGAAAAGTGGAAGAACTATCTTGCAGCGTGTGGAGGTTGTCAAGTGCACTATTATGCCATCCATAATTTTTTCCCTAGTGGAGAAACTTTCAAAACCCGAAAACTTTTAAAAGAGGCCCTTATTGAAAGTGAAGACACAAAGTAAAGTGAAACCAACGCAAAAAGCCATTAAAACTGCTGTAAAACACATTTATTCAAAGTGAATGGCCACTTTGAGAAAACATTTAAAATAAACTTTGCTGAAGCACAAACAAAAGTGAAGGAACTTCAGTTCCAAAAAAAAGAAAGACGCAATTGAGAAAAAGCGGCAGCGTCGAGGGAGAGCACGCCAAGAAAAAAATAAAATCTAATGCTAATGTCTAGTCCATCTGGAGGAGGAGTAATGTTTCTAGTTACTTTGCAGTAATTTGCATGCCAAACAATGAGATCAACAATCTTCACCTTTACTTGTGTTGCAATCTAGCATTTATTTAAGCACACTCTCTATAACATATTTGCCTTCATTTTCCAGTTTTTAAAAGGAATGCAAGTACCATATATTCCACTGTAAACTTAATCATACTGAACTTCTTCCAACCAATGGAGAGAATATAATACTGGGAGAAGGACCCTATGGTTGATGCCTTCTGAGACAGTACACATGATTTGATATAAAGGTTGTGGAAAAACAGTTTCTGATGCAGGACACCACAGAGATAATGAAGGAGGCTCACATTATGCAGGCACTCACACATAAAAATATCCCAATCATAATAGGTGTGCAGCTTCAAAAATACATCTGTAACAATAAGCAAACTATTGTCTTGTCAGAAAAACAGTGCAACAATACAGAATGTGCAAAGCTCACTCATAACAAATGACTGGTTAATTATTTCACATGATTTGACAGAAGCCCTTTCACATATTCACACAAAAGGCTTTCTTCACTGTGATTTGAAGGCTAATAATTTTCTTGTGAGTAACAAACATGGCTACATCATCGATTTTGGAAAAGCATGTGACAGCTCCTTTCCTCCTGCAAAGAATTAATGAAGCCAGTGATATTTTTTCCATTGGTAAAATTCTGTTCAAAATAGGTGTTAAGCAAAACATTCCACTTTTGGTTACCATGGCTCAAGAATGTTTGGATGCCAGCCCTGTAAGAAGACCAACAACAACAGGCATTATGGCAACACTGGCTTCCATAATATCTCACTGAATACTATAAACTTAAGCAGAGGTTTTACAGGCCTGACACTGGGCAAATTGACTGGCTGGGAACATAATTTTTCCCGCATGTTGTGACTGACATAAATCAGAATCAAAACATATTTTGCCTGCTTCTTTGTACATTTCCCATCACCTCAAAATCTTAATGAAACCTCTGCTTAAGAAAGTAATAATTAACACTCTAATCAGGTAAAGTGACCCTAGCCATGTCATGGCAGGAGTCTTTTTATTGGGCTTTGCAAGGTTAAAATTACAATGTATGTGCATGTCTTTAGCAAGTTTATTTGTGCTCTTGGTCTAAACTAATTTTGTACTTCTGCTTTACGAATTGTGAATGAATGTTAGAGGGACATTTTTAATAATGCACAGATAAGGTGCTCTAGGGTCCATCAGGTACAAATTACTTCATAGGTCATACTCATGTCTATAATTTTACATCGCTGCTAGATAACATACATGTACCGATTTATTTCCCAATTCCTGCCAATTATTGATATATGAAATTGAATTTAGGCAAGCAACTGGCAGATCAAACTTAAAATTATAAACCAGAGTTTTAACCAGTTAGGCTACCATAGCCTTCTAACAGGAATATTGACTTGGAAGAGCAACAAAAAAAGCAAGAAATACAATTTTAAAATTTTCCTTTCTGACTTTGTAACAAGGGCAACCTATCCTGCTCTTATGATGGCACATCTTTTATGAGTAGGGCTGAGAAGATGACACATCTTACACCAGTTTGTGTTTGCTCTTGTCACAAAAAAAAACAGTGCCCCACTTGGGGCAACAGTAAGCACTGATAATTAATCATGTCTTATCAACAAAGAGAGAAGGCTATGGTCAGAATCATATGCATGTATCAGAACTTTTGTGATGCATTTGAATTAAAAGATACTCCACTGGTGTAGTGGGTAGAATATTTACATTCAAATAGACACATGTATCAATTACAAGTCCATCATTGACAATGATTGTTGCAATTATTACCGGTCAAAACTTAAAGACCAAACTGTTGACTATAATTAAAACTGATATAACATGATTTAAAAACCAAAAAAATGCCTCATAAATAACACCATTAACATGCTTGTAATAAATTAGTTGTGTGGAATAACTGGAAGGACCTCTTCAAGAAAACAAATAGGGATAACAGTAAATAAAACTGGTTTTATAATCAAGTAGATTTTGGAATCTGCAAGGGCTGGCTGGTTTTCTGTGTGAGTAATTAAAATTATTATTATTATATATTTATAGCAATTCAGTAAGGGACCTCGGAATAAACTAACACACAGTACAGCTTTTTTCCTCTTAGAGGGACAATTTATGACAAGACAATCTGCATCTTACATGTCAGCAATTAAACTTACCTAACAACTGCTTTGGGAGATTACGTTTGTCAGTATATTCATCTGCTTCTTGAAGAAATTGTTTCCAAAGCATTCAAAAGCCTAAATTTTGATAAACACCATAAGTTTACACATGATGTGATAGAGGATTTATCAACTGAAGCTAAATTTAATTTCAAAATTGAATGGTATATCCACAATGAAACTTTTTTCTATGCATTTGTTACAAAACATAGTACTTTTTTCTATGCAAAAGCTACAAACATTGTAAAACGCTATTGAGCTCTAGAAATGAGCGCTATATTTTAAATTCATGTTGCATTGTATTTGTAGTGAAGTCAATGAACATAGGTAGGTTCTATTTGGCTTTAAGACAGCGATATCATGTCATTTTTTGAGGAAATGAAGATAGCAAAGAAAATGTTATTACCATCTTTTGATGTCTTCCTCTAGATTGTCGGATTCACCAGCGAAGATGGGAAAAACCAATGCAAAGCCGACACTTCAAAATGGCGGATACAGTTCACGAACTACGCGATCTTGATTCCAAGTAACTATGGTTACTCTCGCAGTCCACGCGAATTCCGCGAACCTTGCTGGGGGGGGCACTGGAGGCGAAAACCTGAATTGTTGTTTTGCTCACACAGTTCAAATCGAGCGTAGCAGAATTTAGAGGTTTTCTATTTGTCTTATTTAAAATGGGTAATAAAGCATCCATTCGTGGTGTAGTAACTACAGCTTATCAAGCTGATCGAGACGACGGTTCTGATCTGTTTGATTTGGTAAAGTATTTGAGCGCCGAATCAAGAAAAGCCGCTCTGGAAACAAAAATTAAAGATGGCGACGACCTTGCCACTCCTCTCATCATCGCTGCTCGTGATGGAAAACTGGATTTTGTGAAGGTTCTTTTACGTTATGAAGCAAACATCGAGGCCCGTGGAACGATTAAGATTGACGGAGAAGTTATAGAGGGTTGTACAGCTTTGTGGGTCGCTGCTGCTAAAGGTCATTTTGATGTTGTGAGACTCTTGATCGAACAAAACGCTGAAGTCGACAGCAGAACATCGAAAAATTCGACTCCGTTGATAGCTGCTGCCTTTATGGGACACCTTGATATTGTACGCTGTTTGGTTGAGAACGGGGCCGATGTAAATGCACGCAATAATTTCAATAGTACTCCTCTGATGATAACATGTCACAGCGGCCACCTGGATGTTGCATCCTATCTTGTCAAACACGGCGCAAACATAAATCTACAAGACAACAATGGAAGCTCGTGTCTTCATTGTGCTTCGGAACGGGGTCATGTTCAGCTAGTTTGTGAGTTGCTCGCTTCAGGAGCAAAGCAAACACAAAATCTTAACCGTTTAACACCACTTCTTGAAGCCAGTAATAATTGTAAAATTGAAATGGTGGAGTGGTTCATCAACCGACCACAATGTTCAAAGGAAGAAAGAATTGATGCTCTTGAGCTTCTTGGGGCCACCATTGCTAATGATCCTCATGCCTACGACATCAAAAGAGCGTTTCGTTTCATGAAGCGAGGAATGGAGGAGAGGTATGAGGATCCGTCATGTCCTTTGCTTAAAAAGAAAATGGAACCAGTGGAGGCTTATCAAAATAGAACAGAGAGTCAAACTCTTGAGGAACTTTCTCTTTTAGAAGGTGATGATCATGCTATCCAGATGGAGGGACTTATGGTGAGAGAGAGAATCCTTGGAACTGATAATACAATACTACGGGACCTGATAGCTAAGCGAGGAGCTGTCCTAGCTGATTTTAAGAGGTACGAACTCAGCGTCGGTTTGTGGACACGAGCAGTGAAGTTAGCTATGAATTACAATGTTCCAAAAACACTGGAGCTTAAATTCCTCACAAATGTAATTGCAGAAATGATGCAGAATGGTCACAGTTTGAGTCCAAAAACTATCGAGAACATTTTTGAAAAACTTATCGATGGAAGAAGGAAACTGACCGAAAACTTGAAGCCTGGAGAATTGGAAGAAGAGCACAAAAGTGAGGTGCAAGAGACATTGCTTTTTCATGCTCTATATCTCTTGGTGATGTACACCAAAGTGCAAGTTTCCTTGGAAATGAAAAATGACAACTTGATTGATCTTCTTCAAAGATTTCTGTGTTTAGAACCTCGCACCCGTGATGGAAATACACTTTTGCACTTGGCTGCATGGCATAAGACTCCTGTTCCTAGAGACATTGTAGCTAATTGGCGAGGTGTTTGCGAACTTCCCTGTGTTGAGACCATGAAGCTAATTTTATATGCGGGGTGTGATGTGAATTCCGTTAATACCCAAGGAAACACTCCTCTTCATTTAGCCGTCACTTTTGTACCAGGACCTGAACAAGTAGACATTTTGAAAGAAATGCTGGAGTTGTTGTTAGATCTTGGCGCAGATACAAAGCTTGTTAACAAGAATGGTCAAACAGTTATGGACTGCTGCGAGACTGACGAAGCCCGAGGCATCCTGTCTGCAAAAGGAGGACTGGGCACCATGAACATCGAGGCCAAAAAGGTAAGAAAGGTTTCATTTGTAACATCTTATATATTCTCCTTAAATTATCACAGTTAACATCCTAATGAAATGGGAGAACTCTTAGTTCATTTCTCCATAGGATCCTGTGTGGATTATGTTTCGTAACGCTTGGTTACCTTTCTTTTACTTTAATTGTCTCCGAACTTATCTTTTTGTGAATAAAAACAATTCATTTTGATGCTCTGATAATCAAAGGAAGCATCAATTCAGTGCGTTGAAAATTGAGTGTCAACACTGAAAATAGATGACCCATCAGACAGTTAAAACGTTTATATGTCAATATGCCCACCTTCCCCCCACCCCAAAAGAAAAAGAAAAGAAAGCAATTTGCCTTTCAAGCAATAGCAAGCCGTGAGATAAAGCTAACAGGCGGGCTTTACCGCGTTCGACTTGTTGATAAAATTAACAGACTTATGATCCCCCGTCTGATTTATGTTTGTACAACAAAAACAAAGCAATTTAAATTTAAGTTCAAACAGCAAACCGAGAAGATTTGAAGTAATTATTGGTTGTCGATGAATCGGAAGGAATTGTAAAACAGTAAGAGCGCACTGATCCCTAATAATGATTGGAAACATTTTTGTGGGCCTTTCCTTAATTCTGTAGTGTGACTCACGTTTCATTAAAAGTTTATTTGTATAGTTTTGCGGTCTGGCTTTAGCGTCGGTTGATTTCGTTCGCATTTGTTGTATAATGACTTGTTTACTTATCATACAAGCAGTGAAAATGAATTTGCGTGGAAGACTTACGGAAAAGCGGTCATTAGGAGTGAAATTATCAGTTAATAACTCGATGAAATTATTGTCCTGGATGGGGCACTACGTTGTGGCCTTAAGCAAGTCGCTTCACTCACCTTGCTTCGTCTTCTCGGATAAGACGTGAAGCCGGAGGTCCCGTCTCCTGCAGGGTTTGGGGTAGGAGACGTTAATTTCCCACGCACGAGATTACTGTGTGATGGATGTCCTCCCCTGGGTTGGGTTGGGTGGATCTCTAATACACGTACACGTTTAAACGAGAACTTCGGTACTCCTAGGTGTCACGTGTTTAAATATATATATATAAGGATAAGAAGGCGTAACTGCCGATGACATCCCTCTACAGCGCATAATATAACTGGCAACTATCATAATAATCCTAAAAGCTCATCAGTCTTTTTGTTGTACATTTGATATCATCTTGAATTGCTTGAAGCTTGAATTTCCAGGGCAATTTGTCAGTATGGAATCATCACATGGGGAGTTCGTGTAAAATAAGGCAAATAATAAGGCAAATCATGTAAAAACGTAATATTTAAGTTCCTGATAAAAATACTGCAAGGCCCAGATTTTTTTAATTTCGTTTGGCAGGGAAACTCAGTGTAAATGTACCAAAATGTTTTTATCCCCTCAGTTGCTATGTGTTTTCCATTTTTTTCTAAGAATAAAGTAACTGGAAGTGGATTTCGTGAAGGAAGAGGGGGTACACTTGTTCTTGGAACCCAAAAAACCTTGAATGAGAATGTTAAAAGGAAAATGAAGAAGAGATCAGGTAAGAGGATCTTGTGCACTGTAAAATGAAAAGAGCCAAACTGACCCCAAAAGCCAAATTGGCCCCAATTTCTCGAGGGCCAATTTGGCCCATCAAGGTTCGTTTTGGACTATTTGAACCATAACAGGTGGGACAGGTACCATTTCGACCCCTCTAAAATCTGAATTGGCCCCTATGAATTCTACTTTGGAACTTTTTCTCAATTTGGCCCTTCCAAAAGCCAAGTAGGATTGACCAATTTGGCCCCAACGAGGTGCAATTTTTGAAAAAAAAAGAATATAAAAATAATTTTCTTTTTTCTACCATATTTCGTTCCCCATACTATTCCTTATAACGTGTTCAAATTTTCAACGGTTCCTCTCGTAACTGAACACCGAGTCACACAACGAATTAATCGTTGGCTTTTTCTCGAGACGTGAGCGTGGCCGCCTGTGATCGTATTAGTCGAACCTAGACCACGTGCGTCGGACACAATAATGAATTATAGCAGCGAATTCATCAGTGAAGAGGCTGTTTCTTGGCTACAGTCGCATGGAATGAGACTTAAGAAAGGAAAGGTAAGCAAAAGAAATTTCTTAACAACGTATTTTACTGCAACTTTACATTCACAAACTTGACCGCTCCCTTGATCTTTGTTCGTATCTTATCTTGCAGAAAAGGACGGTTGCGATGGCCAAGATCTCCTTGCCATCGCCCAAGATGCAGATGTACCAAGGCACTACATCCCTATTATAAAAGAGTGTCTAACGTTCAAGAAATTGATTGCAATGAACGCTGAACCTAGAGATGACATGAGTTCTTCGTCGTTACGATAATTAATTTTCCCACCAGAGAATTTGACGCATGAATGGTTCGCCTCTTCTCCCGAGTCCTGTTGAGTCTCAGCGGTCACGTGATCAAATTTTGGCGCCGAGAGATAGAGACGGTTACAGTTCGAATACTACATTTGCACAAGGTGGATTTAACTTATTTCAAGATTCTCTGATTTTAGGATCTCTCACTCTGAATTCTTAATATTTTTCTTGAAAAGATGAACTGATATTTTTAAGTCTATGTCTTTGTTTGCATCCACTTAAGCTGATTGTTTTGGCTCTCTCTCTTTCAGCGTGCAGAATCAAGTCCTTCGAGTAAGACGGTTCAAAGGTCGATTGATGATTCAGATAACATCAGCGATTATGAAAATTTAGAGGTGACATTGGCACCGAAAGAAAAGGGTAAATCGCCCAAGGATCTCAGTTTTACGGACGAGGCGACAGAACTGAGCACTGTCTAAGTAAGTTATTGTACATATATTAAACTTAGCAGGATGGTGAAGAGTACATTATCGATTACTTTCTTTCGATTATATCCCAAAGGAAAACACACAAGGTGCCAGTTGGTCAGTTAAAGATGAGAAATCTCGGGGATTGCACCCACTAAAATGGCGAGATTTGCTTTATTTTTATTGAAATATATTAGATATGTATCTACTTGCACCATGCATAAAACAAAGTAAACCCAATGTTTAAATCTGGTAAATTAAAAAATTAGTGAATTGATAGCATGTTATCAAACAGTTTAATTTTTTTGAAAACAAATATTTACCTACAGGTTCCTCCTGGATGGCTTTCAAAATTCCAACTACCATCGAGGGTAAGAAACTTTTCTTTGTTTTGTTTTTTAAGTCTACAAGCAATCCTTATTTATTCATGAATACTGAACTAAAACTGAAGTGCATAGAGCTATGATTTCTTTTCTTGATAAGTACATATACAGTTTGGTGAAAATACATCATTGACGATCACCATTATTGTGTTTTTACTTCTTATGCACAGTTTGCTTACAAATATTTTGCAACTTTGTAGTTGCAAAAATTTACTGTTCTCCAACAACAAATTAATTTACTCATTTATTTGTTTTTTGTACAGTTCTCTGCCTCAGTAGAGTTGGATATCCAGAAGGGATATCTCATCAGCAGCCTAAAGTACTCTGAGCAGCAGTGGATTGCAAAAAAAAATTATTACAGAGTATCCTTGTATGGCTAGCAGGATACTAGACTAAGTTGACTTGGAAACTGAATTGATTGGTTTGGTTTAAAAATCTATTGCTTCACCTCTTCTGCTTGCAGTGAAGAGAGACAATTTTGCGGTGCTGAATCTCTTGCCTATAAAAAGTTGCAAAATAATCACTCTGACCTTTTAAGTTCATGACCTTTGTTCTTGTGTGTTTGTCATCACATATGCATTTAATGAAGTTGGGACCATTTTGGAGGTACGAGTCCAAAAAACTGCTACTTTGGTACTAAGATGAACAGCTAAAATTTCTGAGCCCATTTGCCAATGAAGTTCAGATACAAAGGTTCAAGTACTTTGGGGTTGTATTAATTTTGCCTTTTTTTGTTTAGTTTTTTTGATTTTGCAATTTTTCAAAAAATTCCTGTTTTCAAACCATTAGATAAATATTGCACATAGAATAGCTGATTCTTTTCAGATATTTTGGGAGTCATACATTAGTTTTTCAAGTTTTGAAGGGGAGACAAATTATACACATTGAGCTAAATTTCCACTTCCATTTCGGGTGTTTTAGCTTATGGTTTTAGAAAAACATTATACAACTTTAAAGTTCAGCTGTTGCGTAGCAACGCTTTGTTTCTGTGTCGGCATGAAGATACGAGTTCGTTACGCTTATTTAGTGATGAGAGGTCGGGTCGGTAAATTATCAGGAATTTTTCTTTTAGGCAGAGGTTGCATCTTTTACTGGAGCTGTTGTAGGGAGAGTTAGATGATAAGACGCGCCATGAAATAGAATAGTCAATGTTGTCGTTCTTGAGTGTCCAGATGTGTTTGCTAAGTTCGGTAGAGTTTTTGTGCTTGGCGTGGCGGAATGATGCGGTGTGATTTCTGTGTCTTGTTTTGAAGAAACCGACTTAAAGTTTTTAACGTATTAAGCACTGTTCCACGCGAAAATCGACTTGCAGACTTCATATATATATATATATATATATATATATATATATATAAATATTATATATAAATGTGGAGGCACAGGCAGACTCTTGTCACTGTTTCCTCTGTTTTCAATGACTTGGCAAATGCCTGAGGTAGTTCTTGCCGATAGTTTACATTTTGGTAATATCTAAAGTAGCAATATGAGTGCATGTGTTCTCACATCCACTGGAAGAATACTCTATGCTGCCCTAAGGCTCTTTGTTTTTCATATGCACAAATCAAACAAGATCTATATTCTTCTGCAGGAACTGGACCATTTGTTGCCTCTGTCTTATTTTGATAATTTTCTGTACTTTAAATCAGTCTTAACTATAAGCTGTTTTACATTACCACATGTGCTAAGTCATTGAAAAGGGAAGCTTTACTCACAAGTGTCTCTTGGGTGTAATTTCTTGCAATGCTTGCACTGTTAAGAAGTATACTGATTTAGGGAAGAGATCTATTTTAGAAAATGGTTGAATTAATGTTAAATATGTATGTATGTTCTATTCTTTCACATGATGTTTCAAAGTTTGTCTGTTTTAAACCACAATTAAGATTCTTAATAACTGTAAAATCAAGTAGTGTAAAAGGTTTTTACATAAACAATATCTAGACCCTAATAAATGAGTGTTTGAAAGATAAAGTATATATATAAAGTATATAGTGTATTTTCATTATTTGACTTTAAGGGGGAAAATCAGTATTGATAGGAAAGAGCCCTCTACTCTTGAAGTGGCCCACATTGGAGCTGAATTGGCTATTTTTAAAGGGGCTATTTGTGAGAGGGCTGAAATTTTGGGGGCTGTTTTGGCCCCTATAAATTTCAAAGTGGCCCCTGTATTTTTCAAATTCGCCCTTCACGTGGTCCAATGTGGCCCCTACAACGGGGTCGATTCAGCCCCAAAATTGGTGCCAAAAACAGCCCCATTTCAATGGGGCCGAATTGACCCTAAGCGAGTACCAAACTGGACTCACTCGTTTTGGCCCCATTTTTGGGGCCAAATCAACTCTTTTAATTTTACAGTGTGGAGGAACAAATTTGTATAGAGAAATTATTGTCGGAAAGACTAGTGGGTTCTGTTATGGGCTTTTAGGTAAAGATATTGGGTAACGGAGGAGAACTGAATGTATTACAAAAATGTTTTACGCGGATAGCAGGCTGGGTGCCAAGTAATCTAAAATGGAATCCAAAATCATTTAAATCCTAAGTTTGAACGTCTTTTGATATGAAACTTACCCAGAGAGAGAGAGAGAGAGAGAGAGAGAGAGAGAGACAGAGAGAGAGAGAGAGAGAGAGAGAGAGAGAGAGAGAGAGAGAGAGAGAGAGAGAGGATGGGAGAGAGGAATATGTTTTGAGTTTTCGGTTCACGCTCTGTGAGACAAACTGAAAAATTCCTTGTTCTATTTTCATTATCTAAGGACTATTAAAAGAATCGACACAGCAGCTGGAAAACGTTCAAGAGCAACTAAGAAACAGAGATGGAGAACTGAGGGAGATGACACAGCAGTTGACAAATGTCCGTAGGCAACTACAAGAGAGAGATGGACAACTATCAGAAAAAGCTCGCCAACTAAGAGAGAGAGATGAAGAACTGAGGAAGAAGACACAGCAATTGACAAAAACCCAGGGGCAACTACAAGAGAAAGATGGACAACTGAGGGAGAAGACACAGCAGTTGACAAGTACTCAGGGGCAACTACAAGAGAGAGATGAACAACTGAGGGAGAAGACAAAGCAGTTGACAAACACTCAGGGGCAACTACAAGAGAGCGATGGACAACTGAGAGAGAAGACACAGCAGTTGACAAATACTCAAGGGCAACTAAAAGAGAGAGATGGACAACTGAGAGAGAAGACACAACAATTGACAAATACTCAAGGGCAGCTAAAAGAGACAGATAAACAACTGAGGCAGAAGACACAGCAGTTGACTAATGTCCAAGGGCAACTACAAGAGAAAGGTGGACAACTGAGGGAGAAGACACAGCAGTTGACAAATACTCAGGGGCAACTACAAGAGAGAGATGAACAACTGAGGGAGAAGACAAAGCAGTTGACAAACACTCAGGGGCAACTACAAGAGAGAGATGGACAACTGAGAGAGAAGACACAGCAGTTGACAAATACTCAAGGGCAACTAAAAGAGAGAGATGGACAACTGAGAGAGAAGACACAACAATTGACAAATACTCAAGGGCAGCTTAAAGAGACAGATAAACAACTGAGGCAGAAGACACAGCAGTTGACTAATGTCCAAGCGCAACTACAAGAGAAAGGTGGTCAACTGAGGGAGAAGACACAGCAGTTAACAAATACTCAGGGGCAACTACAAGAGAGAGATGAACAACTGAGGGAGAAGACAAAGCAGTTGACAAACACTCAGGGGCAACTACAAGAGAGAGATGGACAACTGAGAGAGAAGACACAGCAGTTGACAAATACTCAAGGGCAACTAAAAGAGAGAGATGGACAACTGAGAGAGAAGACACAACAATTGACAAATACTCAAGGGCAGCTAAAAGAGACAGATAAACAACTGAGGCAGAAGACACAGCAGTTGACTAATGTCCAAGGGCAACTACGAGAGAAAGATGGACAACTGAGGGAGAAGACACAGCAGTTGACAAATACTCAAGGGCAACTACAAGAGAGAGATGGACAACTAACAGAAAAAGATCGCCAACTAAGAGAGAGAGATGAACAACTGAGGGAGAAGACAAAGCAGTTGACAAACACTCAGGGGCAACTACAAGAGAGAGATGGACAACTGAGAGAGAAGACACAGCAGTTGACAAATACTCACAGAGAGAGATGGACAACTGAGAGAGAAGACACAACAATTGACAAATACTCAAGGGCAGCTAAAAGAGACAGATAAACAACTGAGGCAGAAGACACAACAGTTGACTAATGTCCAAGGGCAACTACAAGAGAAAGGTGGACAACTGAGGTTGAAGACACATCAATTGACAAACGTCGAAGGGCAACTACAAGAGAAAGATGGACAACTGAGGCAGATAAGAAATCATTTGACAGATGTCCAACGACAAGTACAAGAAAAAAATGAAGAATTTACTTCCTTGGGAAGACTGCTGAGGGCCAAACAGCGCGAAACAGACGAACTGAAGACGTCTCTTTCAGCAGCTCAAAGGGCGCTTAACGAACGTTCACGCCGTCAGACTCCTAATTGGCTCATTCCACGCGATCAGATTCAGCTGACGGGCAAATGCCTTGGAAAAGGAGCCTGGGGAAGTGTTATCGAAGGCAAATACTGTGGCTGTGCTGTCGCCGTCAAACAGATACACGAATTGATACTTTGTGATCACAACCGTAGAATGTTTGAGCGAGAGATGAGCATTGCCGCCAGATGCCGCCATCCTTGTTTGCTGCAGTTCATTGGGGCAACGAACGATGAAGGAAGTCCTTTGTTTGTGACAGAGCTCATGGAATCTAGTTTACGAGCACTGTTAGAACAGCGGTCTCTTTCTTCACTTGAAGTGTCTGTCATTTCTCTAGATGTTGCTCGAGCATTAAACTACCTCCACTTACAGAAACCATCCCCCATTATTCACCGCGACATCAGCAGTGCCAATGTGTTGCTGTGGCGGCAAGCTGACCAATGGCGAGGCAAAGTGTCAGATTATGGCACGGCGAATGTTTTGCAGCACACCATGACAGCTCGTCCAGGTGCTATAATATACAGTGCACCTGAAGCGCATACTAAACACCAAACCGTCAAGGTATGTCTGAAATTTGAATACTGGAGTTCTATTTCTCAATTGTTTGATTGTGATTGCTATGGAGTTTATTCATCATAAGATTGAAAATCAATCTGTGAAGGACTCGGTACAAAAAATTCTCATCTAATCTCTGGCTATAGTTCAAATCTTATCCTTGGTAAACTGGTCGGGTGCTTTACGTAATGTCAGTCTTTAGGGAACATGCCGCAGGACAGATCATAAAAAACATTAACTTTAACCAGCTGAGAGAAGTCGAGCCAATTTCTCTCCCTTCACTGAGCTAAAATGAGTGAGATGCTTGGATAGCAATGAGACAACATTCCTCTGATGTAAGCAGACTGCTAAAAGAAAAGAAAAGAAAGGGGAAGGAAAAGATAAATAAAAATATAGCAATTTAAACTAGCTGGCACGTTCATGCATTTTCAACTTTTCATTGTTATTCTCTTTCCGAGCTTAGGTTGATGTGTACAGTTTTGGAGTTCTACTCTGTGAGGTTTGCATCCAGGAACTTCCCGATCCTGACAGGCGCGACGAGCAAGTTGCCATGGTGACAAACGGCGTGCTTCGAGCTCTCATTCGGGGATGCCTGCAACAAGATGCTGAAAAAAGACCAAGTATGGAAGAAATAATTGATGAACTCGAACAACCAATATAAGACCAAGTATGGAAGAAATAATTGATGAACTCGAACAACCAATATAAGATTGGTTTTGAAAAGATCTACTTTCTATCTACACTTGCAATCGAGAAGAAAAGAAACGTAAAAACCTTCCGCCATTCCGCCATTCCACCATTCCACCGTCCCTGCCTTTAGGGTCACCCGGTTGTCTTATAGGTAAGATTTTACTCCAGTAACTAAAGGCGTAATTTCTTCCAGTCGGTTGTGTTTATATGTAAGATTTTGCGCCAGTAACTAACGGCGTAATTTCTTCCAGTCGGTTGTCTTATATGTAAGATTTTACGCCAGTAACTAACGGCGTAATTTCTTCCAGTCGGTTGTGTTTATATGTAAGATTTTACGCCAGTAACTAACGGCGTACTTTCTTCCAGTCGGTAAATTACATACTGTAAGATTTTACGCCGTTAGTTAACGGCTTAAAATCTTACATATATATACACCGACGCACTTAGTGGCGTAAAATCTTAGTCTATAGACTGTGTTAGTCACATCTTACGCCGTTATCTAACTACCGAATGAGATATGGCTACAATTCAAGTAGAGATAAGCATTGAAAGAAATATCTCAAATAATTTAGGTTCCTTTCGTGTAATTTCCCATATAGTGAGTACAAGGGTGTAATTCACAGAGGCAATTGTACAAAGAACAAGCTCAATAATGATATGGAGAAAAACCTTCATCCTGGTATGCACTATGTGGATCCCAGTAAAACAATAAAAGCACCATATAGTCAAGGGGATGTTGTTGTGTTGTGAGAAAATGCAGGGCAACAATGTGCAGCAATGAATTTATGTGCATTTAAATATACCACAATTTGAAAGGCATAGGCAATCTCAATGAATTGAAACAAATGATGCATATTGGAAGTCAACTATATAGCAGTTTGTCACAATTATCAAGACAATCATTTTTACTGCTAGCAGATTTAACATCAATGCCTATAGTACTAGGGGAAGATTACCAGCTAGAATACAGTGAAAGTGACACTGGTAATGTCCATGGTGGGCCTACCATTGAGGGATATCAATACTGTATGGGCCTGAAAAGAGCTTTTGAATCACATATATCAGAATGGTATAAGTCATTTATTTTAACAGTTGGATGCATTGCTGTGGGTATCAGTTACTGTGCGGATAATGGCCATTTTAAAGTGTTTGACTCACATGCTAGAGATGTTCATAGTAAAAGTCATGTTTGAGGACCGTGTTGTATCAGTATATCATCTACAGACAACTTAGTGCATTATTTCCAAAGTTTATATGGAGCAACTGATCTGTATGAACTAAAAGGTTTACAAATTACAAAATATGACATGGTAACAAGCAACAATGTAAGAGAAGTATTAAAGAGATCATCAGGTCAACACAAGTGTTACAAAGACCACTGTTTTGCAGTAGTTCTTTATTCTTTATGTTACTTGATCATTTTGCCTTGTAGTTACTGGAACTCAAATACCTTAGATGCAATCATTGAAAATCAGGATCTCAGCTTAACAATGCAATGCACAGTAAGCACTGTTTAACACCTGTTACCCTGCCTGATGGTGTTACAATTTTTGGCACTAACAAATACTAATAGCTCAACAAATAGTATTTGAGAAGATTGTGGTCATGCCTAAAGGACAACATAAAAATTAAAGGTGCAGTATGCAATGTACCTGTAGAATGTGATCAGACCTGTGATCGATTCCCTTGTCCACCTGACAGATCTAGTATTACATAATAATGGTAAAGCTTAAAAGAAAGTAACAATTTAGAGGATATGTTTATTTTCAAGCTATATGACCAGAATTAATACAGCAAGTTCTTAACTGGCTCAAAGTGCATAATCCATTATACAAAGATTTAATTATAGTAGCTGATATTACCAATATTGATAGCAACCTCACAGCTTTACAAAATGATGCAGATGATAATGACACACATCAACAAGCTACATCAATGTAACAACAGATAGTGATCCTGCATTGGAGTATGATGCAAGAGGAAATGATAAATTAAATAGTAATGTAGAAGAAAATGATGACCCCTTAAATGATTGTAGAGCCTCAGTATGCAAGACATGCTCAGAGTCAATAAATACCAAACTATCCAGTTATTACAGATAGTGAGCAGTCAATAGGAAATGAAGTCTTTAGTATAGCACCAAGAGAAAAGAAACATCCTGTCTCATTTATGCTTGATAAACAATGTGAAGAACTAGCATTTCCAGTATTGTTTCCTAAAGTTAGATATGGGTACACAGTAGAATGACAAGTTACAATTTCACCAGTGAAATACTATTCAAATGCTAGACTTTTACATTACAGTGGAAGGTTTGCCACAAACCCTGAATACCTCTTTTTTGCATGATTCTTAATTGAACAAAAGAAAGTATCAAATAGTATAAATATTGCTCTAAAGAAGGTTTATGAGCAATTCGTCACTGCTTCTTAATAAAGAGCCAATCCTCAGAGATTAGTGAACCTTATTTGCCAAGATCAAGCATATTTATTTCTGATGCAAATACCAGGAACACCACCATACTGGCAAAAATTCATGTATGAAGTAATTGTTATTGTTAAACCACTTGGCATTCCAACATGGTTTGTGACATTGTCTTGTGCTGATTTAAGGTGGCCTGAACTTCTTCAAGTATTAGCAAGAATACAAGGCAATGATCTAACTGATGAACAAATTGATGCACTGTCTTACAATGAGAAGTGTCAAACGCTCAACCTTAATCCTGTTGTAGTCACTAAACACTTTCAGTATAGAGTTGAAACATTCTTTACTGAAGTGTTGCTCACTAGTGCTAATAAAACCAATTGGTAAAATAGTGTAGGGTTTGAAGCCAATGTAGACTTGCAGCCAGTGTTTGATCATTACAAATGCAAAACTTATATCTGCTCTTATTTCACAAAGGATGAAATGAATGTTCACAAACAATAGTGAATGCAGCCAATGAAGCTAAAGCTGGGAACACAAACATTAGAGATGGCTTAAGAAAAATAGGTGCTGCATTTCTATCAACAAGAGAGGTTAGCTCACAAGAATGTGTATACAGATGTATGCCTGAACTCTGGTTGAGGAAAATTTTCCCTGCAACAGTATTTGTCAGCTGACTTAGAAGAAAAATGGGTATGTTGAGTTACTAAGACAAAACAAGAACTTAGTGACTTGGATGATGACAGTACAGTTATATTCAAATCTAACATCATTGAACACTACTGTAATAGACCAGCCTCAGTTCCTGCTGCAGGTAATATTTGTCTCACAAACAATAGTGAATGCAGCCAATGAAGCTAAAGCTGGGAACACAAACATTAGAGATGGCTTAAGAAAAATAGGTGCTGCATTTCTATCAACAAGAGAGGTTAGCTCACAAGAATGTGTATACAGATGTATGCCTGAACTCTGGTTGAGGAAAATTTTCCCTGCAACAGTATTTGTCAGCTGACTTAGTAGAAAAATGGGTATGTTGAGTTACTAAGACAAAACAAGAACTTAGTGACTTGGATGATGACAGTACAGTTATATTCAAATCTAACATCATTGAACACTACTGTAATAGACCAGCCTCAGTTCCTGCTGCAGGTAATATTTGTCTCGCACAATTTGCAACTTATCACATCATGGACTATAGAAAAGAAAACATTGAAACTATTGATGCACAACCAGAAGTGCTTACAGATGACACAATTGAAATACAACATAGTAATAGCAATTCTAGTGATTTATCATATTTGCCTAAAAGATATCATTTGATGAATAATAATGAAACTATAAAATGTAGAAAAGTCAAAGCTGTTATCATATATCATAGACCAAATAAAAGAAAACAACCTGAACTGTTTTTCCATCATCTACTTATGCTATATTAGCCATGGAGGGATGAATCTAACCTCCTTGGAAGTGATCATACATGTGTCAAAATTCAATGAAATAGGAGCACAAGACATTGTAGAACATAACAGAGCAATCTTTGAACCTGACTCAGAAGCTGCAACAAAAGCACTAGAATGGCTAAGAAACAACTGTGGCACTGTCATACATTCATATGACCCTATAAATGATCAAGAAAATGCTAAACTACAACTAGAATTCCAAGATGAATCATCAGCAGATGAGGTATTCAATGAACAAGTACCCTCACAGCTTGCTGCAAATTTTCAAACCACTGAAAATTGTGGTCCACCAGCAATAACACTATTAAATCAGCCAACAGAAATATCTCATGACCAATTATGTCAATCAGTTGGATCATTAAATAACATGCAATGCAAAGCCTATGACAGGGTGCTTTCATGGACTACATAAAATGAAAAACCTCAACAGCCTGAATTCAATTTAAATGTGAAACCCATTTATCTGTTTATAACTGGAGGTGGTGGTGCAAAAACGTACAAATATACTCCAATGAATCCTGAGAAACCCACAGTCTTACTAACAGCACCAATGGAGTAGCAGCAATAAACATTGATAGTACAACCATCAACACAGCATTAGCAATACCTAAAAATACAGGTGATGTCCTACCTGCAATGTCTGACCAGAAAAGAATACAAATGAGATTATTGCTGTCTGAGCTGAAGCTAATAATAATAGATAAGATCTCAATGGTTTGTAACACTACTCTCCTACTACTCTCGTCATGAAGAAATCTGCTGCATTCAGTCAAGATCAATAAGTTCATTAGACAGCAATTACCCATCAGATGATCTGCAGATGACCTGAAAACATCCCAGTAGACCAATACAACAATACAAAATTAGCACAGATTCCTAAACCTATGTTTACCCTGAAAGTCACAGATCAATATCCTAACAATGTCAACAAACAAGATATTGACAGAGTACTGGCAAGAGGAAGATCTGAAACTGGTGGACTTGATTATGAACCTCATTTAAAAGAAACAGCAAAAGTGATACAGCTAATATTGACATCTCAGATAGACTGATCAATAGTCAGATTGGTACAGCTAATAGTCAAGATATATGTCACTCCAAATGCCCAAAGGCCATCAATAATATTCATTAAGTTTGATGATAATAAAGCAGGACAAAACATGATAAATAGTAGCAATAACCAATATGCTAAAGAACACAAAGTAGTTACTATTGAACCCATCTTGGCAAAGATAAAAGGGATACCTAATAAGCCATAATCACCTGAGATACAAAGAATACAGTTTCCAATTACAGTAACATGGGCTTGCACTGTCCACAAAGTACAAGGACTGACATTGGATATAGTATTTATAAGCTAATTCATCTTAACAAACAAAGAAGCTTTAACTATGGTCAAATATATGTCGCAATAAGTTATAATAAAACATTACAAGGTATTTACGCACTTGGAAAAATTGAACACAAGCACGTTAGAGCAAATCCTAAAGTACAAGAAGAATATGAAAGATTAAGAAATGTAGTAGCAATCATCATCTGCAATCAACAAATGAACCAAAGTGATCCAACACTGTTAGTTATCAGCCTTCTTAATATCAGATCTCTTAATAAACACAGTATTGACATAAATTTTGATTCTTCAATTTGTAATAGTGACATGACATCTTTTACAGAGAAACAACCTCTACCCAATTCCAATGACAATCAAATAACAGAAAATTTACAATCATTTACACTGTTAAGGCAAGATCATGTTTCACACAGATTTTCTAGAATAGCACTATGTGCTATACTATGAATATTTTCCAGCCATGAATACAATTAAGATTCTCCTTGTTTATCATATTACTGACATAAGCAAATCTTTTATTTTATTTTACAGAAGGCACAGTTCTAACATCTTACAGTACATAAATGGTATATTAGAAATATACTGATCTGTTGTGATATTGACCTGGTTCTTGGTGACTTCAACATTAACTTTTCAAATCATGATGAAATTAAACCACTTAAAATTTTAATGGATTCTCTACACTACATTCAAGTAGTACAAAGTCCTATGTTTGTATCTGCTGGAAGTCTGCTTGACCATGTTTATGTAAAATGCAGCCATTGCCATATCATTAAACGTTCTGTGCTAGCTGTCTGTTACCCTGAGCATGATGCCATTAAAATTTCAATAAGTTCCACACCATCTATTTCATAAGTAATGACTACCATTTTTTAGAGCCAATTTTGACACATAAGTTAACGTAAGATTTGAACTTATATTTTCTTACAACATTTAACCATCAAAAACTTGCCAGAACTGACAATGAACTGAATGTTCGTCCAGCCCTCCCAGCCTAATACATCATATGGATCCTGATATACATTATGCATATCAGCCAGCCTGGATCCTAATCATGTAGTCAATTACGTTCTCCATTGTTTAATAATTAAGCTCATATATACAGTCAAACCCCTATTAAGCAGCCACCCTCGGGGAAATGGAAGGTGGCCGCTTAACAGGGGTTGGCGTACTTTGAATACTTTTTATATTTGGGTGCCTGCTTTGTGAACATAGCATCAAGTCAAACGTGTTTGAATTTCTTCAATAATCGTCACTTCCTATTTCACACTCTTAATAATTATTGTCATCACCTTCTCCAAAACAAAGCCAAAGTAAGGGAATAACATTTTAGGTTGTCGCTATATAGAGGTGAAGGCAATAGAAAAACCGCATCGGGATGACTAAAAGGTGGCCATGGCCGCTTAATAGAGGCACAGGCAGACAACCCTGTGGGTTTGAGGCCGCGTGACGTCAATTATTTGATACGCTAGTTGAACTCTTCGTTTGACAACGGTCGATCTCTGCAAGACGCAAGTGACCCCGAGAAATGTTTCAAAAATTCCGCAAACCGGAACATTTCATCCCCAAAATCCACTTAATAACAGTCAGATAGATAAAGTTCACTCACTTTCGTTTTTCTGTGTTGTCTCGAGTGATTTTGCGGGGCAAAGGCAAAGGAAAAACACAGGGCGTGCAACTTCCACGACCGTCTGGGCCGAAAGCCTCCAGAACTTCGCCAAATTTCTACCACTTCCAAATTTTGCTCACCTCCCAGCTTCGGGCATGTTAAAGTTCGGTAAACGAATAAGAGCCAAGCCAAAAATCAGTGCAATTGCCCGCCTCAACCACCTCAAAAGCCTGCTCGATTTCCGACATTTGCTCACCATGTCGTCGACGTCGATCATTAGCCTCCGATTGACCGTATTAAAATTAATCAATAACTAACCGAGCTCAGATTACACCCGACCCTCCCCACGCCAGGGCTGCCCAGTTGAACACAACACCACGCAAGTCGCGACACAAAGTTTTGACGTCCAATGACAACGTCGTCGTCTAAATAACGCAGTCTAATGGTCGTTTCATTCAAATAATTCAGTTTCGTGCAGCGACTTGTTATGTCCTCAACTAAATCTTTAAAACGGTACTCAGCAGCACTAACCAGACGACTCGAAACCATGAAGATTTTTCGCTTGTCTTTCATGTACTCAACTTTAACTTGAAACTGGAGCTATACGAAAAAACACGCAATATAATCGACAATAACGGAAAGCACAAGCGAGCCGAGACGCGCCGCCTAAGTGCCGAGTCGAGTCTTCGCGCACTTTGTTTCCATTGGATACATTCCCGTTGCCATCGGAAACGTCAAAGTTTTGACGTCGAAACTTTGTATGGAAACCTGCGTGATATCGCACTTAACTGGGAAGCGTAGTGTTTACAACTCATGTTAAGAACGACCCCAGCGAGTGAATAAAATAAAGCTTGTGTACAGTCGCTCCCTCCACTCAAAAAAATCGAGGAGAGAGACGTCCCGATTTTTTTGCGGGGAGGGAGCGGCTGTACACAGGCTAATAAAATATAGTTTCACACACGAGTAATTAAACTGACTGTTGGCGCAAATAACCGTCAAAAGGATAATAAATGGATCATGATCTATACGCTGGAAAGAACTGTTTCTTACTGAGTCTTCAAAAGAAATACGTGTGACACTCCACGCTTTCTCGGAAAGGAAGAGTGTTTGGTTTCTAGCGGGGAGATTATGATCCAGGTGGAATTCCTGCACATCACGAATGACAATGTAACGCAACTGATTGTTTCTTCAGACAGAAAATAAAAAGGTTTATGAACAAGATTTGCATCAGGAAACCTTTTTTTTAGATGAAGCAAATTGCACTTCTTTTCTACAACATATTCACTGAACAAAACATCGGTAAAATGAACTGTTTCTCTCAACCGTAACAGCTGAAATTAATGAGCCTGCTTATGCAAAGTTCTGATCTTAAAATTTCGTGTTTGTTGTTTTGCTCACGCAGTTCAGGTCGAGCATAGCAGAATGTAGAGGTTATGTGATTGTGTTATTTGAAATGGGTAACAAAGCATCCATATGTGATGAAGTAACTGCAGCTTATCAAGCTGCTCTTGACAACGGTTCTGATCTGCTTGATTTGCTTAAGGAGGTGAACACCGAATTAAGAAAAGCCGCTCTGAAAACAAAAATCAAAGATGGCGACGACCATGCTACTGTTCTCATCATCGCTGCTCGTGATGGAAAACTGGATATTGTGAAGGTTCTTTTACGCTATGAAGCAAACGTCGAGGCCCGTGGAACGATTAAGTTTGACGGAAAAGTTATAGAGGATTGTACAGCTTTGTGGATCGCTGCTGCTAAAGGTCATTTTGATGTTGTGAGACTCTTGATAAAACAAAACGCCGAAGTCGACGGCAGAACATCGAGTAATTCGACTCCGTTGAGAGCTGCTGCCCTTCATGGACACCTTGATATTGTGCGCTGTTTGGTTGAGAACGGGGCCGATGTAAATGCACGCACTAATTTCGGTAGTACTCCTCTGATGTTAACATGTTACAAAGGCCACCTGGATGTTGCTTCTTATCTTGTCAAACACGGCGCAAACGTAAATCTACAAGACATCCATGGACGCTCGTGTCTTCATAATGCTTTGAAAGGGGGTCACGTTCAGGTGGTTGGTGACTTGCTTGCTTTAGGAGCAAAACAAACACAAAATCTAAACCGTTTAACACCACTTCTTGAAGCCAGTAATGATTGTAAAATTGAAATGGTGGAGTGGTTCATCAACCGACCAGAATGTTCAAAGGAAGAAAGAATTGATGCTCTTGAGCTTCTTGGAGCCACCATTGCTAATGATCCTCATGCCTACGACATCAAAAGAGCGTTTCGTTTCATGAAGCGAGGAATGGAGGAGAGGTATGGGAACCCGTCAAGTACTTTGCTTAAAAAGAAAATGGAACCAGCGGAGGCTTATGAAATTAGAACAGAAAGTCAAACTCTCGAGGAACTTTCTCTCCTAAAAGATGATGATCATGCTATCCAGATGGAGGGACTCATGATTAGAGAGAGAATCCTGGGAACTGACAATACAATATTACGGATCCCGATACGTTACCGAGGAGCTGTCCTAGCTGATTCTAAGAAGTACGAACTCTCTGTTGGTTTGTGGACGCGAGCAATGGAAATAGCTATGAATTGCAATGTTCCAAAAACAAAGGATCTTGAAAACCTCACTGATCTAATTGCAGAAATGGTGCAGAATGGCCACAGTTTGAGTCCACAAACTATCGAGAACATTTTTGAAAAACTGATCGATGGAAAAAGGAAACTGTCCGAAAAGTTGAAGCCTGGAGAATTGGAAGAAGAGCAAAAAAATGAGGCGCAAGAGACATTGCTTTTTAATGCTCTATATCTCTTGGTGATGTACACCAAAGTTCGAGTTTCCTTGGAAATGAAAAGTGAAAACATGATTGATCTTCTTCAAAGATTTCTGCGTTTAGAGCCTCGCACCCGTGATGGAAATACACCTTTGCACTCGACTGTATGGCATAAGACTCCTGTTCGTAAAGACGCTTTTTTGCCACGCGTATGCAAGCTTCCATGTGTTGAGACAATGAAGCTACTTTTACATGCAGGGTGTGATGTGAATTCTGTTAACACCCAAGGAAACACTCCACTTCATTTAGCTGTTACTTTTGTACCAGGACCTGAACAAGAAGAAATTTTGAAAGAAATGCTGGAGTTGTTGTTGGATCTCGGCGCAGATACAAAGCTTGTTAACAAGAATGGTCAAACAGTTATGGACTGCTGCGAGACTGACGAAGCCCGAGGCATCCTGTCTGCGAAAGGAGGACTGGGTGCCATGAACATCGAGGCCAGAAAGGTAAGAAAGGTCTGATTTTAAGGCTTTATATATTTTCCCTAAATTATCACAGTAAGCATCCTGATGAAACGGGAGAACTTTTAGTTTATTTCTCCATAGGATCTTGTGTTGATGATGTTTCGTAACGCCTGGTTGCCTTTCTTTTACTTTAATGGTTTCCAAACTCATCCTTTTATGAATGAAAATATTCATTATGATGCTGTGATAATCAAAGGAAGCATCATTTTGGTGCATTAAAAATTGAGTGTCACCGCCGAAAATATATGAACTATCACGGACAGTGTTTATATATTTATATGCCCCCATTTCCCCCCCCCCTCCCCACCTCCGAAAGGAAAGGGAAAAAACAGAACTTTATGGCCTCTCTTGAAGTGTTCCATATTTGAGACTAGTATGAGAAAAAAAAATAATAAATGCGCGAAATAAATATAACTCAATCTGATGGTGGCTTTCAAGCAATAGCAAGCCGTTAGGTGGATTTATTGATCAAGTTACCAGACTTATGATCACCCGTCCGATTAATGTTTATATAACAAAAACAAAGCAATTTAAATGAAAGTTCAAACAGCAAAACGAGAAGAATTGAAGTGATTTCTGACTGTCGATGATTCGGAATGAATTGCAAAACAGTAAGAGCACACTGATCCCTAATTATAATTCTAAAAATGTAGGCCTTTCCTTAATTTTGTAATGTGACTCGCTTTTCAGTAAAGGTTTATTTATATTTACGGTCTGGCTTTAGCGTCGGTTGATTTCGTTCGCATTTGATGTATGAACACTTGTTTACTTATGGTACAAGTAGCCAAAATGAATTTGCTTTGAAGACGCGGGGAAACGCGGTCATAGGGAATGAAATTATCAGACAGCGCAAAAACCGATGACATCCCTCTACAGCACATATTTTTACTGGCAACTATCATAATAATCTTAAAAGCTCATCAGTCTTTTTGTTGAACATTTGATGTTATCTTGAATTGCTTGAAGCTTGAATTACTAGAGCAATTTGCCACTATGGAATCATCACGTGGGGAGTTCGTTTAAAATAAATCATAACAATTCGTGTGCAAGCTAAACTTATGACGTCCAAACATCAATGACAGCGATGGCATGAACTCGCACGCAGCATGTTTTGTAACGGGTCAACAAGCTAAATACTCCTGATATAACAATAGTTGAAATGGTGTGAGTAGATTCAGTTAGCTAGTATATAAAAATAACTTTAAGAATACATATATATTATACTAGTACAGATTTGAAGAAGAGACCTCATTGGTTTTCAAGGGTCCGCTGGAGAATAAGCAAACCAAAACTTTACGAATAAAAAAGTAAATTAAAAGAGGCTATCTAAAACGCATTTAGGTTCCCATTTCAACTTGAGCATGGCATAGGTCTTTTTAAGTCTGTTAATCATAACAAAGGCAAATCATGTAAAAACGTAACATTTAAGTTCCTGATAAAAATACAGCAAGGCCCAGATTTTTTTTTGATTTCGTTTGGCAGGGAAACTCGGTGTACATGTACCAAAATGTTTTTTTTTCCTAAGTTGCTATGTGTTTGCAATTTTTTTCTAAGAATGAAGTAACTGGAAGTGGAGTCGGTGAAGGAAGAGGAGAAAGATTTGTTCTTGGAACCGAAAAAGACCTAAATGAGAATGTTAAAAGGGAAACGAAAAGGAGATCAGGTAAGAGGATATTGTTGAGGAACAAATTTGTAAAGAAAAATAATTGTAGGAAAGACCAGGGAGTTCCGTTATGAGCTTTTAGGTAACAATATTAGTTAACAGAGGAGAATTGAATATATTACCCACAGACAGCGGTGGGTGCCAAGTAATTTAAAATGGGGTCCAAAATGATTTAGTTCCTAAGTTTGAATGTCTTTTGACATAAAACTTACCCAGAGAGAGAGAGAGGAATATGTTTTGGGTTTTCGGTTCGCGCTCTGTGAGACAAGCTGAAAAATGCCTTGTTCTATTTTCATTATCTAAGGACTATTTAGGGAGTTGACACAGCAGTTGGAACACGTTCAACCAAGAAACAGAGATGGAGAACTGAGGGAGATGACACAGCAGTTGAAAAATGTTCGTAGACAACTACAAGAGAGAGATGGACAACTACCAGAAAAAGATCGCCAACTAAGAGAGAGAGATGGACAACTTAGTGAGAAGACACAGCAGGTGACAAATACTGAAGGGCAACTAAAGGAGAAAGATCAACAACTGAGAGAGAAGACGCAGCAGTTGACTAATGTTCAAGGGCAACTACAAGAGAAAGATAAACAACTGAGAGAGAAGACACAGCAGTTGATTGACGTCCGGAGTCAACTACAAGAGAGAGATGGACAACTGATGGAGAAGACACAGCAGTTAACAAATACTCAAGGGCAACTACGAGAGAAAGATGGAGAACTGAGGGAGAAGACACAGCAGTTGACAAACGTCCGGAGAGATGGACAACTGAGGCAAATGAGGATTCAGTTGACTGATCTCCAGAGGCAAGTGCAAGAAAGAGATGGACAACTGAGGCGGATGACACAACAGTTGACAAATACTCAAGGGCAACTACAAGAGAGAGATGGAGAACTGAAGGAGAAGACACAGCAGTTGAAAAATGCGGAAGAACAACTACAAGGGAAGGATGAGGAGGTTTCTTCCTTAGAGAGCCGGCTGGAGGAAAAAGAACAGCAGGTAGACGAACTAGAAGAGTCTCTCTCAGCAACTCGACAGGCGTTAAATAGACTTTCACGCCAACAATCACCTGACTGGGTCATTCCGCGTGATGAGATTCAACTGACAGAGAAGTGCCTTGGTACGGGTGGTTGGGGAATTGTAGTTAAAGGCAGATACTGCGGGTGCACTGTTGCCGTGAAACAAATCTATGACAGTCTTTTGAAATCTTCCTCATATTATCGGGAGTCGTTCGAGAGAGAAATGAATATTGCCTCCAGATGTCGCCACCCTTGTTTGCTTCAGTTTATTGGAGCAACAAACGATGAACGAAGTCCTTTGTTTGTCACAGAGCTCATGGAAACAAGTTTGCGAGCACTGCTAGAGCAGCGATCTCTTTCTCCCACTGAAGTGTCTGTCATCTCTTTAGACGTGGCTCGAGCATTAAACTATCTTCACCTGAAGAAACCATCCCCCATCATTCACCGCGACATCAGCAGTGCCAATGTGTTGCTGTGGCGAGAAGCTGACCAATGGCGAGGCAAAGTGTCGGATTATGGCACGGCTAATTTCAAGCGAGACATTATGACGGCTTGTCCTGGTTCTAGGATATACAGTGCTCCTGAGGCACTTACAGAGAGTCAAACTGCGAAGGTATGTGTACATTTGTATTTTAGGGTCATATTTCTCAATTGTTTATTTGTGTTTACAATAAACAGTCTGGTGAAGTATTTTTATTATAAGACGTTAAATCAATTTGCCGACTTGGCGGGATAAAAATTGTCTGATCTTTAAATGCGATTAAACCCTTTTCCTGGGTAACCGCTCGTGTGCTTTAGGTATAGTCTATAGTCTTAAGTGAACTCGTGGTAAAACATGCCGGAAGCAAGGTTAATAAGAAAAGATGAACTTCAACTTCTTGAGAGGAGTCGAGCCTATATCTCTTCCCTTTAGAATGCCCCACTGTAGAGCTAGACTATGCCCTCTCTATGGATCACCAAAGAGGCACGATTCCTGCTAGATTAGACATAAAAAATATTAAACTAGGAAGAACACTCATATCAAACTTGAACCTTTTTACACTCATTGATAATGAACTTAGGTCTACTGTAAATTTTTTTCCTTAACTATAATTTTGTTGTCGAACATAGCTTGATGTGTACAGTTTCGGAGTTCTCCTCTGTGAGATTTGCACCCGGAAACTACCGGATCCTGACAGGCGTGACGAGCAAGTTGCCATGGTGAAAAATCGAATACTACGAGCTCTCATCCGGAGATGTCTGAAACGAGCTCCTGAAGAGAGGCCCAGCATGGAAGACATCATCGGTGAACTGGAACAATCACTTTTTTTTCAACAAAGTGCCTCAGCAATGAGACTTTGATATGATCGACTAGCAGTTTTTTTTGTAAAGTGTATACTACGTATAAACTTTAGATTAGGTAGAAAATGCAGCCTGTAGATCACACACTGGGTATGAATTGTAGTCTGGTGAAGGAAAATGTCTAATCGCACAATGATATGATAGATGAGGAATGATAAGTAACATCCTGCTGATTAGCCATCAGACTTAATTGAGATTATATAGCTGATGTTTCTGTGTTTTGACTGGGATTGATTCTTTCCGTTTCGAACGTCGTTAGAAGTTATAAAAAGACCTAAGACTATTGTGTGATTTACAGATAAAGATTAAGATCATATATATGTTACGCTATTATGTACATATGAATCCGACATAGATAAATTGTCTAAAAATAGCAAAGAAAGTAGTAGCTTGATAGTACAGTTATATTCCTCAGTCGAGAGTGATATATTTTAAGTACACACTGCATTGACTGTTTGCAGTGTGGCAAAGATAGAAATAAAACTTAGTAGGATGCCTTTTAATTTATCTTTGAATTTCTCTTCGTCCCCTCCTCGAAATAGAAAATTCGCTTCAGACTTCCTGTTTTCTCAGAAAGGATGAGTGATTGACAACTTGTGGAGATTTAGCATAATACGGTTGCGAAATTCATTAGTGATCATGCATATTGAGATAAACAGCGTACCATCACTGTTTTTCTTAATATACATAAACGATTACGAAAATAATCCGTGTTCAGGTCCTTTACTCGGGTGAGGTAACAACTACACCTTTTTCAAAAGTAATGGAATAAAGCATCGGCTTCAGTCTTTCTGATCAGTAAATACGTTAGCGTGACGGTTGAGTTTACAAATGCTTGTCTAGGAGAGGTCGCGAGGTCAGGAAGTTCTGGTGTTTGTTTTTTCCCATCACTAATACAATTTCTTTCATGGAAACCTCGGATGGGACGGAAAGTCCCGCTTAGGCGTAACGAAAAATGGGTAATAAGCAATCCACGATACAAAACGTTTATGAAGCTGCTCGTGATGGTTCTTCTGATCTAACTAATCTTTTAAAGCGGCTCAACACTGAAGAAAGGAAAACTGCGCTCGATTCCAAGACCAAAGATGGCGACGAGAATGCAACTCCTCTCATAATTGCTTCTCGCAATGGAAACCTAGACTCTGTAAAGATTCTTTTGAGTTTCAAAGCAGATATCGAAGCACGAGGAACTGTGAAAGCCAACACTGACGAAGTTTTCGAAGGTTGCTCTCCTTTGTGGGCCGCTGCTGCTACTGGTCATCTAGATGTTGTGAAACTGTTAATCGATCACAATGCAGACGTTAATGGCAGAAATGCAACGAATTCGACTCCTTTGCGGGCTGCTGCGTACGATGGACGTCTTGATATTGTGAGTTGTTTAGCCAAGAACGGAGCTGATGTAAATGCAAGAGATGAATTTGAGAGTACTCCTTTGATGATAACATGTTACAATGGTCACATGGATGTTGCTTCCTATCTAATCGAACATGGCGCAAATCACCATTTGCAAGACAAGGATGGAGACACGTGTCTTCACTATGCTGCAGAGAAAGGTCGCACCGAAGTTGTCGGTAGGCTTCTTTCTCTTGGAGTAGAAGAGAGGCAAAATAAGAAACGTTTGACCCCACTACTAGCAGCCAGTAATGAAAGCAAATATGAAATGGTCGAGTATTATATCAACCGACCCGAATGTACTAAGGAACAAAAAATTGACGCTCTCGAACTTCTTGGTTCCTCTATTGCAAATGATCCTGATTCTTATGACATCGAAGAAGCATTCAGTTGTATGAGGCGTGCAATGGAAGAGAGGTATCAGGACCCGTCATGTCCATTGCTTAAAAAGAACATAAAACCTGTGGAAGATTATGAAAATAGAACAGAGAGTCAAACTCTTGAGGAACTTTCCCTGTTAAAAGATGATAATCATGCTATCCACATGGAGGGTCTCATGATCAAGGAGAGAGTCCTTGGAATTGAATCTGCAGCACTTCTGGACGATATCAGATCTTATGGGATTGTTCTGGCTGACTTTGAGCATTACAAACCTTGTATTGGTCTATGTAAACGAGCGATGGAAATAGCCATGAACTGTGGTGAACCTATTACGCACGATCTTCAAATGTTATCATGGCTATTTATAGTAACGGAACTTCGGTGCTCAAATGGAAAACACATTGTGGCAGCATTCGAAAAACTGACAGAAAAACTAGAGACTGGGAAATTGCAAGAGGGGCAAGAAGATGAGGAAAAAGAAAAAATGCTTTACTGTTTTCTAAATCTTCTGATGATTTGCGCCAAATTTGAAGTTTTAGAGGATAATGAGGATGAAATAAAGGAAATGATCGACTATGTTCAAAGAATTCTGCGTTTAGACATTCGTAACCGCGATGGAAATACATTACTGCATCTAGCCGCAGCATTTGATGCAAAAACTGTGGGAATCGTGTACAAGTCTCCCTGCATTAAAACCGCGAAGCTACTTTTACATGCAGGGTGCAATGTGAATGCCGTAAACTTTGAAGGAGAAACTCCTCTTCATTTGGCTGTGACTTTTATGCCAGGGGGTGAACAGGTAGAGACTATGAAAGAAATTATGGAGATATTGCTCGATATCGGTGCAGATACAAAGCTCGTAAACAGCAAGGGTCAAACACCACTGGAATGCTGCGAGAGTGACGTGGCTCGAAGGATCCTGTCAGAGAGAAGAGCAGTGGGTGCTATGAACGTCGTTACCAGAGATGTAAGAAAGTTTTAAGTTCTGAGAATTGTTTTGTCCACAAAATGATGATAACATTTAATTAAATTCTACTTTTTATCCTTCTCCTTATATCAAAGAGTACTTTTGTCGATGGGAAGATCTATCAACTCTAAAAACTTAATCCAAAAACTTCATTTTGTACAGTAAACATGACAAAATTTGAATTTGCATGTATAACTTTTCTATTCAAAGAAGCTCAGTACATTAAGTTAAATTAACTGCAAATTGGAATAATGGTAATAATGATGATGATTAGGATAATAATAATAATATCCGTGCTGTTGACTTTTTTTCGGTCTTTATCGTTCGATTTTATTCCTGCACTTTGAGGAGTCATTATTAGATAACTGCCGGTGCGTCTTACGTTTATGCCTCCAGGCGTCTTTGTTTGGTGCAATTTAGCTATACAGATGATGGAATTTCAAATTTTATTTAAATTATTGACTTTTAAACTTGGATGCATGTGCATTATTAGCATCTGATATGTATTATCAGCACGATGAATAAAGAAACTGTTACAGTTATTATTGGTACTATCAATATCATTATTAATACTTATAGTGATTCTTATCATCAAATTATCTTTTGTTCCCACCAAGGATGTAAAAACTGGTAGCGAAACTGTTGTGAGGAGTGCAGTTGTTGTTCCTATAGCAACCGAAATAGAAGAATTTAATTTTGAGGAGAAGTCTCAGAAAGAGAAATCAGGTGAGTTCATTTTCATTTAGGGGTGAGTTTGTCATGATGGAATTTTGTAGTTCATCTGCTATGGCGCCCGCAGTTGGTTATAAAAAGACATGTTGAACCTCATCGTGAGCAGATAGTTGACCGAAAGTTAGGCAATCAACCATTGGCTACGTGGATGACCTAGTCAAAGAGCAACCAGCAGAGAGGGAAGGCTTTCGATTGTTCCAGCTCTCGATTGGTTCAGGCGTTTTTACATGTTCACATGCTTATTTTTCATTGTTAAAATCCAACATGACTGAAAGGCCAAATATTTTTACAAAATATTACAGATAAGTTATTTCCACCCTCTCTGTCGCTATGAATGATAAATTATTATAAAAAAACGAATGAAATACCAAGTGAGCTTTCGCCGGAACACGTGATATCTTCCCATGTAAAAAGATCACTGTTGCTATGGTTAACTTATAGCTCGCGTTTTCCAAAATAAAAAATTTTTGAGGCCATTATTTTAGGATTGAAGCCCTTTATTGCACTAGAACAGAAACGGAATTTGTATTTCGTTCACGCTTTACAGGCCGTGCACTTTTTCCATTATTTAGCTGGGACAAATTCTACTTTAGTGACACATTGTTCTACTTTTTAAAAAAATATTAAAGTTAAATAATTTAGTAATACATTGGTGTTTATATAAGAAGTAGAATGTAACATGGCCACTTGGAGATATGAAATTTCTCTTCTCGCGTTTAAAAAAAATATTCTATCCGTTCGCGTCGTTCATTCGTGAAATGTGTTTCTACGGTCGGAGAGAAATCTCCGCCTGGCCATTTAATATTGTCTTTTTTATGAAGTCGAAAATATCATATGACAGATGGACAGTGTCAATCTTAGCCTCAAGAGAATCAGATGGAAACCACGGCCACACAAAATACAAATGTATTATTGACCAAATGTGAGGTCAAGATGGATACTGGCCGAGTTCTTGTTTTGCATTTTATGGACAAAAACGCGAAAAAAGGACGACGCTAATATCTAGCGACCTTAACTGAACAAGTTTGGTCAATTAAAGATTTTTTATATGACGAAAAGAATTCGCTCTAATAACAATCAAGAGTGACTTGTTTAACATCGACAACCGAAAAAGAAAGCCAACGGTGTTTGTAGTTAAATAACCCCAAAGGGAGTACTTTTTGCTTTCTTTGTTTTGACTGTCTTCTGCTGCTTTTTGCGACTCCTTCGCCGACATTTTCAAAAAGTTACGAACTTTCGCCCAACTTTTCCGTGCGGGATTAAAGCGGAAATCTCGCGCGGGAAAGTTTGGCGTTTTCGTAAAAACTTGTTGGTTGGCTTTTTCTGCGATGGTATGGACATCGTGTCTTTCCAGTCTTTTGTATTGGAGTCGTTAGGTGGTTGCATCAGTAGCAACACTAAAATAGTATCTCCTTGCTCACATTTAGGTTTTTTACAAGATGAACAAAAACTCTCTCGTGACCAGAAAAATGGCCCTGTTGACTCAGAAGAGATAGAAATGGATGAACTGTACTTCGACAAGGACAAACAATCACTAGCGAGAGGGAAAGAAAGAAACCGTAAATTCGCAGAAACCGTTAACGAGGGAGGAGGATCAAATGCAAGAAAGACATAAACAACTGACGGAAATGAACCAGTGCGGGATTCATTCCCAAGCACAGCTGCAAAAGAAAGAATTGGAAGATGTTAAACTGCCGAGGGAAAAAGAAAAACAAGAGGAAAGCTCACGAAGAAAATTGTGCGAGATAGGAGAGCACGCGCAATTACACGAGAGCGTAGGACAAGAAATAAAGTCCAAAAGACAACTGCACGAGGTAGAGAGGCATATGAAAGACGCACCAGGAGAGTTACAAGAAAAAAATAACAGTTATATAACCAGAAAATTCAACTGCTTGAGATAGAAAAGCAATTAAAAGACACGCAAGCACAGTTACAAGAGAAGGAAGAACTAGAAGAAAACTCCAAAAGACAATTGCACGAGATAGAGAGGCATTTGAGAGACGCACAAGGACAGTTACAAGAGAAAGAAGTAGAATTACTTAATTGCAAAATATTGATGCGTGATATGGAGAATGATCTCAAGGACGCACAAGGACAGTTACAGGAGAAAGAAGAACTAGAAGAAAACTCCAATAGAAAACTGCACGAGATGGAGAGGCATTTGAGAGACGCACAAGGACAGTTACAAGGACAGTTGGGCTTGATACAATTTGCTCTACAAACAATTAAGTCAAATGTTCTTACTAAAGACTAAAGAGTAGAGACTAAAGAGACTAAAGGAGGGTCCCTAATTACTGCATGTGAATCGCATCGGCGATAAGTCGAGCGTCAACTTTGACTTTGTCATCTGTGGTCAAACTAACTACAGCTTTTCTCTTACAGAATCCTACTTTTTAGCTGTTTCAGTGTGTCGAATTAGAGGAGTTCGCCTATGCGTAATTTTTTAGCTGCGCCTCTGTTCTGTAAATTTCTTTAATTGAGTCGTTTTTTATACTTTTGAAGCTGTGAGGTATAAGAAATTTGAATATACTAGATTTTTAAAGATTTAATAACTATTTTTAACAATAGACAATTTCAAGGGACGCCTAGTTTTTTTTACACGTATGAAAGATTTTATTCCATTCAGTGGCGATCACGATATAATGGAATTCTTTGGAAAAAATGAAATAACTTGCATGATCGTTTTTATGTTTGTATTCAGTAACGAAAATTCTTGAGAACTGAATTCGGTTACAAGGTAGTTTAGCGTTATCAATTGAGTTGAAAATGTAAATTTGCCACGGCCGTAAAGAGTTTAAGAACTGACATTTCGAGCGAGCATAAGTGCACAATTAACGCAAATCCTAGGCGTTTTGATCACGACGAGAAAACCAGCGAAATGACGGCCTGAACTTGATGGGGAGAGCGGCAACGCTAACACCGGAAGTCGAAATAGAGTCGTGTCCAGATTATCCGCGCGCTTTCCCGTTCTGAAATGACGTTCCCGTCCTCTTGCTAAATCCCTCTATTATGACGCAAGCGAGAGTCAAAGTAGCTCAACATAACTGTCATGTAGATCATATGCTGGTTTAGGAAGGAAAAATGAAATCAATATACACTAAAAAATGAGCGGCGAGGAGTTACAAGCAGTGACTCTGGACAAGAAATCAGGTTAGATTCCAAGCCGAGAGTGAGATGAATTTTTCTTTTTGCCATTTGCGTTGCGTTTAAGGATAACGAATGACTTTGCATATTCAAATTTTGTCTGCGACGTTTTCGAGGGAAAATTTTGAAAACACCCGATATCTTGGTTAATTTGATGCTTGTAAAGACCAAGCTTGTTGCTTTGCTCTCTGTTTGGATATAACATTGTCCCCGTTGATCGTTTAATAAGTTAAAAACAAAATAAAGAAAGTCACAGCCACAAATCGGTAGGTTTTTCAACGTTTACAAGCACCGCGCGCGCAACTTTTATCGTTTACATGTATATCATGTCGGCTTCCTGCACTTGTTAAAGAATGTCTCTTTTTTTCGATGTTTATTAGACAAAAAAACTAAACCTGCTCCCCTGGAGTTTTTTCAAAAAGCATTTTGAGTTAATTTTTTCGCGAGATTAATTTGCGGGATTTTGTTTCGCTGAGAGAAGGAGTTTGCGGATCAGGTGCGTCAAAGTAAAATCCACAAAATATTCATTATCTACGCTGAGTTTATACGTACTTTTTTATTAAGTCCCTGGTGCCCAAAGTTTCGAAATTGCATGAACCAAAGAAATATTTTCAGGTCAATGGGGTAATAGACAGGAATCTGGCGACTCCAGTGCATTACGTCAGCTCCTCACGCATGTCCCGGATATAGTGATCAACTGTGATCATAAGAAGGCAATGCCGCGTGTAAAACACATGGTGGGCGTGTGTATGTTTGCTGATATATCAGGTGAGTGAAATTGATTTTGACTTGATTCTCAGTGCACGACTTACATTAATTAGTGGAAAATGAAATCAATAATTACGCTTCTAGAAAAATACATATACTTTGGATTGATTCGTATGTTTGTTAAAAAAGACAGAAGAGCTTTGACAGATGGCTTTTGTTTATTACACTCAAAAAATATCAACTCAAGCATAAAAATTCTTTAAAGCTCTTCAGAATCCCCTTAATTCAATGTTTTCGTATCTTGATCAGGATCGAGTGCTGAAAAAATACTGCTCAAATTTTCAGCGGTTGCAGGAGTATTTCTTTGTAATAATTAAAGCCTTAAGTTCTGAACGTGATAACTCCAACGTCCAAATAAAAACCTTTCCAAAGCGGTTCTGAAGTCAAAATTCCTATTCAATCCGGTTGGGGGAACACAAGAGCGGTTCCCAATGAAATCGAAATAGAAGTTCGTCAACTTTTTATAAGGAAACTAATCTAACTTTCCCGCTCTCTTGAGTCCGGTCTTCACTCCTTCCCAAACAGCACCTAGTTATAACAGAACTTAACGCCGAGCTTTTCATGTACTCAATTTACTGGAAATTTGATTCGAGTCATGAAGCATTTGGTGTTTAAAAAGGACCTATCAGACTTAAAAAATTCGCCACTTTCTTCTTTGTTTATAGGATTTACCTCACTCTGCGAAACATACAGTCTGAAGGCATCTGAGGCTGAGTCCTGTGGCACAGACAAACTCACCTTCACACTCAATACTTATCTGGGGAAAATAATCGAAGGTTAGTTACTGCATAGGCAATGAACAGTTTGAACCACATTTCACAAGAAACACCTCCCTCCATTGTATTATTAATGGTACTTAAGTCGATCTTTACCATCCACAGATATTCTTAAACATGGCGGCGACGTCTTGAAATTTGCAGGTAAGTTTGGTCAACTTCTCTCAAAAGGAAACTTGGAAGTAATTGCCATCAGGGGATTGATAGTTTGGGCCTAATGTTATAATCTTCAAGACAACACTTAAAGGCGGCACCTTTGGTACATATGGAATTAACAAAGAAACATGCAAACAATCACGCGAAAGCAAGCTTTGTGTTAAATTTTATCATCTCTCCGATACCAACAAAGACGAGCAAATCCATCACTACGATGTCACATCTCTACCGGTCCATCAACAGGAATGCAGTGTATAAACACTTGCCTTAAGTTTACAACCCCCTAAAACTCATCAGAATCTATATTAGTCAGCACACGTCCCCATATCGACTGACGTTACCAATGCGCATTTGAACTTTAAATGTACATAACATAAAAAAAATGAAGAATGTGTAAGAGAACTTTGATACTATAATTATCATGGAATATGCCTTTTGCGTTGGTAAAAAAGAGCGCAACTCAAAGAGAGGACGCCTAAAACTGAAAATTTCCTTTTCTACAATCCAGACAATCCAGATGTTGATGGAGGTTGTTGGGTGGTAAGACTGTGAATTTCGCAATGCCGAAATAATCCTGGATATTGGTATGTCCAGGTTTGAAGATGATTTCGAAATGACCTGTATGATATTATGTTTGTTGTTATCTATAGGGGATGCACTGCTTGCCTTGTGGAAAGCAGAGTACGGAGGAAACTCAGACGATCTGACTCTGTTAATCAACAAAGCTATTATTTGCAGTATAGCCATTCAAGAAGAATGCGACAACTACATGACAGATGTTGGCGTCCTTCTTCGGGTTAAAATCGCTCTGTCTGTTGGCAAAATGCAAATCACGCACGTCGGAGTTACGGAAAGCAAGCACTTCGATCTCTCCGGGTCAGCGGTTTCGGATGTAAATGCGGCGGAGAAGTGGGCAGAGCCTGGGTCGATAATATTGTCACGTTTGGCTTTTTCGAATTGTGATCAGTCTTTGTTTTTGTTTGAAACGATAGACAACGGAATGTACTACAGGGTGAGTTGTGTGCGCAATGGAAAGCTTAAGAAATAATAAATGTTATTTCGGTAGATGAAGTCTTTCAGAAATCTTTGGAAATCTTTTCTTGTGTAAATATTGTAGGTAGCGGGAGCGAGAGTTGAAGAAGAATCCGCAACAGTGTCCACAGTACACCCAACCGGTGTTCAACTAGCATTGATGTCTGGCGTGCTGTCCACAGGAGCTGTGCTCACTTCAACGCCATCTGTGGCTAAAAGAATATTTGCACCTCATGTTGGCACACTGCTATCACGATACTATCCACAAATGAAGCTTCCCAGAATATACCGGAAAAAGGGACAGTCCGAACAGAAAGAACAGATCTGTAAAACCACTGGAAATCTTTTGAAAAGCGATAGCTGTCATGATCCCGGTAAGTCAGGCCCAGCGTAGTAGACTTCATTCTGTTAGAGAATTTAGAGAATGTATAGCTATAAAAGCTGTGCACACGTGAAATCGAACAGCTTTTAATCAACTTGGTTCGAGAACCCATCTTAACATGGCTTTTTACAGCGACCTACGCTTAGGCTTAGGACTCCAAATTAACCAAAGATAACCTTCACTCAATGGCAGCTACTGAAAGGGGGGGGGGGGGGCAGGGGTAGCAGTCAATACTCTAGGGTCAAAACATTGAACGTAGATGTAATTTCATTCATAGGAGGCTCCAGTTTCTTAGCATAATAAAATCCTGTGAATTTGATTGTGTTTGTTGCTTGCCATTTAAACAAGGTTTTGGATGAAAAAAATTACGCTTAATGCTACAAACGTTTTGTTTTGGAGGATATTTTTTGCTTTTCCATCTTAACTTTCATGTGTATCATAAAGGTTTCAATCCGATCGTATAACAACATGGCCTGAAAAGTAACTAAGAGACCAGATCATGTTTTGGTTAGCCAAGCGTTGCATTAATTACGCTGACATTTGTTTTCAGATCATCGAACTTACATTTACAGCAAGCTTAATGATCAGGATATTGAAGATCTCCGAGCCTATGTGCCCAAAACTGTGCTATCAAGGGTAATACTTACTTCATGTATATTCTTCTTGGTAAAAAACTTATAACGTAAGTTCGTGGAGGGTACGTATGACTGTGGAGCATTTGAGAAAAAAAACTGCCCCAAGAAATATGAGACTTATGGCCTCTGAAACTGTATGTTATTTCTTAAAGATCAATGTTTCTCTTATTTCATGTGAGAATCCTGCATAAAAAACGAAAAGGAGACTTCTAAGTGTCATGCAAGTTCTCCCGTGACACAAATATGTCTTTACTGAATGAATACGCTGGCTCTAAGAAACGAAGGAGAGCGCTGTATCTCACCTTTTCATTTCACTACAGATTGATCATGGACAGGATCTAGAATGGTTATCCGAAATGCGGCAGGTCTCAGTGCTATTCATAAATATGGACCTGCCCATAAAAGGAAATTCTCATTCGTGGGCCCTTCAGAGGGCGTTTGAGGTCATTCATGAATGCGCAAGGAGACTTAGAGGTGAATATATAATCGTGATAATATCAATATTCCTCAAACATTAATTATTTTTAAAAACATTATCACTTGCTGAGGAGATTAAAAGTTAGAGAAGTTTGTTAAACGTGTTCGTTGTCTTAGCTCCTTCCTTTGAATTTTTTGTGTGGCAGGCAATCTCAACAAAGTCTTCTCTTTCGACAAGGTATGGAGTGCTTTAGTAGCTTCGTTAGTTTTTCGTCGTGACTGTATAGACGTGTAATTAATCATTTGTCTTAAGATACGAAATCGATATGGGATCGAGGTGCACCTGACTGAACCCAATGGCTGTTTTCGATGGCAGTTCCAACTCAAAACAGATTGTCGATTGTTTGGTTTGTTCGTGCAATTTCGCATGCTTCGCATATCGAAAAATTAAGGTTAAAGTGTTCAAGATGTTTAATTAGTGATTTACATTCTTCTTTTACCCAAAGTCTATTGCTTCTTCTGGAACTAATCTTTTATGTGTTCTCTGTATTTGAAAACAGTTAGAGAGTATAATTTCTTGACAACAGACGTAGGTGAAAATACAGTTTCTTAGATACCAATAAGCTGATGGATGGCAGGAAACTTAAGGGAAGGACGGGAGGCACTCGGTAGGTGACCGACAATACCGATCATAATTCTGATGCAGTGAGAATGCTATTATATTTTGCAGGGCTGTACATTTATCGTGATATTTGGTCTGCCCGGTGATAAGCACGAGGATGACCCAACGAGGGCCCTCAAAGCTGGACACAGAATAATGGACAGTCTTCACCAGATTATGGATATCACGTAAGTAATCAGGTTGAAGTGGTCAATCCACAAAGAAACATTACGAGATTATCGCTATTTTAAATGATATAAATGGTGTTAGATAGTGCAGCGTTGAATAATGTTTTCGTCTTTCGACGAGCGTAGTACAAAAAAGATCTGAGTTCTCTTAAGTAAACGTACCTAAGATCCCCGATGCTGTACCATTGAGCTACAGAGACTCCACAGTGTTCTATTCAGGCCATTACTAGTTTAACATTTGACAGGGATACTGCATACACACGGATCCTGCATGCGTGTAAATAGACTAGGAAAGATAGTAAATTTAGCGCTCGGCAATAAAACAGAGATAGATAATTCGCCTGGACACGAGCGTGGGACAAACAGAAAATTCTGAGTTTCATCAACCTGTTGGCTGACATTGTCTTTCAGTAACGAGTCCATCGGTGTAACTACAGGACGTGCGTTCTGTGGTGTGATTGGTCACAGAGACAGACACGAGTATACAGGTTTGCTATACTTGAATCATATGGTTTTTTTCGCTTCTATAAAATTGTTCTCTTGCAATTGACAGAGAAAGTCTCATAAGTGCCTGGGTTTACAGAACTGAGGAGGAGTTTTTGTTTATTTTCGCGTTACGACATGAGTACTATACTTAACGTCAACATTAACTGATCAAGTGCCCGATACAGAAGCTGAACCGTTTCTCGGTTTTTCTGGGTGAACAGAGGCATTGCTTTAAGATAGTTTGTTCTCAGATGTCAGGTTCACCTTAAGAACTCCTTATCCAGTCTATCGCACTCCAGAACCCTTAACATCACATCAGGGAAGGGTTAGCAGTCCCCTATTTGGAAGCTTATGTTTTAAATTGGGGAGTACGAGTTTACTTTTGATGTTATGCAGCAAAAAACAGACTCAACCTACGGTTTAATTGCGAGAAATATGCAGGGTTTTTCCTTCGGAAGAAATGATTAAAGAAACCCGTCCATTTGGATGAAATCAGATCTATGTCTTTTTTTTGCTACGTTTTCCTGTTACCTTGAAAGATTAAGAAGATTTTGGTAATGATGAAATTAAATTCAAGCTGTACATCATTGTTTCAACAGTCATTGGCCGTAAAGTCAACATGGCTGCCAGGCTAATGGTGAACTATCCAGGAACCCTGTCGTGTGATGACGACACTTACAGATCAGGGAAGTCTAAGTTGAAGAAAGAGGATTTCGTGGTCTTGCCTTTCATAAAATTGAAAGGTGTGGCTGATCCTGGAACAGTCCGAGAATACAATAGTCATCACGAGTGAGTTAAAAATGCTGCGTGTGAAAAGACCTCTCCTATCAAGCTTGACGATAGGATCAGTTTTGTCGATGGGATGATGAAAACTCATTTCACTTCGTTTGCTTTTACAGCCGAGAAGAAGAAGAAGAGGAATATGATTACCCAATCCTCGGTAAACATTATCTTTGACACGTTCTAAATTTGCCAATGAAAAGCCGGACTGCCGCGCCTCTAAATGACACTAAAGATGGCTTCTGGGTTTCTCGGTCATTTTCTATTGGTTGTGGTCACTCTGTATCTAACAGATGTGATGTATGATTTCAAAATACAGGACGAGGCAAAGAGATAGAGGAGATGAAAACGCTTCTTCATGCCATTAAATGTGACGATACCCGTGTAGGTGGCAGCAGGAGAGTTGTGGTGATCGAAGGTGAAGGAGGAGTTGGAAAAACAAGATTGCTCGAGGCATTTATGGACATTGCAGAGGAGGAAGACTTTAAGTAAGAACCTTTGAGCCCTCTAAGGGACATCATCTGAAAAAGAAGTGTAATAAATCGTGTGGTAGATCCCCTGAGAAGTCTATTTCGATTTTCGTGTAAGAGTATCGCTACTTTACAAGGGAAGTCAATCCATCAATCGGTGTCCTAACCCTAGGCTACCATGTCTTCCCTCGTTACAAGGGAAGTCAGTCCATCAACCAGTGTCCTAACCTTAGGCTACCATGTCTCCCTGAGACTCTCCAAATGAAATTATGAAAATGTTCTGATTTTATTGATCATTAGGGTGGATTACGTCGAGGCTGACATGGCGCATGCCCACACTCCTTATCACGTTGTTAAGACTCTTATTGAGAACCTATTGGAACTGGAAGCCTGCCGCACGGCTTCAGAAAAGGAAAATACTCTCATGGAGCACATTACTGATCAAAAGCTGCGAGAAAAGATGTTTCTGTTGAATGACCTACTTGGCACACACGTAAGTAAAATGTCTTGAACCTTTGCTTCAAATTCCTTCTCCTTATCCTAGGGGCCTCAAAATGCAACTTTTCTCGGATATCCTATCATTTTCTCCTTCAGATACCACCGAATGTTGACTTCGCTCGTATGGACTCAGATAAAGTAACTACACAATTTCACACCCTTCTATTTGAAATTGTCCATCAGGTATGTAGTCGAAAGTTGTGATGCAGTAACACAAGTGTTACTTGATGAGTGAATTCGCGTTGAACTTAAAATAATGTTTTTTCCTACATCTATGATGAACTTTAAAATCTATTTCAAATGCTTTAAGGTGTTTTGCTCACCTGCAGGAAATGCGGAAATAAGGATTTTACCCCTTATTTCTTCAATGTGCAGGTCGCTGTGGCATATCAATGGGGATGTGTCTTTTTCAGGTACACTTGTCACTCTTGGACGTACAGCTTCCACCAATTTTGACCCTTTTACTATTTCTTCTAGTTTGCAGTGAGTCAGCCGTGTCTGTTTACCGTGGACAACGCTCAGTTTATAGATCAGGAATCTTGGGACTTTATTGAAGATTTATCAGCGGATTCACACGCTATATTGGTGCTGTCACTCAGGCCTTTCTCATCATCCAACCCACCGTGTGAGGCGGCCATCAGACTCATTGGACATGAAACCACTAAGAAAGTCAAACTTGGTAAGTTTATAATTCATTTTTTCAATGTCAGGATATTGACTATTGAAGATTTAAATAAGTGATATATTTACCGGTTTCGTGGGCTGAGACCAAGCTCATGCGGTTCATACGAAAGGTAGATGATTAACTTTTGTAACACAGAAATTGTCCCTTGGACCGGAGAAAACCTTACGAAAATAACTCTACTACAAGAAAAGGTGGCAATAAACTTACAGAGATGATTTAAGTAATGATAATAAGGATTCACAAGTATTTGAGACATCCAAGCTGCGGCACAAGGCCCTCGTCGTAACAGTCCGTAGATGATCTCGTGATCTCATGATCTCACTCATTTGGTAAAATCACTACTAATGTTTAACCTACTTTCAAAGTTGATATCAAATAATAGTTCGTGTAGTTACTGTTTCAACCGATACCGTTACATTCATGTTAAGGTTCAGGCGGTGCTACCGTGGATTGAACAATCAGATATAACAAATAGAATTATTTGACGATATTTCTTCTTTTCTCAAGTTTCTTCTAAGCCAGATTTTTCGAACGGGATGGAAAATAACTCTCTTTTCTATAACCCATGATTTTCTTAGCTTGTGTCAAATATGAAATCAGCATCTTGTAACTTTATAACACATACAAATGAACCTTCCTGAGAGGTTATCTCAATTTTGTTTGATTTTCTTTGTCTAGGTGGCTTGGAAGCCTCTTACATGAGTGACTTAGCCTGTCAGTTCATGGACGTCATGTACATTCCTAATGAACTGGACGGAATCTTACGTGAGAAGAGTCACGGCATTGCTTCTTGGTGTGAACAGCTTATTAAAGACATGCTGACGAGTAATGTTATACAGGTTGTCAACGAGAGTCAAGCTTTTCTCAACAAAGAGTCTAGCTTGGACTTACTCTCCTTCGGTGGCTCTACCACGACCACTATTTCACAAAAACACAACAATGCATCGAGTTATTTACCTCGTCCCAGTACCCCGTTATATGGAAAGGCAACTGATGGAGGATGGTTAGGAGCAAACAGTCCAGAACCTAGACGAAGAAGTCTCACTCCAGGCAAAGGATTTGCATCAAACACTTTAAGCTCTGGCTTTCAAGATACCTTGGACACCTCGTTTTCTTTTTTAAGGGATCGAAGACGGTCGACAAGCGCTGTTAAGAGTCTCCAATACAATTTTGCAAATAATCCGTTTGAAATCAAGACAAAAATAGCTGAATCAGATCTGAAATCAAACAGAACGTCTCGTTATTTCCCTGAAGATGACTTTATTCAGGAGAAAATTCAATATAATTTGGAGCGAGCTAATTTTGTCAGCGCCTCCGAAAATTCAATGCCATTAGACACAAAAAAGGTTTGCATTCTCAGTCCAGGCGTTGATATTTCGAAGATAGTTGTTCCAGAATCCGTCAAAGACATGGTGCTTGCTCGAGTGGATAGAATGTTGCCTCAAGAGCAAGCCACTTTAAAGTGTGCCAGCGTCTTGGGCTGTGACTTTTATAGAAACGTTCTGCAAGCAATTTTACCAAGATCTTCTCGAAGCTGCATCGATTTGGTTTTGTACAACCTTGCTCAAGAGTCTATTTTAGAGTGTGCAAGCTTAGCTTTACAACACCAAAATGCCCATAACCATCACGGATTCTACGATTTCAACGATCCCGTGCATGCGCAACATCATGGTCATCATCACCATCATCACCATCACCACAATGTTGCGAGCTCTATCCATGCATCAGTCTATTGTGGCTGTTATGCAGACGAGATGACCAAAGTGATCAACTTGTCACGACTCATGACCCCAAGTGGTCCTAAGAAGCATTGCCTGTATATGAAATTTGTGAACACCTACGTGCAAGAGACAACGTACTCTCTTTGGCTTGAAGATCAGAAGAAAGAGCTTCACGAAAGAGCTGCCATGTTCCTCGAATCACAGGCTCACAAATGTAAATCTTGTGGCGGAGGAGGATTTGTGGCCAAAAAAGCCGATACTTTGGAGGAGCAAGGGGGTCAGGGAAAGCGCATGACAGAAGGTAAGTGACACATTGTTACTATGTTTATCTTTCTTTCTTTTCATCCTCCCTTGTTATTATTATATTGAACATTGACGAGCAGTGGTACGAGAAAAATTATTATCACATAAACTGCGGTGTTATACAAGGATTTCTGGCCCTGAGAGAAGCCGTAACGTGCAAAATATCGTATTTTTTCACGTGTGTTGATATAGCCAATCAGCTGCTTACACGTCACTCGCCTTTGGCGCCACTCGGTCAGGTTGATGAATGAACGCCAAAGCCCCCACGATTCCCAATACAAGTTGTTTGTCGGAGCTTTCTCGAATTATGGCGGCTAAAACACTAAAAACTCCGTATCCGCTGACAGACAATGAGGTTCAAACTTTCCTAAAAGGGGAAGAAAACCAATACACTAAAATAAAAACCGAAAATTGCGTATTCAGTGGCTTTGGTGTTAGCATTTCTCTCGGCTGAGAATGAAAATCGACAACTGGAAGATTTGCCGCTGGCCGATTATGGCCGTTTACCCGAAAGACTTCTTCTGTCGGTAAGGACAAATTCAATAAATGAGAATTTTGTAAATCGAAAATTACGACCATTGTTGTTTTTTTAATCATGATTCCACGCATTTTTCTGTATTAAGAGTCAGCGCTAACGCACTCTACGATTATCATTCGAGGATTGTCGATTCATTTATTTTCATTTATGAGTGAAGTCCGCTTTTATTCCCGTTAAGGGCTATTGTGGTTATATGATAAACAAAATAATACATGGTTGCTTGTAGATATGGAATTTCTCTTCTCGTGTTCAACTCGACATCTCACTCGTTCGCTGCACTCACTCGTGAGCTATAAAGTTAAACACTCGAAGAGAAATTCCATATCTACGCGCGCCCATGTATTATTCTCTATTTAATTAATAATCTAGTTAATTAAATAATTAATTAACATTCTCGTAAAGCCAGGTGCAATTAATCGTTTTCTTTTTTTCTTGTAAAAAACAGCCTGAGATAAGTTTATACCCGGAACATTAAATTTACCAGTGAAATTTTTATAGCATCAATAATAATTCCTTTAGCTTCGTCAGGAAGATCACAAGCAAGAGTTTCTTCCAAGATGGCGAAGCGTAGGAGGACAGCAGAGATGAGGGAGAAGGTGCAAAGTCAAGGAGCGTTTTCTTCGCGTACCCATGAAAGATCGTCTGACATCTCTGAGGCAAAACATGCTTTGAAGGTAAGTTCGTCTGCTGTATCTTAACCCTCTAACACGTAAGAGTGACAAGCATCTAATTCACCTTACAATATCTCCCCTGACTTAAACATAAGCGTCATGAGAATAATTGAAATGATCAACAACTTCAGAAGCTCTGGATTGTTAGGCGAATTCTCCTTGTCAGCATCTTAAGAAATATTTCGAGAACAGTTTTGAGAACATGTATAGTGATGTTAGGGTGAATGTACATCAATAATTATGGAAATTCGTACGCGTAGACTCTCAAAATACTTTGTGTTCACTTTCAATGCGCAATATGCATTTAAAGTACTCTTTTTGATATCGTTGACATTCTACTAATAAATATTGAGTATCGTTAATATTCAGAGAAAAATGTAACCAATTGTGTTATTTTGCTCTCAAGACGAAAAAACTTAAAGAATCTCCAGTGGTGAACCAAAAAGCTGGAGAAACGGAAGGTATTGGTAGTAAATTTGCCAATACTGCAGGGTTTTTCAACGATGCTGTCGTTAATCGGGCAGTTGATGATCACAGGACCAGTTGGTTGCAAAGACTTCCCTGTGCTAAAAAATTTGTAAGCCCTGGTAAAGAAGATGGAGAGCAAGATGAAGGTGTCACAAGGAAGAAAAAATTGAGACGATTCTCTTCAAAGAAAAACTCCACTATGATAGGAGGTAATGATACGATTTAGCACTCTGTACGGGGAGGTAGTTTGTTACAATAATTTTGCCGTAGATAAGATTTTAATCACTAGTTATTTTAATTTTTCTGTACAGGGCCTGAAACAAGGCGATTTTCGACTCCACAAATAGAAGAGGAAGAAGGAGAAGAAGAATGTGTTGATATCGACTTCGAAGATTCAGCAGAGTCACAACAGACTGTAATTGACCTTAGCAACTGTCAATGTGCCGAGGTGCTTGCTTCGGTCTTCCCTCAACTTGTTGATCACTGGAGAGCGGCTGGAAACAAGCTAAAAACAATGCGTTACCTGACCGAGTCTGGGGCGGCAGCATTGGCCACTTCTTCTAACATGCAAGCGTTATCTTATCTGTATGAAGTGCAAACCTTGATTGAAGAGACAAAGGATGACGAGGAGCCTCTGGCAGCTGAAGAAGAAACTGCTCGTGTGGAAAGTCTTATTGGTCAGGTAAGAGTTAACTTCACCGACACAGCTATTCTCAGATTAACTGAGGTACCCTTTTACTCAACTCCAAGAAGCCAAGTCAAACCACCACAAAATCTATAACATTAAATGTATACGTAGGAGATACTATGTATGGTAGGATTGTGGTTGCCTCTGGTGGAAACACGCCATCTTGGAGAAATCAAGTAATTTGATTTTCTCAAAGGTGAAGAAAAGAAAATAGGGGCGTGTGGCGTTTAGGACCGAGTGCGTTTGGGGCCTTTCATTTTCCCACACGTTTTACAAATAAAGCGATGAAATAAAATATATAGAGGATATTACATGGCTGCTTGAGGATACGAATTTTATCTTCGCTTCGCTCACTCGTGAGAGATACTTTCAGCACGAGAAGATAAAATTCGTATCCCTAAGTGGCCATGTAATGTTCTGAACTTCTTCAAACTACCACTACCAAGACCAAGATGGGTACGTAATTAGATGTCAGTTCACAGTGTTTTAAATATGGTTCTTTTCACAGGCATTGATTCATATGAATCGACCTCATGAGGCTCTGAGGCATTTGTCAGCGGCGCTGCTCATTCTGGGAAAGAAACAACCCAAGACGGATTTTGGATGTTATGTGAGGCTTTTGAAGGAAGCATTACGTCATTATTTGCACGTGTTTTTGCCCGGCTACTACATAGGAGAAGCGGGGTTAGTGTCTGTGAGTTTGTGCGCGCGTTAGATTCTTACAATTTGCTGGATGGAATCAATAAGTTCTCATGACTGAGAAAATAAAGTTAAAAATGTAGTATAAATTTGGTAGACGAAGCTGCCTTATCTATATTCCTTTTTTTTTCTTTTTTCACAGTGACAAATCAGCTCGATTGATTGAACAGTCTCGATGCCTGAGCCACCTGAGTCACGTGTATCACTCCCTTCACCTGAAGAAGTGGTCACTGATGGCTGCTCTTCAAGAATTGAACGCCGCTGAGGAGGCTGAAGAGAACCTTCACGAGGTTTGTTTGAGGGATATCGGAAACGTTTCGAGTGTTTAAGGGGGATAGGAATAGGATAGAATGTACCCATTTGTTCTACATTTCCTTTCTTGGTTTTTTTTTTCGATTCAATTCTAGATGGCCGTATTCAGAAAGAATTTTTGATCCATTTCCCGTCCCCCAGAGAGAGCCAGAGGGAAGGACCAGTTATATCTGCTAAAACGTACAAAACCCGAAAATGTAGAAATATCCCAAAGACAGGATCAATTTATAAAACAGATCAAGAAATTATCGACATTCTGCTGTCGAGGAACCCTCATCAAAAAGGGCTTTACTTCTACACTACCACATGTAGATGAATCACGAATCGTCAGCGTACCCAACAATCATTCGTTATGATGGATCTCCTGAATATCTTTCTACAGCTTATCAACGCATATGCAGGAGTTGTTGAGTGTTCTCATCTCGTTGGCTGGAAAGGCTGGGGAAAAACCTATGAGAAAATTGGAAAGAACAGGTACAATGCCTTTATTGGAAGCTGTATGATATGTAATTGCTAAATTTATTGCATCCGTATTCTCTTTATTTCACATCAGGAGCCGCACCACAAAGTTATTCAACTAATTTTTTAAGGCTCTTTTTGCTGGTCAATACCTCGGCTAACAAGCTTTTAAATATGTATATTCGCTCTACCCTGGATAGATTTGTTCATTTCCAGTCATGGGTGAAAAAGTACTTTACTGCGAAAAATAAGATAGACCGCTTTAGTCTTACATGTGTACAAGGAAATCACATCAGATAAACAAGGCTGCCTTATTTGTTGTTTTCTGTTATTATAGATGCGAAGATCCGTCTTTGTATTCAGATCCAGAAGATATGATGACAGTGGCTCATCTGTACTGTGTAAGCCTCGCTTTCAGACTGGCTATTGGGGGAGTGTCGATAGCTATAAACTCAGGTTTGTTGTGTTTATAAGGTAACCATCTGTCTTAAAATATTCACTATTCATGAGAGATCTAAGTACAGGATACTTCAGTTTTCGCCTTGGCATGTTCAAGTGTGAATTCTACTATTGACCCTTTTTAACTCCTTAACTTATCTTATTTCTCGTCACAATATCACCCCTGAATAACACTTTAAAGTCGCGAAATAAAGGAATGATCACCACCTCAAGAAGCTTCTGATTATCAATCAAATTCTCCTTGTTAGCACCCCAGCAGACGTACAGAAAACAGTTCGGAGAATAGCATGTTAATGATAGGGAATAAACGTTTAATAAAGGAACCTTTTCTGCTGAAACAAATTTTTCGTGAAATAGTGAAGCATAAAAATTTTTTATCAAAATAAAAATTAAGGTTTAAGTTAGCTTGGAATTAGAGACAATTACCGGCTGCTCAAAGATTTGTATTTGCTGGGTGCCGTTATCATTTCTTCGATCGAGTGGCTATTTACGGTCGTAAATCAATATTCCTCTAATAATCCGAAGCATTATCGTTTCATCATAGTTGCAGGAACGATGGCTTTTCCTGTCCTAAAACGGGCTGAAGCTGGAAATTCAGATTTTCAATTAGGCGATATTTGTTTCCAGGTTTTGGTTGAACTATATTCAGTAACTGCTTTCAACTTATATGAACGAGCCATCACTCACACTTCATTCGCATTACAAAGGTATTTGTTTTAAAGCAAAATTGAAAGCCGTTGCATGATCTAATTCTCATGTGACGCATTTATTATGCTGCAGGAAAACACGCTTTTGACCTTGCAAAACAAGTTCATGATCAGCATATGATGACAACCTGCATTCCTCTGCTTGCTCAGAGTCTCCTTTTCACAGCAAAGTGAGAAATTCTAAAGTACATGTAACTTGATAAATCAGTAAGAGAATCAAGGTTTCATTTTTTCTGATAAAATCATGGAACTAGAGGAGCGCGCGGTGTCTCGCATGCAAAGCGCAGAGAGCTGAGAATCGAAAGGGCTTGGTTTGAAACCCTAGTCTGGGTTTATGAGCTTTACTCTCATGTAGGGTGCATCGTTATATCAAAGAATACAAACATGTATCAGCAAACAGTCAAGGAAAGTTTTCGAATTGCAGATAACCTAGCTAATTTAGACAAGTATCCCATCTGCAGCCGGAGAGTAGCAAAATTGTATTTTTTTAAGTGAAAGAATCTGGGATGAGCTCTAAAAGTCATGCGAGGTAGTCTCTAACGAGACCTCAATATTACAACCTCTTGTTACACATACCCCGGTTATCTATAAACCAGATACCGTTTTCTGACAAATGATTGGCTGATTAACTTTTGGATCACAACTCTAGTATTTTTAAGAGTAAACGCTCTGCGTAAGGCAATATTCGATGCATTTGATTGACATAGCCAAGAGACAAAAACCGTTGTTCTTGAGCTAGATCATAATTGAGAATTATTTCACAATAAGCAAAACCGAAAAGTATAATCAAGATGGAGAGAGATCACCGAAATGAATAGACTAATGTTCTTCACCGGGAAGTGCTGTTGGCCAAGAAATATCTTCATTCAATGAATTTTACTCGAGCATCTTCATGCACTGTTTGGTATGTTTGATTCCTTTTTTTTTTTTTTTGTTTACCGTTCGTTACTCAGGATTCCTGACTGCATTGATGTTCTAAAGGAGCTTAATGCGGCAGCATTGGATTCCTGTGACTCACATGGCCGAGCGCTGTACATGTGCTGCTGCTTTGATTTGATCCTAGAGGCAGGTGAGGCAAAAACAAACAAACAAACAAACAAACAAATAAAACATCAACACCAACAACAATAAAGTTGTTCCGTTATAAAATTTGGGCTCGAGTTTTCATTCGTTATAAGGTGATAAAGAGGTAATTTTCAAAAACGAAGGCGGAACTAAGTTCGTTTGTATGCGCTGAGTTTGACGTCACATCAGTCATATCTATCTCAGTCGAAGAATTCGCCTGGTTGCACACTTTTAATAAGCTGGTAGTGTAGCCCGCCTACTCTTACACGCGCAGGTTAATTTATCAATGCTATATAGTTGTTTGATATGAATTGATACGAGTGATAGCCTTGTATCGAAGATTCGCTTCCTAAAAGTTAAGAAGGTTAACAGGTTTTTTTATATATCCAAATTTTAGGTTGGCGACTGGAAGATTTTGACGAAATCGTTCAATTTACGGCAAAAATGTCCACTGACCCAGCCTTTTCTTCTGATGTAGCGCCGAAGTTTTACCTGAACGTTTCTCTTGCTCTTTGGTATGTATTGTTACAATGATCAGATGTTGTCCAAACAACATCATGTTGAATGGATTGATAATGGCAACAATGGCAGAATCAAGGATATTTATAAGCAAATGCTTTCGACTGAAACGCACTCTGAGTCCCGGTAGCTTTGAGGGACTAATAAAATCAATCCTTGCCCGACTTTTTGGCTTTTTATTGAATACGATTTTAAGGCAATTATATTACCGTGCTGTTATGGCAGGTATGCTCGACGGCGCGACTGGAAGAATGCTGATTTTTTAATGTCATCTGCTTCTGGTATGTATCATTGCATTTATCTAAGATAAAGAAACAGGCTATTATCTAAAATCTTTCCAACAGTCGGAAGATTGTGGTCGACTTTTCCATTTTGTCATAGAATCTCATCTTTCCCTAACGTAAACAATGCCCGCATTTTACCTGATAATTCAACAGGTGAAAGAGAGTCTGTGAACAGGCGAAATATGTACGTGTAAATATAGGTATTTGAGAACGAACGATCTCGTTGTTACCTTTTCAACCTTGGTCAAAACAAGAATTCAAGATCGTTGAACAAAGCATAATCTGTTTTAGCTGTAGTGCCATCCAAGCTCGAGGTATTTATGTCAGTGCACGGATATGCTAAGGTTGTGGAGTTTTGGTTGCTGAAACTTCAGGAGGATGGTAAAAACCGACAAAATGAGGATGAAGTGCAAAAGGTTAGAGTAGCTTTGATCCCTTTTAGCTGATCCGTTCCTTCTTCTACGATAGCTGTTTATCCAATCCTATTATCCAACTGAACAAAGTAGAGTACAAATAACGTGCGAACAGAGTACTTGGACAGTTGGTTATTTGTACTGCTGCGCGCGCTACGCTTCTCTATCCGCTTTTCTTTTCCCGCCTTATGAAAAATGAACAGAAGACTTAGCATATATATATATATATATGGGTATTTAGGTTAACGAGTATAAATTTTTTATTTGTATTTGCTGGCACAAAAAGGCTCGCTAATTCAGCAATGAACCCACTTCACCCAGGATCTCTTCCAAATCTTTCCAATACCATAAGGCATACATTCAAAAAACTCCTAAGCTTTGAAATTGATTCCTTGTTTAACGACGTTTAGTTATGATGACATTAGTTGTCCTTGTTAGAGACCAGAATTTGTTATAGGTGTAGCACTAGGTGATGCAGGGTACAAGAGTTGTTCATTTGTAGTAGTCAGGAACGATCGAGGTATCTTAATAACCAGCTGCTGGATTTAGGAAACAGTAGGAAAACATTGATTCATCAAGCCATTTTAATAAGAGCTTCAGCTTGTTATATCAAGTGTCTCGAGGATATAAACTGATTATTGTTTGTTTGATATATAAGATACTGGAGATAAATATGCGGGAATCTCCAAAATGAACAACGAACTGAAAGAAGCAAGTGTGTTTTTCAAACACACTTCATGCTGTGTCAAGAAGGGCTGAAGTTGATGTTGGCAAGACTGATCTTTCAAAATCCTCTCGTACTCCTGGTATACCGTCTCATATTTTTCGTTTCGCATCTAACGATCATCTTATTTCTAGTGCCTGAAGAAATTCAAGAATGCTCTTAACCATCACCCAGTGTTTGATGGTCGAAGACTTCACTTACTTGCGTACTACCATCTCCTTCGAGGCAAAAAGGACAAGTGCAAATCAAAGCTTCGCAAGTGCTTTAACAAGAGCAAGAATCTTGGTCTGTGGCTCGAGGTCGAATGGGCCAACAAGAGTTTCAAGGAATGGTTCATTAGCTGGAAGGAATCGGAGCCAAATTACCTTGGAACATCTATGTTCACTTTGCCAAAACCGAAAAAAGATTAATTTTTTTTTTTACCCTTTGGCGAATCGTTAAAAGTCGTTTTCACTGACCTCTAATCGTTGTTATGATAACCAAGACATTTGATTTTGCGTTTTATTTGATTGTTGAAGAAAATTAATGAACTTGACTGTTCAGTAAGAATTCAAAATTAAAAGGAAAAAAAAAGGAATAGATACTCTATGCAAATACAACTTTTACCTGTAGATCTGGACCTCTTTGCGAATAAAGTGATTGCTATTATCAATTTCAACAAGTTTCATTGAATAAAATCTTCTTAATTTCTATCAAAACTAATTTCTGACTCACTAAAAGTAAAGAAATACTCGTTCACTATCCTTTACAAATATGTGTCATCGAGACCACTAAAAAACTCAACAGTTTACGTTATGCAACTGATTCAATGCTGTTTGCCTGGTGCTATTGCTGTAAAAAGAACTCCTGCTAAATGTAGCCTTTACTAAAAAGAATCATAAAATCTTCTCATAGAATCTTCTCTAAAAGATAAATGATTAATGCCGTTCATTTTATCAAGCTGTCTCTCGTTTCTGGGCCGTTAAATTTACATTTCGTTATCTCTGGAGAATTGAGGACAAGCGGAAGAAAAATAAAATATCGGCTAAAATGCTACTTTTGTCTCGACAATTGCGCACAGTATTCTTCAAGCGAACTTTCGTGTCAAGACGAATTCGCCGAAAGCCGAGAGATCGGATCAAAATCGTCTTCTCACCTTCCTCATTCCTGACAATATTAGCCCTTGTCTTTCAAGGATGGCATCGGTAAAGTTTTATTGATTTTTCGATAGCAGCTGGTAATATTTACAGCGCTAGAAGGCAACTCCCCTTTTTGATGACCTGCATAAAATCATTTGGAGCTCATCAAAATTGACGTCAGTATCAGCTTTAACGCCATTAGGACTCTTGTTCTTGGAAAAATGGTCTTGATCTTCATCTTGTGCTATGTTTTTTTCATTTCCTTTTTGCTCCGAGGTCTCCCTGACGTCTCCGTTTGATTGTTCCATATTTTGCTGATCATTCAGCTCCACAGAATCCGTGGAGGACTTACGCCTCTCTTGGACGATGCTATCAGAACCATAATCCTCATCTGGAGACTCATCCATGATGCTGTTAAATGAAGGAACGTTGTAGTATTCTCTTGTTTCATCCACGGCACTTAAATCCAAATAAGGGTTGTCCTTTTGCATCATAAACTCAAGTTTCTCTCGCAATTGAGTGAAGCCTGGACGTTGGTCGGGGTTTTCCTTCCAGCAATCCATCATCATCTCATAACTGTAAATAATGAACCAATAGATAAATAATCTCGATTAAGGATAACGTGTCAAGTTTGTGATTGCAAAAAAACCTGTTACCCCCAGAGTCGGGTAGTCAGTTTCATACATGCTAGTTCCTTAATGCTAATGCTTTGTTTCAATACTTGGTAAGCTATGTCATAAAAATTTTCTAAATACTTGATGATTCGGCTTACAATTCATTGTCACAGGTTTCGGGTTGTTCCATTCTGTATCCATCCTTCAACATGCGGAGAAGTTCTTTGTTGTCAATAGTCGGGTATGGTGTTCCACCTGTTTTCATTTACAAAATACCGTTAGTTTTGCGAGAGGAGTTCATAATTACTCTGTTTTTTCTAACCTGCCACCAAAGGTACCATTTCAATCTTACAAAACTTGATGGGCAGGGTCTAAAGACAGGGGTACAGTATCATGACGTGTGAGAAACAATGGACACCAAGAATATCATAACATTTTAAGAGTCCTGTTACTTTGGCTTCATAGGAAGTAACTTTTTCATATTGGGAAACAAGTCGTGATTTTAACTTACCAAGTGTTACCAATTCCCAAAGTAAAACTCCAAAAGACCATCTGAAGTCAAAAAGTGTACTATAAGTTATAAAACTCAAGCATTGCACTCGGCAGATGTGCCATGAAAATAGAATGCACTTACACATCGCTTTGAGTTGTAAATGTTTGAAGAAAAATAGCTTCGATTGACATCCATTTCAGAGGAAATTTTCGATTTGTTTTCCCCTGATAGACTCTCTCTTCATATGCTTGTCTTGTCATACCAAAGTCGGCCACCTTGGCAATTTTATTCTCTCCGACAAGAACGTTACGGGCTGCCAAGTCGCGGTGGATAAATCCCTTTTTAGCAAGGTATTCCTGAGAAAAAGCAAAAGGATAAATCTCTTGCGATTTTAGATCAGTACAAGAGAAAATCAAGCTAAGAGGCTCGAATTCTAATACAGAACAGAGAGATTATCCATGATTAATCGGGAGTCAAGTTTCTTGGTCTGTGACATCAAGCTAACTAGTGCAAGCTTGCTTCTTTTGAAATCATACGTATACGTACCATTCCTCGGCTTATTTGCCAAGCAAACGCCATCAAATCTCCTGGAGTTATGCTTTCTTCTTCTTCTTCTTCTTCTTCTTCATCTTTATTTAGCTCTTTGTCATTTTCGTCTTTATTCTTTCTTTCATTTTCTTCTCCATTGTTGCTTCCTGGATTTAGGTAACTGAAACTCACGAGTTGGATGTTTTCAGTTTCTTTTTGTTGCTGTCCTGGAGCGTTGACGTAGATGCGGTCACTCTTAGTTGCCTGATAAAGAGAGACGTTCTCTCAAGTAAGCAGAAAACATCAATAAACATGCAGTCAACCAATGTTACAGTATAAATTGGTAAGTTTTCAAAGAAACTGTGTTGCTGCGTCGGTGGAAGAGTATAACAAGCTAATTTGGTATTATTAACTGAGTTCATCACGTAAATTGGCCACCGTAAAGAGTTTCAAAGCTAACGTTTCGAGCGTTTGCCGTGCGTCAGAGCGAATGGAGAAATTGTAGGTTCTGTGCGCGTGTTTATCTGCAGAAATTGGAGCTACGCCATTGGTGGTAATATGGTAACGAGAAAAACAGGAGTACATTTGTTAAATGAAAGGCATTCGTTGTTACGTAACATAGAGTAAGATTGGCGAAGCCTTATTTATACCTTAATGGATATCCCTTCCTTTGTGCAGTATGTCTCACAGTAGGTCGAGTGATACGGTCCGCGGGGGGTCTCTGCAAGATTCTCCTTCATCTGAGGGGAGACATGAAAAGGTTGAAAGGGTTTTATAGACCTCTTTAGGTAAAAAATGAAAGGCAGTTTCAAGCAGGCGACGTTAAAGTCGTGACCATTACCCTCTGTTGCCTTGTGCTATAAAGCTACAGATCCTCAATAGACTAGGGGAGTTAATTATAATATTAATGATAATAACAATATAATAATAATAATAATAATAATAATAATAATAATAATCAAATGTTTACTAATCACCATCGCAGTAAAAAAAAGCCTGAATAACAGGGATAAAATACAATTCTACATGGCAAGATGACTTAACAGCGTTGTAAACGAAAGCGGTTATTACATACATTCATCTATGTAACTTGCAATCAGTTACCTTTCCACGGTGTTTTCTGAGATATTTAAGGAGGCTTCCGTACGGGACATATTCAAGAAGTAAAAACATAGGTTCCTGTATAGTGCAGCATCCCAGTATGTTCACGATATTCCTGTGTGATCCCACATCCTTCATGAGTTTAATTTCCTCCAGAAAATCTCTTCTTTGGTCGCTGTCTCCCATGTCTGAAAGGAAAATATGCATAGCTTGCAGATCATACTTGTGAAAAAATATTTATTCAAGAGGTGCGTCTTATCATTACATCTTCTTTCCTTTTCATTGCAATGCGGTAACCCTGGTATCATATCAGTCTCATCAGAACCTTCAGACTACATCATCACCTGCTTTTCTTGAGTACAGTCTATTTATTGTACAACGGAGAAATAATACTTACCATGGAGCATTTTCACTGCGACTGTGCACACATTATTTCCTTTTATGGTCCGCGAGGCTTTCAAAGTGGAATTAAATGATAGTGAAGATGCTCCTTTAAGAGTTCCTTTGAACACTTTTCCAAAGGCTCCCTCATCAATCTCCTCTTCCAGGGTCACACGGTCCGGATCAACCTCCCACTGGTCTATTATCGAACCGTTTTTACTGTGGGATGAAAAGCAGAAATATCACGATGAATAACACGAAGACAAATGAGAAAACTGAGAGTTTACTTGGGCCACGTGACCCATCTTAGTGACATTAGAGGGTGGTACCAATGACATCGATAAAAAGGTGAAGGGTGTTCAAAAGTGTTTTCAAAACAAATTTTTTTTCGCAATATTTCCCACTTTTGTTTAAGGGATCTCTCTGCAAACTTTCACAAGGGGGTCTTACTTAAAAAAAATCCATTTAATCAGAGCAGCTTTGTCAGTGCGTATAAGAAATGATCCAAAATGTAAAATGTTTCTTTCTAGCGTTCGTCTACTATTTAAAACTAGTACTTGAGTGTTTCCTTCTGATAGACGAAAGATTTTTTCTCTTTATTAAAGAAGAAGGTAATTTACTTTGATTGAATGGACTCTATTTTACGCAGTAGAATGCCTTTTACCCTGGAATGAGTCCGTCAGCCTTTAGACGCCTCTGTCTCTCTCTGTGATACCAGGTGATTAAACAAAGTGCAACCAAAATTAACAGCAACGAACCGATGACTAGTGCAATTATTTCACCTGAAGACATTGGGTGCGAGACCTGAGGGTCTGCCAAGGAATGAATAAGTGATATTAGTGTAATACAGGAAAACGACTTGCCCATAGCTAATTATAACACGATAATCTCGTCAGAGAATAATGCGAACAGATCTGTTAAGTTCAAGGAACTGACCATAGACGTCGTTTAATCACCAATTGTGCTTACATTTCGTTGTTCAAACAGTACACAGTAACAAGCCAGCCTATTAATTCTTGCAATCGTAATACATGATCTGCATTTGAGTGTTCTAGTCTTTCTCTTCACCATAATGATTGCATTTTAACATTACCATGTCTTTTTGGAACTTATAAATAAATCCAACCATGTTACTGTTTTTATTTGGGGTGTAGCCATACTGTGCAAATCATCAAGAAACATCTATTTTTATCACATGTTTACCGCCACGATTCCGTGATCGAGCGACGTAAGAGGTTCGCCTCGAAAGGAACTTTGGTATTGTTCTCTTACCAGATAAAGAAGTTCTGACGATCGATATCCTGTCTTCTTGCCCCATGATATTGTTCACTTCAAAAACTGGAATAACCTGTTAACAACAAACGAGGAAAACGACGAACAGTGTAGGAGTTATTATTTAAATGAATAAATAAAGAAGATGAATGGATTGGACTCAAGCAGAGCTCTTGATCAACTGTTTTCTTGGTCGAAATTGAAATGAGTGATACCGGTCTAGAAATCAAACTTAGGCATCACTTCTGTTGATGTTAAAAAATCAAATATGATCGATTGCAAACTTAAAACACTTCTTATGAACTATTCTTATATCTAGATTTTAGTTTTGTTTATTTTACTCAGTCTTTCGAGATTAATCCCCAAAAATAAAGATTCGAAAATTACCCTAAACTCAAATTCTTCATCCATCTGGATTCCGTCGATTGTGACGTTATTAGATCTCTGTAATGACAAATTAAATTGCAATTTAGTACTAGTATTTTTAAATACATTTTACGATTATGTATTAGTTTAAGGCTAAACAATAGATCGCAAGCACATTTTGAAAAATATATCCATGCCTACGCAAGTCGATGAATGAATCTGTAAATCCATAAACCATCATATAATGAATAGAGAGATGAATAATGATGAATGAACAGTTTCAGGAACTTTACTGACCGTGGTAAGGTATGTGTCGAAGTCAGTAGCCCTTCTCGTTTTCTTTCCAGTTTTCGACGAGATGTTGCTTATCTTGTATCTGTAATGTTGAACTGTGCTGTGGTTGAACAGCGGTTTCTGCCATGACACTGTCGTGCGAAATGATTCGTCTGCGCTAGACACCAGTCCACTATGTCGCAGTCCAGCAACTTTCACCAGTTCCGCTCTAGGTCCTGGATGTATTCAAACGAAGCATGGCTTCATGTATAGGAGACATATTTGCAATGGTTTTTTAATCATGGACACGGTTGTGGTGATTTTTTGTGTAACGCTGTCGATAAGTTAATTATTGTCTCATTTTACTTTTTTCATGAGGGGTTGGAATTACTCATTTGTAATTAATATCTGCCCCCTCGTTTCTGTGACTAATGACAAAAATATATTTTTGATTTATAGCTTTGTTTTCTAAAGTCATTGGCGTTGTTGCTTTTTTGTAAACTAAGTTCAATTGAGATTTTATAATTCTAAGCCTTCCTACACTCATTAAAACCTTATGTAGCGACTCACCTGGTGCAGTACCTTCTGCTTCCTTACGTTTTCCTCTAATGTACTTGTTGCTGTAAAAAGGCGTTACCTACAAAAGGAAAAAAATGGCGAAGTCAGACAATCCTACAGTTTAATGATCCAACGAAAAAATGACAGATGAGGAGTAAAACTATGCTTGAATTAATTTTTATTTTATATCTAGGTGATAATAAATCTCACTAGACTGCTTTTCAGATCTTTATTCATTCAGCGTCCTCCGTCTTTTAACCGGTTTTTTCTTTTGGATTCAATCACTGGGCAAAATTAGTTACCTCGATGTTGACACGTTGCTGTGGCAGTATTCCTGCTATTCTGAATAATGTTCTTTGCTGTAAGACATAAATGAATAAATTCATGAATATATTTGTGCTACATAAACACATGATGATGACATAATGAAAACAGTAAGTGGATCAAAGAGTAACCTATTGCCTTTCAAATTGCCAGAGAGACTGTTTCGGGGTGGAACGTACTTTTCACATGATAAAACCCGCTCAAAATTGATGGACAATAGGTCCAAAATGCATCTTTGATAACTGTGTTTTCAAACACCCCATAGTTTTAAATTTTGTTAGGCTTTTAATACTTACCAAGTTGGTTTTGGTATAACTTTGAAACTCATCACGTGGATAACCTGAGAAATGGCATGACACGTTGTAATAAGCGATTTGCTTGTACTTGAAAGATGGTGGTTCCCACGAGAAGTTCACGGCAAATGTGTTACTCTGTTCATGTTCCACAAACTTTCCTGCAATGTTGAGATTCTGTACCATGAGTTCGCCATCAGGAGGCACTGAAGGGATACAAACAAGGCATGTATCATGATCACCGTTATCATCATAATTTGGTTAAAGAAACAGTGGTCTCATGTCTCGCGCGCTGAACAGTCGGCTGGAAATGTTGGAGCCCGTACCCACAACCCTGACTAGGGGTTCATTGTAGGTGAGTTCCCGAGAGAGAAATTTTACTCTCAGAGCCTGCCTGCCTCCTTACAGAAGTATGTAGGGAAAGCAGCGAACTATTAGGAAGCTTGTCGCAATGGTTTGAAAGTGGAAGGGGATGCAAAGCCAGGTGGAAATAGCTACAGGTGAATTCTTTTTTAGCCGGGTTCCCATAAAATGATCATCGGGTTGATTTACTAACCAGGTGCGTTAAAGGTGTCAGAGGAACTTATTCCTTGAATCCTACTGTTGGCAAAGTGTGGGGTAACCTGTAAAAAAAAAATAATAAACAAATAAAAAACGGAAACCTTATTTTCGAAAAGTAAGTATGACCTGTGGAATAGTATATTTTGTGAGTGAGTGTGTAAATTTTTGCTTCGATGCATGAAAGAAATTGCGTCAAACAGCTGGTAGCAAAGCATTATCAAGGAAAAGTGAAATCCAATTGTAAGTCAGATCATGGCGATTAATGAAACGGTGATGAAAGGTGACACTTCTGTTTACATCTTAAAATGCAATACTTACACTAACTGTTACTGGCTCTCCGTGTGTGATGCCATATATGATTAAATAGGTCCTGTTCTAAAGAAAACGTGAAATGTACAAGTGTAAGTTTGAGAGTACAGGGAATAAGTTGAGCAATATATATACAGCAATAATATGTGTGTAGCAACGTAGTAACAGGTTATCGACCGAATCTCACAGATCAATAACTTACATTACTCTAATATTTTTTTATTTCTAAGGGGCTACTACTAGAAAACAACTTAAGTTGAAGTAGCTTCTTTAAGTTTAAAATACTTTCTGTACAAGTTTGGCAGAAGAACAAAACTAATCATTTCTGCCAGTGATTTACATAGAAAGTTACCTACCGTTTGCGTTACATTTTCGTCCCCGCCGTCTATTTTAAATGAGACAGAGTAAGATAAAATTTGGCTGTAATTGAAGAAAGGGTTTTTCCAGGAGACATTTAAACGGAATTGTCCAGTCAAAGGTATCAAGACGAAACTTTCAAAGTCCAAGTTCTGCACCACAATATGGGACGAATTGGGGCCTTTTAAAAAGATTTATGAACAAAAATTAATCCATGATTAGCTGAAAATGAAACAAAATAAACCTATCCAAATAAATACATAAATAAAAAATGAAAAGGATAATGAAAGAAGCGACAACCTTCCGCTGACTAAGTGGATTAAGATCGTCCAAGTTTTAGACAGCGTTAGATCAGAAGTAGAAAGTAGAAAATAGGGTTGTAATTTAACAATGATCATATTTCTACATTTGTGTCTCTTACAGAAATCTTGGAATCTTATACTTTGCCTCAAATCCCTTAAGAAATGTTATTTTACAAGCGTTATCTAAAGCGCAAAATACAATGATTGGTCAACATTAACTTTCAAAGCCAATGCTCTCAGGTCACAAAAGTGAGTTGAGTCGCTTACGAGGAGCACTGTTGACCATTTCCTTTTCCCTTCCAATTATATCAGAATGCGTAAAGACGGGTGTGATCTGTAGAAAAAGATACGACAGTGCAGTAAGTAAAGGGGGTAAGTTTCGAATAAAACGGTAATGCTGCGTCGGTGGGAGAGTATAACAGGGTAATTTAGTATTATTAACTGTGTTGATAGCGTAAATTGGCCACCGTAAAGAGTTTCAAATCTGAAGTTTCGAGTGTTAGCCCTTAGTCAGAGCGATGGAGTGGAGCAAGTAGCTTGATTTGTAACCGTCGTTTCGGCTCGTCACACAAACGGCAGATTTAATAGACGGAGACAGAGAGAGAGAAACTGAGGCAGAGGTCACTAGTCGAGATGTCACATAGCGACCATTGATACAAGGATCACTCACACAAAACTGCTTTTTGATAAACTCGACCACAGGACGTGTCATTAATACAATTGACGTGGCTTGCCCACTGTAAAAGTATAGCGTCGAAGTGAAACGGTAAAACGCACTTACATCGAATGAAACAGGCTCTCCATGTAAGATTCCATGAATGATAGAATATGTTTTGTTCTGTAAAGATGAATAGCAATAATTAAATGAGCAAGTGGAGAAGACATCTATTAACTGAGTGTTGGTAGCTTTCACGTATAGGTGAAAGGTGGATATCAAACGTTTGGTGAAGACTACTGGTGTTCCGGGTATTAGAAAACGTGCTTTCCAAGATAGGAAATTAATTTACTTTTATGGCTTATATTTGTCTTGTCAAGCCGATTCATCGATTGTAGTAAGGAAATGGAAAGGATATAGTGGAGGGAGTCAATTTGCAAATAGGCAGTCGTTGAGACGTACATTCATTTAACCGTAAATGGTCATAAATCAAAACAACCCGAGATCTATCTACATTGTCCACTATCTATGTGCACTTATTAATAGCCATCGTTTGGGCAATTGTGATTAATTTTCATTCTTGTATATGGTCTTTCCAGCAAAAACTCTAACTGTACAAATTTAGTGGATTGAAAAAAAAATTGCATTTCAACATGGCCACTATTTGATTAGTTTCGTGCCGAGAAATGTGGCTGCTGTGACGTCAGAGACTTTCTGTAATGACGAATCTTTTGCAATACTTACGGTGTTGAGAGAGCGTTTACTTCCTTCATTCACTTGGTAGCTGATGGAGTACCATAGCACACGGCTGTAGTTTAAAGAGGGCTGGTGCCAAGTCGCATTTAAGTCAAAGGTCCCCGTTTGTGGTGAAAAGATGAAATCGTTGAGCTCCAAGTTTCGCACCACCAACTCAGCAGGATTAACAGCTGTAAAAAGAAAAACAACAATATTTAGAGTTAGTAAAGTTTTACAAGATTTGATTTTCTTCTCACCAACATGAACTACCCACTGATTATTGTAGGGTCTCAATGGGGTGATGGCTCTTATGACTAACAGTTAAAATGATTAATAATAATAATAATAAATAAATAATAAAATTAATCAATAATAAATAAATAAATAATTAATGATAAATAAATAATTAATATTAAAAATTAATAATAAAATTAAAAATTTTATTTGGTTATTTTACGATAACAGTCAAACCAAAATGACCAAAAATGACCGGAAATGACCGAAAATGACTTTATGTTGATAGGAAGAAATTCTACGGTTATTTATTTATTTTTTTAGTGCTAACGGTTAAAATTTGTTAATTTTCAAGCCTAACGTCTAATTTTATATGGCCGTTCTACAGCTAACGGTTTCCCCTATTGAGACCCTCTTCATGTACTTCCACTTTCTAATCAACATCTAAATTCAGACTATTTACTTAGTTTCGGTTGCCAGGTGACAGTTTAATGTTCTAATTTTCTTACCAAGAGTAGATATTGAAATAGTGTTATCAACACCTACAGGTGCAGAATTCTGGAAAAAAGGCAAAACCTGAGGGGAAGCAACCACACAACTTTTTGTTATTATTTTCAAGACAATATTACATTGCTTTACGGATTTTGCAGATTGTTTTTTATTCGAAAAAAGGCATTCCCATGAAAAAAATGCAGCAACTAATCCTCTCCGTACTAGATTTAATTCAGAAGCTTCGTCAGTCAGTCATCTGCTGTGTTTCTCCCCTCGCAATAAACTGAAAACTTTGCAAATTTGAAAATACTATCTCTCTTCTCTTGTTCATGTTATGCTGCGGGAACAGGCTAGGCTACAAAAGAAATTCTCTCTCTTAACTTGCATTTAACATATCCGAAACATTCGCCAAGAGATAAATCCTCACCGTTACTTCAAAAGTTTCAGCGGGTGCTAATGACTTGATTGAGTATGACGTTTTCTTAAAAAAAGGTGGAGAAATCATATATTAATTTTGGGGTTTTAAACTATAAACTTTTAGCTTTGTAGAAGAGAAGCGGGTAAAAAGCCAATTTTTTTTCTCCGAGTATCCTGTCGCTACGGTTACCCCTCCCCCTCCCCCTCCCTTTGAAGATGATTGGTGATGAGTAAGTTCAAGCTCACGGAATATCGAACTTTCTTCCGTTTCCTGTGACAGTTCAAGAGCTAGCGGGGTTCTTCTGCCCCTTTGATTGACACAGCTCTAACAATTACTATCCTTAATGTACTTACAGTGGTGGAACCATAGCCAAGGATGTAATAGATCTCTATTGTCTTGTAGGGATACAGAGGAGGAATCCATGTCAAATTCACAGTGAATCTATAGCCCTCTCCAATAGCAATCGAACTAATGCTGAGGTTTCGGACCTGCCTATCCTTGTCTGGTGATCCTGGAGGATCGACTGTAAAGTAAAGGCATCACGGCAGTAAAATTCACGTTGTAACGCGACGTGAAAAATGAATGAAAACGATTGCACGACAAGTCATGTAAGCAGTGGCGTTCAACCAAATAGCAAAGGCATCAGAGATGTCTTCTTGATAAGCATTCAGTGATGGTTCAAAAACTAACCAGCAAAAAGTATTTCTTACATTTATAGCATAGGTCCACGGGATAACCGGTGATATTCGCACATCCTGTCAAGTAAAGACATGAAAATCAATAGTGTTATGTATGTAATTTTGCAGATGCGTTCTTCCATCACTTTAGCGCATTTGATGAAGGAATTGGATAAATGAGAGTCGAGAGTGGCAAATTTGCGACGTGTATGAAATGTTGAGGTGAAAATCAACAACTTACTCAATCTACTTGTGACCCAAGGGACGGCAAAAATTCGCGAGGTCCATGGCAGTAGCTGATGTGCTCCCCCTACTATCCCATGTTTTGGAAATTCTGGCTGTTCTCCTATTGCTTGGTGCATTTAAAGTCACTTGGGCTTGGTGATTGGAATATGAATCGTATGTTCTACACAATTAAGGCACCTGAAGGTGTCTGACAGTCTGTTAATATATGCTCATTCGCTCTGACGAAGGGCTAAAGCTCGAAATGTTAGCTTTGAAACGCTTTACAGTGGCCAATTTACGTTATCAACTCAGTTTATAGTACTTAATTACCCTGTAAATATATGCAATGGTTTATTAATTGCCATGGAACTGCTTAGGATGTTCTCTAACGGAACCCATACACTGTGCAATGGCTGATGAAAGCATAAAGAGCGTACTTTCAAGCTGCTTGATTACTCCTAATCTCAGTTTGAATGCTTGCCAGCCTCAGAAACAACTTAAGCTGTGAAGTGAGGTGAGGTGAATTAGCTACAGTATGAGAGATCGATTATCTAACATTGGGAATTCTTACCAGGGTACTCAAAAGTTATACTTGTTGCATTGCTCTGTATGCAGTGTGACATTGCGTAGACCTGCAGTCAAAAAATATAGAGCGAACTATTACCCTCTTAAATATTTGCAAAATACTTGGTTTTCTGTGTTAGCTTAATACGTGTGATATAGAACTGCGCATAGACCTATACACGAAACATAACAGCATATAAACATTTCCTACCTTTAAAGTATTTCTGCATTTCTTTAATTTTTCATTAAGTGTCATGATTCCAACAGGGTCAGTCGACTAAAACAAATAAAAAAGTGTTGAGTGATGATGAAATCAAATAACACACATTGGGACTAAGGGATAAAAGTTCTTCAGTTTCGTATAGTACAGAGTTTCAGACTTTGTCTTTTGAACGTAATTTATCCCCTAGAGTTCGCTCAGTTTCTAGTAAGTTTACCTTTAAGCATACGTGCTATAACTATATCGAGAAAAGTTAGCTTACTACAGTATTCAGCTTTTATTAGCTGGTTTCAGCTCAATACAAATTGATAAAAAAAGTTCGTGCTTAGTGCATAATCTCTGGTTGGGCGTTAGTCAGCATTTTCTTAACTTCTGGGTCAATTTTCAGCCTCCAGAAGAGAGGTTCTTATAATTATTTATGGAAAAGTGCGCATGTATTGTTAGCTACACTGGTTCTTCACCTACCCCCGTCCTTTTCACTCTCCGAGTACCGCCATTGTCTAAAAAGCATTCATATTTCCACACCATGAAGTGGTCGGAAATTAGTTCTTGTTCTTTTGTTTCGTTGAAGAACAAAAGTAAGTTAGTAACTAGTTAAAACTTATATGATTGCAACAGAAAAGTAGTGCAAGCAGTACTTGGACGTTCTGTAGTCAGCCACGTCCACAACTAGGTCCTATCTTCCTCCCTCTCATCCTCCATATAGCCATTCCCCCCTTTCCCCCATATAGCCAGTCCCCCCTTCCCCCCATATAGCCATTCCCCCCTTCCCCCCATATAGCCATTCCCCCCTTCCCCCCATATAGCCATTCCCCCCTTCCCCCCATATAGCCATTCCCCCCTTCCCCCCATATAGCCATTCCCCCCTTCCCCCCTTCCCCCCATATAGCCAATTCGAATTAGAGCGAATTTTGCCTCAAAAGGTTGGAAAGTAGATCACAAGAGGGATCAACCATTATAAAGCCTTTACAGCGGTTAATATGAGGTATGTTTGTATCGTTTTCGAAAAACTTATTTATCTGCCTGTCTGTCAAACAAGTAATTACATTCAGTACATGTACATACGTTTTGACTGAGTCCAATTGGCCTTCAGCTTTAATCTGTTGCTTTTATAGCCGTTACCGTCATAGACAAGACTTATTAATGCCAAGTCACTGACTGGAGCAGGCTGTGGTAGGGCTGAAAAAAAAAAAGAAAAAAAAAAAAGCGATAAGCTATTAACATTCCCCATCGTTTACAACTACAGGGAGGAAAGGTGCTCTACAAATGGAGAAGCATACCCGCTCATCCCGAATGGATACTTGTTCTTATCGTTGCCTAAGCGAAGTTTCCTTTACTTTTCTACAATAGCTGTGTACAGCACGTATGTGGAGTTCCATAGATTCCCAATGGCTGCTTAGCTATCAGTATTTATTTTCCTCAAAATATGTTCCAGAGGATGAAAGGTTATCATAAGAGGAGAAGAAAATATTTGACATGTGTATCAAAGCAACTTACATATGGCATTCGTCTGTTCTCCGTTACTGACTGATGAATTCTCTGTAACGACTGCAACCTTGAATGCGAAGAACATCCCCTTAAATGTTTGGCGGGAATTGTAATTGCGACGCAAACCACACAACTCAACAGCGGTACGAAGAAGAGCGCGAGGGCTTGTGAACACCTGCCAAAATTAGAGAAAATGAGACCCAATATGTTTATGTAATCATTCTGAGTTTAATATGACTTAAATTCTGCTTAATCAAAATAAAATCATGTTAAGCCTGAAAAAGTTGGAAAGGTAAGTAAAAAACTGACTCACACTAACTGAACGATGTAGTTGAGTCAATAAATTGATGAATGGAAAAATAAACGCACGGAAGAACGAATGAACGAATGAATAAAAGTATAAATGGATGAATGAATTAATCGATGAATGGACTGATGAGTGGATAAATGGAAACTAAGGTTTAGCGATTAATGGGAAATAGCTCTTCGTAGCTTTCTCGGCGGTAGTTTCTGAGGGAAAATTTTGCAGCGATCATGGAATGGAAAATACCAAAATGTAGCGCGACGTGGAATAACCTCTTCCTTTTTATGCGCGACTCACTTCCTTCAAGGAGACAGAAGTTCAGCAATTTTACGACTTGTAAAAAACGTTTGTAACAACTTCTCTAAAAATTGCTAGTTCAAATACAAAACAGAGGGAGCGTGACTTGACCGTTCAGAATTTAAGAGTAACTGGAGTTTAATCGAATATTTTTTATCTCGTCTGGTTCCCGTGTTTCTCAATGAATTTGATATTTGAGCGAGGGAAACTGTGGAATCTGCTTATCGCAACAGTACCGACCCTGTGGTTTCCAGGGTTCAGGATGGTAAATACGCACATTGGTATACGTTGAAGAATAATCGCCCATTGTGTTCACTGTAATCAAGTACACAGGAGTACCACTGGCATTTTGCACAGGATCCCACTGCAGCGATAAAGAGGTGAGGTCCATATTTATCACTCTTGGTATGCTCGGTGTCGGAATCTTGGAGCCGTCACCTTCTTGTATTGAGGCAAAGTTGTTCAACTGCTCCACAAATTCACAACTTGCCACACAGCTGCTTGAATTTCCCTGCAAAAATAGTAATAAAATTTTGGTGACAGATAACGATCCTTTTAACTGTTAACTACTGCTGATTTTCTTTTTAGGTTTTTGAATGAAGAGGAATATTCCCGCAAAATATTTTTGGAAGGTGACAACAAGCTAGCTCTATCTTGCAAAGTTGCAATTTGAAGAGGAAGTAAAACAAAAGTAAGCGATCTCCTACCAAACTGATGACAAATTACTTCTTAAAACTTATATGAAAAGCATTGCTTATATTCAATAAGTGCTCAAAAATAGTATTGGATCATGTAAGCTAGCTATCGTTGATTTATTATGATGCAATAGATACAGTACACATGAATAAGCTATGACTCAACTGGGGAAGCGAATTCAGTTTTTTACTGTGTGTATATGGCGAAACCAACACTGATGTCTTTGAATGGTAAAATATTCCATCGTTAGTTATTCCTAAGAGTTTGATATGCTTTCTTTCAAATAATAGGTCTAGAGGGTTCGTACTTACACAATTTTGTAGACATTGTGATTCAGAGTGGCCCAAAATTACATTCCCACATGGTCCTAAACACTTAAAAGAGGTAAAGGTGACAAAAATACTGATTATCAAACAGAATTATTGTCATAATCATCGTCATTTTTATCATTGTCATTCTATCTTCATCGTAACGTCATCGTGACCAAGCATGACATGAAAAAAATGTGTCAAAGGACTTACCTTGGTACAAGATGTACTTTCACAAATTTTCTCTGAATGGTTATGAACTGCATACTACAATTTGAGCATACAAAGAATTATCAACTGATATGTATTTGTTTTGAGGATCAATAATTTGAAACTGTAAACTTTCTCAGGGTATAATCTTATTGAGGATCCTTTACATTCGCGCTGAAAATAATAGAAAGTTCCTTCGGTGCATCGGTAAATAACCATATATATTTACTTGAAAATTGCAACGGAATTACCGCTGCCTGTACCGACTCAACTCTACCACCCAAAGAATTGAAAGCACCATTCGTAATTCATTTGTCACATTACAACTACTCGAAGATGGATTTTTTTTGGAAAGCCTTTCTGACATGTTTTTGGCCTTTTCCATTTAGTTTCTTAGATTTCCTTTTCTTCCTCTCTTCGCCATTTTAAATTATTTTGATCTTTTTATGAGCCGAAAGTTTTTTCCTATTATTTTTTGCCTCTTAGCAACGTACAAAGTAATGACGTCATGATAAACACATTGATTTTGCTGTGGAAATTTCGGGAAATAAGCTAAGGATTCTATTGGAATAAAGACTTCATACAGCTTTGCGAAACGGATGATAATCGAGCTTCACATCAACCCTCGGTTTTTTCTTTCTGTCAAGACAGATACATTATTGCAACAGCTTGCTCTCAGAATTCTCTCTGGTGCAGGCGGCAAATTGCAAAGAAAACGCGGTTGCTTGATATATTAACAAATTTATTGAAATTTGTCTGTATCAAAAGTTTGCATTTACATTTTACATTTTAGTACAACAGAGCTGTTGATTTTTCCCAAATGACTTTAGCCCTAGCCTATAGATCTATGGATTGTTTTTATTTCTTTTTATGAAAAAGACTGTTACTATGTAAAGTGTGAAATGAGGTATTAATATGACTGACCTTACTGATCATTCGAACAAAAACTTTCAAATTGTTCATGAAGGTCTTTGGGTCACCGAAAGTTTATTTTAACTGAGGAAAATTTTCTGCAAAATTGATAATGTGCAAAAGAAAAGCCATCGACTCTCTGTAACCTTATTTTTTTAAAATTATTTACAGGAGCTTTTGTTCAGACGATTCACTTTCAAAAGTGGCCATATGAACGTTAGAAGGACCAGCGCTAATCATTTTACTTGGACTTAGCGTTAGGCCAGTATTTTTGTTTGTGTAAGCTTGTTGTTTAGGAACGAGAAATTGAAAAACTAATTATTAACACAAACTTAGCCTTAGGATAGTTCGAAAAATTTCGAGTCTATTCTACAACCTAAGGGTTAATCACGAACGAAAAATCTGTACTTATTTTAGAAGAAGAAGAAGGATTCTCGCAGGCGATTTCACTTTCTTCTTTACCTTAGTACGGTCGAAAATCAATGGAAATTAAAAGGCACCAGAGAATTGAGAGATCAAAGTTAAACGATTATATCAGTAATTATACAATTGCAGTTCTACGTATTCAAAATGTTGGTACAGGAGTAAAAAAGTGGATCCAAAACTTATGGAAGTGTGCTTTGTATGTTATTAACACGCTCTAGTCGAGAAATGAGAATGCAAATGAGAAACTTATATCATGTAAAGCGCAAGAGATTGTTCACTAAGAATTAAGTTATGATCTTGAGTGCGTGTCTGAAAAGACTACTTGACTGTGAAGCGATAACCAGCTCTTTGAGCGAATTTTATATATTTTTATATGTACTGTTCTCAAAGTCGAGAGTCCTATCTTAACTGTTAAAGTTAGAGATGAAGTTTACTTTTTCAATCAAAACTATATTTTCATTTTTTTTTGAAAAACAATCTAAATTATAAGGAATATTTGAAGAAAGATCTAGACGTTTAATTTCAAAGTAATCAATTGGTGTGCATGTATAATAGACTAGCTTTTTGCGCGGACACCTCGAAAACCACTTAAGAGAGGCAATTATCAGTAGGAACAGAAAAAAAATTCAATACAAGTGAGTTTTTAATTCGCCAAACAAAGCAATGTTTTTGTGGGATGTTATTTAAAGTGCGGCTTTTTGACCTGAAAACGGAAACCGCTCTTTTCTTTGTGTCTTCTTGGACATGCGTCACCGATCCACAAACACTTTATGACTCAACACGCACATGATAAAATTCCAATGATCAAAATGATTTGTTCCAAGCATTTTAGAGTTGATAAATTTAGGATCTCTTACATTTTTGATGAGATCTTTTTAATACAGGTGTTACATAAAAACAGCTGGTCGATCTCGATCAGTTAGCAGGTATGACATCATTTATTGGTTTTATTAATTTCCGCGTTGGATGCCGGCCCTCTTGCCAGGATGTTTAGCAAACGAATATCGTCGCATCCCGGCATGATATTTTAATTTAGAGAGTATATGATGCTGATTTCCCCCTAGCAATAGGATTTGAAACATTTCACACTAAGAGCAGTCATTAGTCGAGAATATTGATCGTAGTTTTGATTTTGCCATCCGACCCCGAACAAACATCCGGTGGCGGGCGAATTACTTCAAGGAATAACATCTGATTACTACAAAATGCGCAAATAACTGAAATCAGTAGCACTCGATCTTCAGCTTTTTTCATGAAACGAACAATAGACCCCAATATCGTGGCAAATTTGTCTCGTTTTTTACTATCGACTCATTTAACGCAAAGAATGGAAAAGAATTATTAGAGTTTAACTTGAACTCACCTGAGTATAACAATTTGCGGTACAACGTGCTTTTTTTACAATTTTGTCATAAGAAATGGAAAATCCTTGGACACTCAAACAACACATAGCCACGCAAGTGAGGAAGAAGAATCTGACGAGATGACCATCGTGAAGAAAGCGAACTTCTAACGCCATCCTACAAAAAGAAGTTGAGAAGTTGAGAGACAGTGAAGTCTAATATTGCCGAGACCCTCTGCACATTAATCAACCTTAGAAGAAAACGGAAAATTATCAGAGATCGTCTACGCATTTGTTTTATAAACGATTAGCTATGAGGCAAACAAAACAGGAATATTGATTGGCGGAGGTCAATGACGTGAATAAGAGGAATTAATATGCACATTTGGCCACAAACGATGTAAGTAGATTTTAGATGATAACCAGGAGCAAAAGAATCCAAAAGTGAACAAATTTTTGTAATTTTCAGAGACTGTAATAACAGAAAAAGAAGAAGAAATGCAGCTGAGGCCGATGTAACGGAATATTTAGAGCGGAACGAGTGATAATTGCTCTCAGCAATGAATTGATACGTTTTCCTCTCGCTAGGAAACTCACACTGATCCATTCAAAACTTTTGTACGCGCAAAAATTTTGATTGATAAAAGTGCTTATTTTTAGTTACATATTAGGGTTAGAGGTGACTCTCAGGAGTGGTACTTTTCTAGAAGTTATGAATAGAAAATAAAATTGATAACAGTTTCTACTTTTTTCTATAAACTTTTTGAGTCGAGAATGTCACTCTATTTGTTCTCTAAGTGTGATTCTGCGCAGGCTTGGGGTCTAAATTTAGAAGAGAAAAAGAAATGAAAAAGAAATTAAAGAAAAAAAAACCATTGATAGCCAACCAAGGTTTTTCAAAAGAGGTCCTCGACGACATAAAGTTTCATCATAACTATACTTTTCCGCTGTTAACTGCGAAGTATTGAATTAATTCTTCAGCCATATGCATGATAAACGAACCGGCCATAAAACTTATGATGAAATATGTCATGTACGAGAACAACTGCAAAAGCATGAAGCAACCGGAGCAAATATATTCTGACAGGAAGTATTGTGACGTCAGTCTATCGTAGCTAATTCCTCCCTTCCGACCAACCATCCCAATGATTCATGAGTTGTCTCAGACAATTTCCGGTACTCATTCACACTCCTGCTTATTTTAGAAAGAGAAGCTGCAATGGTACCACGTCTATTCGAGGTGCATCAGTACGGCGCTTATTCGATTTTCAGTGCGTGAATCATGCATTAGCCGATCCTGTTTCCGGGGTAAAATACAATAGAGAACATATTGTTTCCAATTCTTTATCAGATAAATAGAGAATAATACATGGGCGCGCGTAGATATGAAATTTGTCTTCTCGTGTTCAACTCGACATCTTACTCGTGCGCTGCGCTCACTCGTGAGCTATCGAGTGAAACACTCGAGGAGAAATTCCATTTTGTTAATTTCGAAACGCTTAGTTCGTACACTCTTTAATTTAGTATCGGTTTGTTCTGGTTTATTTTTATCAATCAGTCTTCGTTAGTTAATGATTATTACATAATAAGTTTGTTGTCTCCAATCAATTGCCATTATAAGGTTCGATTTTCGATCATCGTTACTAAATCATCGCTATTAGTTTGTTCCTCGATGCTTTCGCTGTCAGTTATCTGCTATCATTAGGAGTTAGACCAAAGTAAGTCTTATCTATTTTACATTTACGATGTTTACCTTTTGTCTATATTATTGGTGTAGTTCTCGTATTCAGTTTTCTGCGCAATCGCTTCATTTTTAGTCAGGTTAATGTTACATTTCGCAACGCATTTTTCTTAGCTTAGTCTCTGTTGTATTTTCTTTTAGTTCGAACCACACAAACTCAATCGCTACTTCGATCAAACACAAATACGTCTCAGCGCTATGTTCTACAATTATTAAAGATCGCTTCACATTCTATGTGCGTTCGTCTACTCAGCCGCCCACGTAACCTTTTTAGGTTACACACATCTACACGCGCCTATTCTCTATTAATCACGCGTCAATCAACAAAACAGTCTCTATTATGGTTCTTTAGTTCTTTCCTAAATATATTCATTAATAATTACATTACTCGATGAACACATATATAATTATGCATTTTTATATTTAAATTTTTTGAAGATAAGCCTCTAATGAACACAACCAGCCTATTTTTCCTCACAAATACATGTGGACGAAATTCTAATTCAATTTCGCAAGAAATACAATTGGCACTATTTGAAATATATAATCAGCAATCAATGATAAAGAAATGCGAGGTTAAATTACAGAAATACTTTAACACGGATTGAGTCGGATTGCATGTTAAGAGTTGGTTTTAGTTCTCTGATGAATAACATCTCGTGCACCAAGCAATCGAATCTATTTTTGCATTTCTTTAGAACATCGAAGCGCCTCAGTAGGACCTCGCCTCAGTAGGACCTCGCCAAGGAATAGAAGATGACCGTTGTTTATGTCCGTCTACGCGTACGTGTAAGTGTCCGCGCATATAGCCCACACAACCTGCATCGCACAGATCACATTAAAAACGAAAAACAATGCATTGTTGGTTTACGATCTGTGGCTTTTTCTCTTGTACCTTTAGGTCTTAGTTGATTTTACGGCTAACGAACACGGGTTGGACAGTTGTCTGTACTTTAAGGTTGAGGTTCTTGAGTTGTTTCTTGACATAATTTGCTGAATTTTGGTCCTTGAATGGTATGAACACTCGAACAATGGCCCCTGGTTCTTTTGCCCCTTGTGAGGGGTGTTGGCCAGCTACTCTTGAATGAACAAAATCGTTGATGGTGGAATTAATCAGACGTTGTGGGTATTTAAGTGTTGAGAAAACTTTCTCTAGGCGATCACGCACGTCAGAGAAATACCTCCAAGAGGAAGATAATCGGTGTGCGCGATCAAGCGTGGCGGCCAATTAACTCCGTTTGTAACAATTGTCTACATGGCTTTGATATTGTAGTAATAGACCTGTGTTAGTTGGTTTTAAATCAGTAAACCTTGGTTTCCATTCGGGGAGCACGGTTGAGTAGTTGAGTGCCAAGGAAAGGAAGTATCAGTGCCATTCTTTTCTACCTCCATGGTGAATTTGATCGACGTGTGCACGTTATTAAGAGTGTGTAGGAAATCAGTCGCTGTTGTTGCGTCAGGCATTACAGTGAGCGTGTCATCAACATATCTGCGGTAGAATGATGGGAGCTCTCCATGGCGCCTAAGGGTTTCTTTGATAAAGGACATGAAGACATTAGCTAGTAAAGGCCTGAGCGGGGACCCCATAGCAACGCCATCATTCTGTTTGTTTAGAGCTCCATTGAATTGAAAAAGTTGGCCTTTGGTACCTACACTCAAGAGATCGACTAGATCCGTTCAAGTTGTACGTTGTATCGAACCAATTGTCCTTGAAAGCTCTGTCGGCGAGGATTTCTAAAGTTTCATCTAAGGGTACATTTCATTCGTAAGTTCACAGCCGGTATCCTTCGCTGTATACTGACTAAGGTTTAAGGGCTTCAGTTTTTTATCGAACCATTTAGCAAGTTGTATGTGTGCGTTGCGATAATATGGGTCGCATAGCTCACCGTTCTCTATGGGTTTTTGGTAACCCATATAGAGAACTAAAACCAACTCTGAACGTGTAATCCGACTCAATCCGTGTTAAAGTATTTCTGTAATTTCATCTCGCATCCTATATCGAGTAAATTATTGCAATTATCAATACTCGCAAATTTCATTATCCTTGACAATGGCGTCAGGAAGATTCCGAGACGTCGGTTTATACCGCTATTTTTTACGTGTTTACGTATTTCCAGTTATGTGCATCAAAAAAGAAAAGAAAAGAAAAAAAAAAAAACTCACAAAACAAATTACCTGCATGAACCTGCTTTAAACACAACGTTACCAATGCTCTGTGGATACAGCTGATGCAAGAATTATGACGATACAAGAAGCGAATATCAGTTATTATTTCCTCAAGGAATCGTACTGGATTGGAATTAAACTCATCGTTTGGAGACAATGGTGACTAATAAGTGAAACCAATAATCGTATTAACTCACACTCGGCAGGGGAACGACGTGTGTCGGATAAACTTTGATGAAATTGACAACACAGCAAATGTTGTCTCGGCCCCTAGCTAGTTATTTCCATGTCCACTGACGTAAACCGTCATTTTAATGTAAACATCATGTGCTCGGATGAAAACTTTAATGTTTTCCATGACAAATATTCCTTTCAGTAAAATGAACAGGGTTGCGAGTATTTTTGTTTTTAAAAAATACTTTTAGCACTGCAAATTTACGCAAATCCTAATTTTATCCCGAAAGGGTCCCCTTTTACTTTTTAATCCTTTCATTACGTGATTAACTTAATGCACCTGGTCCAATAACAGGCAATCAAGGACAAAGTAAACTCCTTGTATAAAGATTGCATAAAGAACTCTTATGTCTCTTTTTATCTGATTCTGTGACGAAAGGCCTCGTCCTTGTACTGAGGTTTCAAGTTGTGTTGAAAACGATGTCATACTATAATGAACTCAATAGGACATTACATCACTTAAACGGAATGATAGTCGAAGTTAATTTTACACTAGTGCCCTATGCACCATTAAAAGGTTAGGCAATTGCAAGCCGTAGCTACTCACCTAAATATAATTAACGAAGTGTCATAAATGACAGCATCCTAAGACAGCTGCGAAAATCATCAGCATCTAAAGATGAAAAAGGAAAATTACCGGAACACTTCTAGAGATTTGTAATTTGCCTCTTGCTTACCATCATGTCCGAAAATAAATTAAAAATTATGATAAGGGAAATTTTCTTCGTGCAAAAAGGAAAAATAAGGTGTAACTTTTCCATGCGAGTTAAGTTGGGATTATTTGGTGTACCCAACAACCTAAAAATGTTTGCTCAAGGAAGTAGTCTCCAGTTTTAATGTTTTCAGACTAATATAAATTGATGTCTTGTGCCTTTATCTTGGATTTTATCGATTGCTCTTATCGTTACATCTAGTTTCATAATGGTTTTATATTTGTAGCGTCAAATTTTTTGCTAGCTATCTTTATAAGTTTCATATAATAACTGCCATTCAGTTATGCAGTTTTTCTTATTATGGTGTTCGTTTTTTTCTTACGTGAAAGCGGAATAATTCACGAAAAATGTGTCCGCTTCTCCCATTTCCTGTTTCATAACTGTAGTTAAAATTAAAAAAGGAATAACGTGATACAAATTGCCTGATACTCTAACACAGAATTAACAAAACAACGCCATAAAAGAAAAACAACAAGTGCAACAAATAACACCTTTCCTCGGTAAACAAGTCAAGATTCCGTTCTTCCGCTAGTTGTCACCATCCTACGGATGATGTCGAAGATCATAAAAGTTTTATTGCGGAGACTGAAAGATTCCAAGCTGTTTAACCTGACGGAAAAAAGCTTTAAAAAGCAGTTGTGGTTTTTTTAAGGGCTTTTAAGGGTAATTTACAAAGCTTGACAGCATTGTTTGGAAGTCTGCAGGAAAACGTGATGTGGTTCTTAAATGAGCTGGCTACACTGTACATTTGAATGTGTAAACAAACCTTCTCCCCGACACAACTGTGCGAAACGAAAAAAAAGACTAAAAGGCTTCAAATATTTTCTACAAATACCGACTGATAAAAACTTATCATTTAGCCTTGATTTTGTGCTATTCACTGGTCGTTAACCTTGCTTCTTAATCAGACAGAAAACGCCGTTAACTTCACATCCTCAATTATGCTAAGCTGTGCCTGGGTTTGTTCTGTTCATGTCACAATGTTAATGCGGTCATTATATAGCTGATTCTTGCATTAATGTTACAAAAAATTTGCTTAGAAAATATTACTTGCTCAATAATGACAATTTTTCCCAAATTTGACAAGTATTAAAAGCGTCTTCACAGAATCATAACCCATAATTTCTATCATATCGGTCGTTAAATTACGAAGGACAAGTGTTATAATTCTATTGTAAGTATTAAAAATGTCCTCAGATCCTTTAAACCTGAATCATGCGAGAAATAGCTGCGTCATTATCTTCATATTTCAATAGCAATCATGCGGTTAAGGCTTAGTTATTATTTTATTGTACCTGAGGAGGGATATTCCGTCTAATACGACGCTCAGCCTTTGTAGATCGTACAAGACATTTGGTATAAAATTGCCTTCGCTGCTATGCATTTTACCGGCATAAGAGGGACAATAAATATTTAAAGTCATGTACCACGACTATTTCTTAAAAGATAGCCTGGTCTATACGTTCATCTTAAAATCAAATCTAAGGCTATTCAAGCATCTAGATGTCATAGTCAGTGTCCATACTGGTCCCCGTCCAATATACACGGCGGCTAATGAGATGTGTATTGGACTGTTGGATATTTCAGACACAAAACAAAAGATCACGTAGAAAGTTTGTGAGGATAAAAAAAGACTCTGTCAGGCAATAAATCCATAACGTATCGTCGTTTCACATTTACGGGAACTCAAAATTCCCGTCGGGGCGAGAAACCCACCAAGGCTAGAGACCCGTCGGGACTGGAAACCATTTAGACCTGAAAAATCATTAGCGCTGGAACTGTGATGAACGCGGCTCAACTATGTTTCAAGTTGCCATGACAACCTACAACTTCCATATGTCATGTAACCCTACACTATATCGGAACCAATAGCAGCTCACACATTGATCTCCAAAAAATAAAACAAAAAAAATTAACAAAGAAAAATATACTAGTTTTTCAACGATTAAGCATTACCGCCGTTCACATCTTGTGAGTTCTGGGCTTTTCTTAATGTCATTTCCTGTAAATTTTTGCTTGAAACATGCATAATGAAATATGTAGATTAACTAGATACAAATGGACTTCATCAGGAGCCATTAATGATGAAAGCCTTTGAATTGTCTTAACACTTTTTTTTCTCGTATATAAAGTATATCTTATATTATATATTCTCTCTCTCTTTTTTTTTATCTAATAGCCGTTAATATATTCTCGCGAAAAAGGCTCGTAAATCAACTATGTAAGAAAGTTCTTTTTTTATGACATGGCCAATTCTAGATATTTTGCCTCACGAAGAATATGGATAAAGTCGGTCTGCAGATTTGGATCTAATACTGACCGCTGTGCTTTTATAAAAAAAGAAAAAAACAGCTTTTTATCACCCAGCGGAAAAGACGTCACTCACACTTATGTTATAGAATTAGTACCGTTTATCTATTCTCACTGTTCATGTTTTTTTAATTATTTGATTGTAATCGCCGACTGTTGAATTTAACGTCAATCGCTCAGCGCAAGGTGACCTGGATCGGAAATGGAAGATCACGTTCAACCAATAAAATTATTGGTTTATTACACTAAGTAAACGTTTTATTGTAATCTTGTGATGAGTACGTGTTTTGTTAAACCCAGAGAAGGGAATACAAAAAAAAAAAAAAAAAAAGGAAAAAGCACTAAAAAGTGTGGTTTATGCGCCCAGCGACCGGGAATGCATCGTGATCTCGAGACTTATCAGATTTTGTAGGCAGCAATCACGTATTCCCAACACGTAGACTATACCTAATTTGTAGAAAATTTCGCTCTGACGAAGGGCTAACGCTCGGAACGTCAGCTTTACAATATCTTTTCAGTGACTCATTTACTGATGTCAAATCAGTCGGTAGAATCAATTCAAATCCTTTTGTCATAACCCTTAACTGAGAACGCAACAGAAACTTGCCCCCTTATAACTGCGATAAAGTCATAAATGGCGATCTTTGGCCATCTACGAGAAGCGTCTGTTTAAGGGTTATAATGTTCAAACTTCGAGTGACCCTCTGAATTCTTCGCCTGACCCTATGAAGAGCAAATTTTACATTCCCAGGGCTCTCACCTGTACAAAGAATCCTCTTGCGATCTCTTGATACTCCAAGCACCGTAAGTTTGAAGGTTTTTTTAAACTCACCACACATTAAAAGTGCAACGATTACTTCCAAGTGCGACAGAGCAGATTGTCCTTCCTTTACTCGATTTCTAGGAATCTATATTGCCTAAATCTTTACAGCCCTAGATACTTCCTTTGGCTCTCCTTCTGTCTGCATGTATACGAGCTTGCTGACATACAAGGTTGAACAGCACCCTCTTCTGAAGACAACACACATAATCAAAATGTACGTAATGAATGGCTGTGAACATTTCCGGTAAAGAATGATAAACTTAAAAAATGACAAGGAAAATGCAAAACAAAAGTACAAAAGAGAAATAAAAGGGAATCATAAATGAAAGAATGAATGGTATCAGGTGTGCTCTGACATGATTGCAAAGCTCAGGGACGAAGGAGATGGTTGATTGTCCCAAGCCGGAGAAACCTTTTTAACGCCCGTAAAAGACATCGTCAAATAAGCAGCAGACAGTTCAATATATTGATAGAATACTTCTTAAATCTAGCGACACACCATATTTTGGTGCAAAGACGGTTTCTTAAATGCAATAAACTTCCCACAGTTGCAGAATCACCACTCATTTAAGATTAAGAAGGAATCTCATCTAAAAGCACTACAAATGTGTAATAAAGGAAAGACACAATAAACGAATGCTTTGCACTTTGTTTCAAAGTCAGTTCCTAAAATCCTTTTAGTAATGGCCGTAAGTAATTGATTAATTTCTTCTGACATGTTTTGTTCATCAAAATCTGATTGCACTATGCCAATCAACTGGCAAAGTGAGACTTAAATTGCTGTCAAATACTCAATTAAAATAGCATTGTTTATACTTTATTACTAAAATTACCAATAGGAAAATAAAGTCGAATATCCTGAAACATCGTTTGTTAATCTATGCCACACAGGTCAATGGTGCTTTTCGCGCGCCCTGATTGGTTTGTTCGGAAGTGATGAAAGCTAGCCATCGACACTGAGGTGAATAGTCCAGTCAGCTTTTCAACTCAAAAAGTCAAAACTCAAACTTTTCTTGTTTTTAAGAAAACAGAAACACGCGCCAAGACTATTTTTCAGTTTGCTGACAAAATACATCAAATTTTTTGGTTTTTGTATGGTAAATGTATTCCAGTTGACGATGACTCAACGAAGTGGAGGTGCGAAGTGATGCAATTTACCTCGTCACTACGTGACGAGATAAATGTGTACCACTGTTCACCTTTCGCAAAAACCAGGCCAGAGCCCGATGTAACTTGAGCAGCCATGACTTGAGAGGTGGTTTTAGTTTTTTCCCGAAATAGCTTATAACGAATTGATCTTTTTTATAAGAAAATAAATGTTATCGATAAGCTAAGAACATATGAACATACCATGATCTCTTTCCTTCATAAAGCGAAAAGTTGTGTAGTCAAGCCTCAGCCATGAAAATGACTACAAGAACACACACACGATTTGCCCATCTACAAGTTACATGTACGTATTACTAAATACTTGTCGAGTCGTAACTTCGCATCATTTTCCCTGATTTCCCTGATAGAGACCAGACGGAAGATGAATTATGTCATAAAAATTTCAGTGATGCAACTGCCTGGTTCAGCCGGATTGGGAGAGTGAAATTAACTTTGTTAACGTTTGCTGACTAAAAATGTGTCACGCAACCTGCGTGACATAAGTTTTAGTGTAGCCAGCTAAAACACCATAATGCTCACCTGATATGAAGCCCAAAGTCATAACGAGATATATGAGGTAAAACCCTAATCGTAAAAAAGCTCAGGATGCTGATCGTCAAATATGATAAAATTCGCTATTGGAATTTTCGGTTTGAGATTATTTCTTTTTTTTGTAGCCGCTAGCCGTCAATATCATGGCTAACTAGCATCAGTGTTATATCATCTAAAGCTCTACAATCTGTGGGCTGAGAATACGCAGATTTTGCTAAAAAACTTAATCATTTTGTGGGTGTTTTTTTTTTTTTTTCAGTTGGAAGTTGCATATTTGTGAGTTATTTTTTGGACGCTTTCAAACATTTCCTCGACATGTAGTGCTTTCGTTCAGCGGCCTATCGTATTTACTATTTGTAAATAGAAAAAATATCTCCCAGAAAGAAAGAAATAAATTGCTCCCTGCAAGGTGTCAACTCTCAATTCGTTCCGAACCCTCTTTACCATAACATATCAGTTTAAAGGCAAAGAATGCTCGAGAGACTTGGCACGTGCACAAACGTAACTTAATTTCGTGCGCGTGTGCATATGATCAAGAGCTTGGTAGCCGCCTCTTCCATCGAAACGTGTAGTTTGTCACGAAAGTAAATTTTTGTAAATCATGTTTTAGAGATTTATTTGAAGGAGAGCATGGCGTCCTTATCGTCACAGCTTCCAAAGCTATTTCGGCCATCAAATTCGTCTCCCTTTTCGATATTTCTGCAATCAAGGGCCATTAGTTCGTTTGTGAGCAGCAAAAGCCACGAAGAATATGGTAAACGAACTATCAGTGGCGATATGTTTGGCGGGGAAATTGAATCTACGGGTACATCTCATAGCTCATGCTGTCTTATTTTCGTTACAACATAGGTCGTCGTAACTTCTACACATACTCTGCGGAGCCATTTCATCCTTTGCCAGGGAAAACGCCCGCATGGAAATCTCCAAAAGAAGCTGTGAAAGTGATCGAGTCAGGTGAGCTTGAATTTTATTCTTTCCACAAGATGGGCTTTCGTTTTCAGCTTCTTTGTGTAAAATTGTTGTTCAATTCAGTCGAAAACGACGCTGTTCAAGTTGAATTATTTCGAGAAATGTTACTGAAATTTTTGAGAAGTAAAAGGAAAAAATCATTACCGAAGCCAATTAAAGTCGCTTCGACATCAGCAGGTACAGACTGAAGGTAATGTTTACTGTGCAGTGATTTCGTGCGAAATCAGTTTTAATGGCACGTTATACAATTTGGTATGAAATCCCCTGCAAAGTAGGTGCTACGAAATATGCTACAGACGAAGGACTGTCACCCCCTTTAAAAAAAATGGAATGCCTGTCAACTTCCTTTGGTGGAGCAATGAAAGGATATGGATGACAACCGGTTATTTTTCTTTTAATTCCCGCAAAGTGAAGAGAAAGCTTGATGTACAGTATTACTGAGCTCATTCAGGGTTTTTCCAATGTTCAATTGTCTTTTTTTTATTAGGAATGAAGGTGTTCGTGCATGGAGGGGCAGCTACCCCTCTACCACTCCTTGATGCAGTGGCAAAGAGAGGAAAAGAGGTTGGCCTAAAGAATGTTGAACTGATTCATATCCACACGGAAGGATCAGGTGAATTGGTGAAGCCTGAATATGACGGTGAGTAAATTTCGTGGATTCTGGCATCATTAAGTTACAGTGGGACACCCCCCTGGATAGTAGTGTTAATTGTGCTATAATGTCAAGGACATGCATGGAAATGGGAACAAATGCACATGGCAGACAAAGCAGTTTGTTTACAGCATGTGTCTGTTTTTTAGTCAAGGATTCTATACCTGGTATTTCTACCAAATATTTTCCAGTTCTATTTGTTTCCCACGTGATGTTACCACTTCTGATGTGGATGCAGGTGACCTTTTGACTGGTTACTTCCAGTCTTCTGCAGGTGTTGATGTCGACTTGAACATTTCACCTAATGATTTGTTTTTCTCTACTCTGTTCAAAACCAAGCAATCACAAGAGACCTTAATGCTTAATATGGTGATTTACAAAGGGACAAGTCCTCTTTGCTAGACTAGCAATTTAGAAGAGAAGTTACCATCAAACCATGATGAAAAATCACAATCCTTTCTCATAAATCACATTTTTCCTTTCTGAAATGATTCCAGGAATTTTCAGAAGCAACTCCTTGTTCATTGGAGCAAACTGTCGTAAAGCTGTCAATGAAGGACGTGCAGATTTTACACCTATCTTCCTTAGTGAGATTCCATTGCTTTTCCAGCGCAAGATAATTCACATAGACGTGGCTCTGATACAAGTAAGTCCACCAGACAAACATGGATTTTGTACTCTGGGTCCAAGTGTAGATTGTACAAGAGCTGCCATTCAGAATGCCAAATATATTATTGGTATGAATTTTACATTTTTATGCCATACACACATTTATACTTGTCATATGTTTTATTAAATATATATGTTATTCACCAGACGGGAGGTTCATATTGGGGAAAACTGTGCCCGAGGTCTTGGATACGGTACACAAGACAGAGGGCACAGTTTTTCCCAATACGGACCAACCTTGGCTTGTGAATAACACTTTTATTTTTTCTAAAACCTAACAAATGGTTATGAAATGAAATGCGATGGTTGTGAGCGGGCCAGATGGGGAGAACACTGCCCGCTTTTGGAACCAATCAGATTGCAGGATTTGTAGAATACTGCCTGTTCACAAACTGAGAAAAAAATAAAAATTACTATAAAATTTCATGTTATTTAATATTAACCTTCTAATTGAACAACTGCTCTGTTTTGTGTAATATGTTGGTCCTAAGTTACATTACAGAGACCTGATGCAACATTTCAGTCATACCAAATAATAACTGTTTTGAAGGTGCTGAAGGGTTTGTGTAAAACACTTCACCCCTAAGATCTCATCAGTAAGTTTCCTTACTGTATGCCAGATTTCATGATAACAATCCCCTAATTTATATTTCTCTTTTTCTCCTTACCCGTCTGCTTGATATTGTATTGACTGTGTATGGAGAAATTCTGTCTTGGTCACTCATGGTGGTATAAGAGTTAAAGGTCTAGGTAATCCAAGAACAGAGGAAATGAAAAAGTGACAGGATCAGGAAATGAATATTGTATTCATTTGTGCAGTATATCTGAATTTAGGGATACCCACTAAACCAATTAGTTTTTCTATAATAATATTACTGTTATATTATTTTCAAAGGTATTAAATGGAATTGTTACATAGTTTATAAGATTTTAGCATCATAAGAAATAGACAAGGAAATAAAAACATAAACTTAGAGCAGGATAAGCTGCAAGAATTCTGTATTTGATTAGATCATTGGTATTTGACTCCTAATTTGCTAAAAGATAAATACTGTTAATTTTTTGTATGATGGTGACAATAAATCCAGGTTGTTCAATGTGCATGGTAAATTTTTTAGTTTTTTTTCTTCTCTGACATGAATTATTCTCATTAACACATTGTAGGGCTTGTGAACCCACAGTGTCCTCGCACTCACGGCCCAGGAGGCATCCACCAATCCCATCTTGATGTGCTGTGTGTCTCAGAGTTTAATCTCCCAGAACTGAAGATTAATCCAGAGACTTCAGAGGAAGCCAAAATTGGTCAGTTAATTGCCGACAACCTTGTGGAGGATGGTGCCACTCTTCAAATGGGTCAGTGGAGAAACTATTCACTTGTAACTCACTGAATAATTACCTGCATGGGACCTGCTTGTTAAGCCAGTGGATACATTTACCCTTTAACTCCCAGAAGTGGTAAACATAACTTTATCCAGCAAACAGGTAATGAGAAAACTCCAAACACATCAATTAGAAGATACAGATATTATCTTGATCAACACCAAATTCTTGTAACTGATTTACAAGGAAATAAGCAGCTACTAGAAGGGAGATTTAACCATCAGATCTTGGCAATTGAAGGGTTAATTTAACTAATCATAAATCTTAGGGCCTGAAAATTCATCTGGATCTTTCCATTAATTGCTTATAGCCCATAAGTTTGACTGGTGTCTAAGTACTCCCTACAGGATTACCCTTGAATTAAATGTAATGCCCATGAGAGTAAACAAAGTGATTACTAATTTAAGAAGCTCCTGATTGTCAAACAAATTCTCCTTGTCAGTACCATGGGAAATGTAAAGAGAGCAGTAAGGAGAATATGAAAACCATTGTTAGGGTGTAAAAGGTTAACTTGTAGTGTTTTGTTTTCTATTTGACAACCCAACAGGAATTGGTTCCATACCAGATGCCTGCTTGAGTCGATTGATGGATCATAAAGACCTTGGCATCCACTCGGAGATGTTCAGTGATGGTGTAGTAGCTCTAACTGAAAGGGGAGCCATCACTAATGCTTTTAAAAAAGTGTTACCTGGCCGATGTGTGGGAAGTTTTGTGATTGGAACAAAGAAAGTGTTTGAATTCATTGACAATAACCCTTTTGTAGGTGAGTTGATGATTTGTTGATAAATAACTTGTGGATTTTGAAGTTTCAGGAAGTTCAGTTGATGATGTGGATACATTTCCTTAAATAACTACCTCACAATTTTCCCATAGCCAATAAATTCTTGTTGTTTGCAAAACAGAGAAAGATGAATTTTTGTCAGACTTGTACTGGCTAATAAGACCAAGCCCTTTGAGGCTTACCTTTAGATGCATCATTAACTTCTTTTTGTATCTTGTATGGGAATATAAGACACTTTGAAAGGAGAATCAAACAAACTATCTGAAGCTATTTTTATTAAGGTTTAGATACTTCCATCACCCTTTCAATGAGATCAGTGATTTTATGGAAAATGTTACCGTATATTCTTTTTGCAATATCTATAACTTGATATACAGTTTATCCCCCATGTAAAGAGTATTCACTGCACAAATATATATTTACTTTGTTATACCATTAATTATCATAATGTTTGATGCAAAATTATCTTTGTCCTCATTTTAATCATGTTTTCACTGTTAATTTTTGTCCTCTTAAAAGTGATGTTGGATGTTGGATTTGTCAATTTGGTGTCAGTAATTGCTCAAAATCCTAAAGTGACAGCTATTAACTCATGTATTGAAGTGGATCTCACTGGACAAATTGTTTCAGACTCTATTGGAACACGAATGTATTCAGGTAATCTACATAAAATATGTGAGGAGAGGGAGTGAGATCTCTGTGACCAAACCCTACTTGTTGTTATGCTGTAATTTGTAGTTTTGTTTGTTTGTTTGCTGTTTGGTTGTGATTGAGTAACATGAAGACACGCCATATTGCATATTACAAAGCGCCACTCCATTCTAGTAAAAAATACATGTAATAATAAATAAAACCATGTACACTCTTTGTGCGTGATTGGATTGATTTTGTTCGTGGGTTTTGATTAGTTTACGAATCCCTTCGGCATTTTTGAGTAACCTTACAATATTTAGCATCTTTTCAGGTGTCGGAGGCCAAATAGACTTTTTACGTGGAGCAGCTTTAGCACTTGACGGATGTGGTAAACCAATCCTGGCCCTAAATTCTGTTACCAAGAAAGGAGAGTCAAAGATTGTTCCTTTCTTGAAGGAAGGTAAGTCGAACGGGTGCAGAATGGTTACTAGACTTTGCCGTATTTTCACAGTTATTGACCTCCGGCATTAAGCGCAAACTTAGCGTTATGGACGATACGTTGGCTGTTTTATTTGGACATAGTTTGAATTAGCACGGGTTTTTACTTAACCTCCTTGAACTTACAACGTCAAAAGGATTTGAGGAAAACTTGAGGCAACTTAAGAAGAGTTTCCTTTTACGTTGCTAAAACGCACCTTTTGAATTTTTTCCCTATGCGCTGCAACAAACCCGGCAACATAAACGGTCCATTGCAGCCTTGGGTATGTGTGTCAGAAGGCTGCAATTATTTCACAAACATTGCTTAAGGAAGTTGTGTCAGTGTTTTTAAAAGCACTCCAAAATATTTCCTCCACTTTCCTCCTCGTTGAGTCAAATTCCTCATCACGGCTATCAAAGAATGAAGGCAAATTTTAATGCTTTTAGTTATTTCATTATTAATTATTCATTTTATGATATATTTATTGAGCCAGTTACCAGAGTTACTTCGTTCTTTTCATTTTGTACAGGTGGAGGCGTTGTGACAACTCGTGCGCATGTGCATTACATCGTGACTGAATATGGAATCGCTTACCTGTTTGGGAAGAATCTTAGGCAAAGAGCTTATGAACTGATTAAGATCGCTCATCCTGATCACCGAGAGTGGTTAGAGAAAGCTGCTTTTGATAGACTTAAATGTATACCATCGCCTGATTAAGGCACAAGTTCGGCACGCCAGTCTGGGACCGAGTCCCGTGTTTGACACGTGAGAGTTGAAACTCTCCAGAACTCTGGGTGAATCTTAACATCAAGTCGACAATCAGCAGAAAAGTTTAATTTACATGTACATGTGTTGTTGCTAAAGGTGACTTTTTGAATTAAATTTCTTATAGGAAAGTTTGTAAATAGAATATGTTAATTTTTTAATAAAACAGTAAGATTTGATCCCTTGTACTTGAATTTATATGTAAGGTGTTTCTTTCTGTATGTTTTTGTATTTCTTCTTTTCTTTTTTCTTATTTAATTTAATAACGCCTTTAGTTAAAGTCTTGCCCTGCCTAGATTAGCATTGTAGCTATTTGCAGGACATGAAGTTTTGTAAACCTTATATTTCTTTAAATAAAGAGTGTAATCGACCGATCTCAGACCTTCGGACTCATCAAGTCGCAGCAGAAAAGTTTAATTTCATGTACATGTGTTGTTGAGGTGCTGTTTGTAAATAGAATATGAAAAACAGTAAGATTTGAGCTGGGCAAAGAAATAGAGAAAGATGTTTTTCCTCTTGTCAAGCTTGGGTTTATAGTTCCATTCTTCGTTTATATTTTATGGCAAAGTTTATAGTTCCATTGTTAAATTATCAGAATTACCATTGCAGAGTTATTACACAATACCATACCATGTCGCTTAAACAAAATTTATATCGTGTTTTGTTTTTATCGCACACTTGGTCTAAAGACAAAAAAAAGCCTTAAATTGATCAATCGCAACACGTGCAAACTGAGAGATTCTATGAAATGAAGCTATTTCAAGTATCAAGAGGAGCGATCAAACAATGCCCTTTCTGCAATAAACTTTCTTTTATTCTTCAATACATGAACAGAAGCTTTTTTCAATGAGGAAATAATCACTTTCCTCTGCTATTGTGCATTTATTGTAACATGATACAGCAACAACTGCAAATCGTAAGCATTTGTAAACCCTTTAACTCCCATGAGCAACCAAGAAAGAAAATTCTTACAATAAAAATACAAAAACATTGCAATATCAAGCAAAAAAGTGACGAGAATAAAGAAAACTATCAATTAGGAGATTCTTAATTGATCCAATACCAAATACTCCGAAGTGACACAAGAATTTTGTGGCAGACATCAAGGAGAATTTCTGATGAGATCTAGGGAGTGAAAGGATTATACAATTTTTTCGATACATAACTTACAATCAAATGTCAAATAGGGATGTCAATGCAATTCTTTTCTAAAGTGGTTGCAAGTTAGTGGAATTCCAGCTACCGAAAATAATAAATGTTCTATATCTTAAATATATAAAAATAATATTCTTTTTTTTTTTCGGAGATCAGAGTGTGAAGTAAAATCTAGAATTTACTCTTGCACACCTATAAGATATCGGACAAAATTGAGTATTTCCCTGTTAATTTTTAAAGTTCCTGGTCGTTGTAGTTATTTACTTGATTAATATGCAAATGTTTGGAAAGCCCTTAAAAAGCGATAGATATCACTAAAGACTAAAAATACAAACAGAAGTGCAAGGTACGGCTTACACAGAACAAATAAGATGATATCTAACTTAAAGAGCTGAATCTAAAGAACCATACAACTCGAGGTGCATTTTTTCCAAAAAATATACTTTCAAAAATTATGCCGTGTAAAGGATAAATAATTAATCGAGAGTAATTATGATAAACATTTAAATGACAACTATTGAGATGTTCAGAGCCGGGGTCTTCTCGGCTTGAAATAAATTTTAAAGCCCCTATTTGGGGACAAAGGGTGCACCAATACACGTTTCACAGACAGAAACATTGCTTAAGGGAACGAGATGACCGTCATAACGATATCTCTTTCTTTCATTTTCTTGGGTTATGAGTGTTTATCGACTGCGCGATAGTTTCTGAACGTTGCTTTGTTAGAATTTTGGAAGTGAAAAGGAGAACGCACGCTTTTTCGTTGCGAACCAAGGGCGCTAAGCTTGGTCCTACTTGGTGAGTTAATCCTTAAAACCGTAAGAGTGACCAGAGTCTAATTTCTCCTAACAATAATATTGCTAAATCATTTATTAAGATCACGAGAATAAAGGAAATGATCACCAACTTAAGAAGCTTTGATTGATAAACAAATTCTCCTTGTCAGTACCAATGGAAATGTAAAGAGAAGAGTGAATAGAATATAGATCCCGATGATAGAGTGTAAAGGGGTTAACCTCAACTGCGCAGATTTCCATGACAAAATATAACTTATTATGCTGATAGGGTAACCCTTCTCGATTGTAGGTAAGGCACCTACCTTATGAGGCAGCCTTTCCTTATGCTCAATAGAGTACAACCTCTGCCATTTACATTATTTACATTAATTAGCAATGGTGACGACATTGACAACCAAAAAAAGCGGAATTTTTTTTTCGCCTCAAGCAAGATGAAAACCACGACATATTTTCCAAATTTATCGTATTTTTCACAAATCAAAGGTAAAGGCGGTCTTTTGAGATGACTCTGGCTTTTTCAACAGAGAAATAAAAAAATGATCGTGAAAAAAGACATGAAGTCATCATATTTCAAACAAGGAAACTTTCCTCGGCATACGTCATCAAACCGCACGCTTTAAATGTCATGGTCCAGTGAAGCCTGAAGTCCTACTTTGTCGATTGAGTTCTACGTTTAAACTGGAACGACAAAAAATTTTGACTTTTTTTTTTCATTTAAAAACGCTCGAAAATTTCCTTTTGATCGATTACCAACCAGTGTAACGTTTCCCGTTTCTTTTTACCTTTGGAACGACTACAGTGGGCAATTAATTTATGACGTCATTGAAGAATATAGAGGCCGATTTATGGTTCCTCAGGAAGGGTGATACAAACTTAAGGCTAATTCTTGCCGGAAGAGGATGTTTGAGAATTCAGGATGTGTCCTTTTGTAAAGTGAAAACAGATTTCTATCATGTTGTGAGATATAATTGGCCTCCCCGTCTACTGTTCTCAAAAGGCTCAAGTTGTTCTCAGCTCTGGGAGACCTAAGTCTCCATTGATTTGTACTCAATTTAAGAGGTTACTCGCCTCTGCTCTAAGAACCTGCAGCTGGTGAAGACTAAAAGATGACAGGTGAAGGACTAATCAACTAAAACACTTACGCGCGACTATTTATCCAATGCATGTGACGTCAATGTATTACTTTCTTTGTTTAGAAGACGATTTTTTCTGTTCCTCAGCTGGTGGTACCATAATCCACATAGTTGAGGCTATATCATCCAAGTCGAAATCTGTCACGTGGGTTTGTGTTTCTCCCAGTAGCCTGCCCGTCTTCATTGAACCCTGCGCGTAAATTCGGAAGCGTAAACTGCTGTCCATTAATTCGTTGGCACTTACGCCTCGCATGACAAATGTCTCATTAATTGTGACATCGGAAGTTGCCTTCGTCTTCGTTTTAAATCGATATCGCTTCGACGGCATCAGGGTCAGATGGATTGACATTGCCGAAGTAGCGCTATTCGCGGAAAATGCCTCGGGGAAGTCTTGCACTCGGATGATGGTCACTTCTAATCTCTGGGCCGTCTGCGCAAATGCGACAGAAACTTGTAGTTTTGCTACACAAGTGATATCCCCTCGTGATTCCTTACGCGACTTCTTCCGAACGCGCTGACTACCGCCTGTATCTCCGTAAGCAGAGAGGACATTCAAATGGCTTGCAGCTTTGACAGCTTCTATAGACGGTCTCTCCCATTGAGTGAACTTCCTCTGAGGCGCAGCAGGCTGACTTGGTTTCTCAGCGAACAGGTCACCCAGGCTCCTGCTCTTGACGTATGGCGCAGGTCTATGCATTGGACGGTCATCACTCCTATCGCTTGCAGTAGTTTCTTGTTCAATGTAATCCACACTATCTGATTCGTCGTGGGATTCTTCCTCAAATGCGGCAGATTTTCCAAGTTCTGCATATTCAGCTTGACTTACACCGGCCAATTTATTACGATCGAGTTTACAAATATCAGAGTGGAGAATCTTGTACAAGATAAACACAACTACGAGGCATACTCCGAGAAAACCCAAAAATATGATCGCTGGTTTCGGAACTGAAAAGCAATCATAAAATGCAAATTAAACAGGAAAGACCGTTTATTGCGATTTTTCAACTTCCTAGCAAGCGACAAATAAAGGAAAATTAGCCAAATTTTTAAATATTTAAAAAGGGCCTCATTTTCCAGTCGAGTTTTATTCAACTTGCGATAATGATCGCTTCACAGAAAAAGAAAAATAAAGAAAAAAATTTTTATGACGGCTGACACAAGTTTTGGTATACAAATACGCCCAGAGTGTTTTGACATTATCTCGGATATGAAGCTTTTATAGAATTTATCACATTAGTCAGAGCATGCACGTACTTTGTAATTTGAAATTTGGTTAAATCGCGAACATGCGTTTCAGATCTAGAATTTGAAAAGAATAATTCTGGATTTATGAATCGAAAGTCGGTTTTCATAAAAATTTATCATATTCATTTGGGTGGGCGCACCTTTAGATATTGCGTGTGACAGTCACTAAGATTTCCGTTTTTAATTTTGTCTTTAACCAAAGGTTGGTTACCAAAGAAATATCTGCTTCCTAACTTGTATTCGTAAGAGACTGCATTAAAGAAAAATTGACCGATTGTTGCTAAGCTTAAGATGTTGCCGCATGCAACAAGGAAAGAGATAAATGGAGATGGTGATAGATAAAAGGTGCAAAACGGACAAAATTGGCGATGCAAATTAAAGGAGAACGTCGAATATTTAACTTGCTTTCCCTGAATAGGAGACACATCTTACATTGGGTTAATTTAATTGTATTAAAAAACTTCCGAACGGCGTTTAAATAAATTTTAAAAAAAAGTAGAAAGTTGAAGTGCTTTCCTTTAAGGGAAAAAAATTAAAAGGAAAAGATTTAATAAATGTACAGCTACAGCCAAAAAGAAAATTTAGTAGCGAATTTTGAAAGAGGAAGTTTCTTGATCCAATTTCATATGTACACAGTTTTAAATTATCTTTGCAAATACATGTTTAAAATGATGTTTTTGCGCACGTTTACGAACTTTTAGCTTGCCGTATTGATTTGAATGATACAAACACGAAATAAATTAAAAGTTAAGGATGAAAATATACATATGAGACGCTGTGGCAGGTGAAGGAAAATTCGAAATTGAGTATGAGGACAGATATTACGAATGACATTGAACAAAATCAGAAAACATTTTTACCTGCCGGTATTTTCATAGCGAAGACAAGGGAAACCAGGCAAAAGATTGGAAGCCTGCGTTAAGACACATTCAGCATGAACCGGTTCAGAGACATGTGGACTGCGATAAGAATATAGCCCCTCCAAGACTTGTTATTGGTTGACACGGGTTTTTGTCTTTTCTCGACAAATTCTTAATTATACAGCCAGCCAAGTCGGTCGTGATAAAGCGGCCTTAAAATGAATAATTGTAATCTCCTTGTAACATGTTATCTGATTTGAAAAATGGACGAGGGGTTGCGTGCAGTAATATAAACCATCGGGTTTTTGTAATTTTGATTTAATTTCAGATTTTAAGTTCTTTAGACAAAATGAACGTAAAAGGGTTTCCCTTGTCAAAGTCTATGGTTCATTAAGCTTGTTTCTTCAACTTTTTGTAGTTTTTTGTCAACAGCTTTATTTCATTGTTGTCAACCAATCTTTTGTCTTTACGATCCCGGAACTTTTCAAACAAAAGCTGAATATTTGCATTGTTTCGTTGAAGATCAACTCCTTGCGTTTGCGAGGCAATACGGAGGCGTTTAATTATGACCACCGGAGGCAAAAACATCAGAGACACAGGCGAAATTTCAAGATTGCGGAAAATTTAAACGCTCGACAAGTAAACATTAGCTTCTGGCATTTTCACCACATATTCCGGTCACAGGAGTATTCATTGCTCACACTCGCCCTTTGTAAACAAAGTTGACAGCAATCTTTTCCTTTCAGAATACGAAGAGAGTTTCAGAGTATTTCTTAAAATTAAAGAGAAATTCTAAAAGTGACCGTTATTGCCTGAAGAAAGGGCGAATACTTGAACCACTTCCTTTAGAATATTCATGAGAACAGCGCCAGTTTATGACTAAAAATTCTCGTTCATACTGCAAAATTTAAAACATATTCTTTAGGATGAAAAAAACATTAAGTGTAACATACTACGTAATTACAGATGGAAAAAATTCAACTCTACCTGTGAACTGCTCGCTTGATGTGGAAGATGGATTTGATGTAGTCTCGACCCCGTAAACAGAATTGTAAGTGTTCAAATATATGGACGAAATAACACATAAAAGAAGGGCTCTCATCGTAAGAGTTTAGGCGACGAGAACATCACTTCGCTTTAAGGACGAAACTCCGTTGTAGGCAGCAAATTTCACCACGAAATATCGACGGCTCTTTCTCTAAAACACACATATGCATGTCATTAATCTGCCAGGAGCAATCAGCGGTTCTTACCAAGGGCTGGATCAGTGATTGAAATTCAAATATTACGCTTGTAATGAATGTTGTTTTTCCAAATTCAAGCAACTTGTGTAGCAACCTTGTGTCTTTCGTTGTTAGTCCAATAGTTTAGGGACCCGACTAGCGAGTTTTCTCGCCGTCATTTCCAAACCGGAACTTTTCGAAGGAGTGAAAAAGCATGCGTATCACGCTGGATAATTTTTTTTGTCTTTTTTTTTTTTTTTGAATTTTTGAATTGTTTAGCTGATAAAGGTTACATCACAGCTACTTTGCATAACAGTTGCAACGACGTGCTTGAGTGGTTGATGACAGAAGAGCAATAAAAGTCACTATGAGAACCGAAACGCCATTAAATATTTCAAAAAGATATCTTTGCGGTGCTGTTCTTGTTAATGTTTTTTCTCTCTACTTGTCGCTCTGCGTCAAAAATAAATGCTGTTTTCACAACAAAAAACTCAAAACACTGGAATAAAGGAATATCAATGAAGACTGATTCATCGGTTAGAATTAAACTGAACATTCTATTTCGGTCGCAAACGAAGATGGATGTCTTATCAATGATGATACGAAGTGACACTTTTCTGCCCAAGTGCGTCATTACCAAAGGGAATTGAAATGTAATTTGCATGAACTTAGACTTTGTTTTAAAAGCTTTAGGAAGGCAATTTATCTTTACCAGATTTCCTGATATTGATATGATTCTTCTACCCTGAATATCAAATTTTCTGAATAAAAACCTTGAACTCCATAATTTAAACTGTTTTATCATATCCAGCATGTAGCTGGTGTTTGTTAAAGATGAGGAATAAGTCAAATCCTGGTGATTTTATTGCGATTAAATTATGTCTAACTGGTAAACAAAGTACTTGATGGTACACAGAGCCTACTTACCTGTGAATTAAATAAAAAAAAGAAAAAAAAGAAAGGAGAGATGCTGTTATGCAAAACCTTGCAGCTCAAAGCTGACTGATATAACTTGAAATAAAAAAAAATGAACAAATCAGTAGATAGATGTCTAGATGAATTGATGAATAAATAAATAAATAAATGAATAAATAATATGCGAGGCCGGGAGGCTGACGTTGCAAGAACGGAACGTTGTTAAGGTTTGAAATTAAAACTTCAGAAATTTCCTCACACCGTTTTAACCAGAATACCAATGTAAGGAACGAGTTTTTCTTAAAACAATTAGTTTGGACAAGATTTGCCGTCTCCGCTGAACTGCGTACGAACCGACAAAGAAAGCTCTCAGACTGATACGCAAAAGAAAAGTTGTTTCACTCGTGTGAGAGAAAACTGTCTCACCTTCATGAATGTCTATCGCCCTCAACATCAAAGTCTTAGAAATATATTCCCAATGGCCCTCCGTTTGGAATAGAAACAGAATATTCACACTCCACATTTTTTGGGTGGTTGCTAGGATATCCCGGACTTCTCAGTGTGTTGTCTACCAACACACCACACGATTAATGTTATTATCATGTCTGTTATTAGCAGTAGTATTATCGAAATAAACGTACTTAAGCCATCATCATCACTCTCAACGGTTTGATTAAGTCTCCCCCCTTAAAGATATTATATAGAGATCGATTCGAAGAGTTTGTTTTTAAGAAACTCGCCGCGCACACTCACACACCTATATAAATATATATATATATATATATATATATATGTAAATATATTTATTATTCTTTAAAATTTTAGATTCTGTACTCGATTGTTCCCCAGTTTTTTTTTATTATAATACTAATTATAATTTTATATTACGATAATACTTTTCGATTATGTATTTCACTCAATAGATGACAATATAGATGCACTTTTTCTTATCATTGCTACAGAAAAGGTAAAAAGATAAAAGGTCGCATATGCGATGCTTAGGTGATCATGATTTGTAAGATCGGATCTGAAGCACGTGAAAACATTAATCATTCGTCTCGAGCTGTACGAGCAAGAAAAAAAAAAAACTACTGACACTACTGCGATAACAGCGGTACAGCACAGCGGGATCTGTGCCTCACGAAAATGAAAACCCCTCTGCGCCGTGTCTTATCGCAATCAACAGTTTATCCTTGAGGTGTTTCTCAGAACTGTAGCTGGTCAGTTTCAGCATGTTAAAACACGTGGATGCCATAGGAATCTACCAAATGGACAAAAGGAAAAAGAGCGGGATGAGAACTCGACACTAGTACATGACTTTATGGTTAAAACTCAATTTCGTATATAATTTACAGATAGAAATCATTTATAAAAAGCCCCAGAAGGTATTTGCAAACGTGACCAATACCTTAAAAGGATTGATTTTGAGCCCGGAAACTTCCGTGCAATGTTGTTAAACTTACTTTATTGAGTCCTGCAATCTTCGAAATCGTAAATTTTGTAGGACCTGACAAACCCTGGTGCATAAAAGAAGACTTCATTTTAAAATGGAATTGATACACTTCAAAACAACGTAGAGACAGCTGAATAAAGCCATGACACAATGAAGCATGATCAAACAATGACTGGGTCCACTAAAGCCATCGCACTCCATCAACATGGCATTCAACTGGCCTGCCAGGGTTCTGGAGCGTAGAAATAGCATAACACTTGCGGGAGGTTACGAAGTTCAGAGTGAACAAATCAGTAATTTACATTAGGTATGACGACAAATCAGAATTATTTTCTCCTTTTTGGATGCGATTTAAGATCTAATAGTGGGTAAAAGTGTTAAAAAAATCAACCTTCGTTGACTTAAATTTGTTTCAAAATATTTAAAAGTTCCAAGGACCAACAGGGATTATCAACGTTTAGAATAAAAAAAACAGCGATAAACTAATACACGTCCAAGCAAAGCAGCTTTCATTTTCCGGAGGTTAAGTGGTTTAACTTTAACAGTTCAGTATATTTGGATTTTAAACCCACTTCTACCAAGTCCCCCACCATCACACACTAATTAGCCACAGTTTCAGTCTCTGTCATACGAAGAGCGTGGATCAGAAGTACAGCATCGCTTGCGCAATAATTACAAGGCAAAACGAAAAAGCGTGACAAAGCCAATTCAAAACAGTCGAATGAATATCATGTTAAGATGTTTACCGTTAGGGCAGCAAAACCTCCAAGGGGAACGCAAGGTGATCCAGTGGAAAATTTCATCAGCAGAGCTTTTTCTTCTTCTTTTAGCGGTGTCACAATGTTCCAAAACCATTTTATAACGTCGTCTTCTGCCGTGCACTGCTTATACTAAAGACGACAAAGGATGAAATGTAGGATCATTCATTTATAACATTATGAAGACATTTTGTTTAGTTATGTTGTCGCTTGTTTGTTGGTTTGTTTGTATTAAAAAAAATCGGTAACGACTAACTTTCCCTTCAGATTCAAAACAAAACCTTGTGTTTCCCATCCTTTCTTTTTTCGTTCAATTGAATAGCTATAAATATCAAGTGCGATAGTTCACCTCGGTATGCTTCTTCCAGTCTTCCACATCAAGCTTGGCCACCCCGTTAATCAACAGCGAAAATTCGTCAGCTGTGAACAGCGAAAGGAATTCTCGTGGAATAACCTGAAAGGAGAGTACGTGTTCAGTACCCTCTGAGTTGATTTGGCGTAGAATGCATTAAAAAATGGCAAGCGATTTATTGCTATTTGCCCTGTGTTTCCGTGTAGTTACTTGTAAATGAATGTCATCTCTGTCAAATGAACACATTATCATTTGAACACAACTTACCTCATGAAGTCCTCCTGTAAATTCACCCACTTCATCTTTAATCGATTTTTCCAGTTTGAATTGTGAGACAAATTTGCTGTATTCTTCCTACGAGACAGACGAGTAATGAATGGTGGGAGAAGAGCCTAATTGGATAAGCATTGGTCACAATAGAATTTATTTCAAGCTAAAGTGGTAACAAAGCTTCTGCGTTTGAATCCTAAGTTTCACCTGGTACCTTATTGTCATCTGTGAGCTTCTTATCACAGTCATCACTAAGCTCAATTGTGACTGGTTTAGAGTTCCACGGATTCAGAGCATCCACGTTAAATGACAAGTCCAGTTCGTTCACACAGTTCTCCTGTAACCAAGTCACTGCATTCTTATGGAGCTCGTAATCAAATGAACTAAGGTCGTCTGGGTGAGATAAAGGTATTCCAAGGATCTAAAATGTGTGAGAAAGTGATTGTTTGTCACTCAAATACTTGATAGACAGTCGAGACTGATCAAGTCTATAGCGATTATTTGGGAAATCGTATTGACGAAAGGGTCTTCTCCAATCAAAGTTTAGTATAAAAAGTTTTTTTAAGAAGCCTCAATTAATCAAAAAGAGTGCTTCTAATTCACATCTGCGTATAAAGTGAACGAAGAACATACTGTGAAATCAATAGTATAGCCAAACCGAGAGTAAAAGTAGTTGTACTGCATATCACTGAATCATCATCATTATCATACTCATCACTAGTTTCATCGTCTTACACGTATTACTATCCTAGTAATTATTATCATGATTAATGTCACTGCTTCTGTTACCACCGTTATTGTTACTATTGTCACTATCGGTATCATGAACATTATAATAGTTCGTAAGGTGAGTACGAATCTAAACAGCTGAATGACAGACAGTAATATGTAAAGACAGACCGAAAGGTCACCTGCTTCACGAATGGTTTGGAGAGATGAAGATCCAGTAGCAAATTTTCAAAAATGGAAAACCCGACCATGCGACCGATAAAACGAAGCTGTTTGAGTCTAGAGCGCAAGGAGAGATTCCTCGTTGCTCGTTTTTCATTGTTCTGCTCCTGCGGGGAAACACCAGACAAAAAAAAAACAATATCATAAAACTTTTTGCAAATATAAAATTATTTGCATGCAAACTCTGTATGGTACAGTACCAGTTCGCAGTTCCTCGTCAGTCCCTAGGCCCTAACCTCGTCTAAGCATTCCGTTAGCAAACAACACGGTACTGTGTACATCAAGTATATGCAGCCACTTTTTTTGACTGAGAACCAGGCCAACACCCACCTTACTTGATACACAATTCTACTGATGTGTTATCATAATAACATGTCTAACTTTACCGATAAAGTGTTAGAAGTATTATTACACACCTCAGATGAATGTCTTGTGTCAGCCCTTTTTACGACTCTTTCGTCACAGCCACTTTCATTGGACGCTGCAACACTCTCGCTGATATTAATCCTGTCCTCAGTTCCTTGATTTGCAGTAAAGTTTTCCAAAGCAGTTTGTCCTTCAGACCTCAGACTAATGCCACGTTCAACTTCTGCACTGAGTTGTTTGAAAGGTTGACCTACATTTCCTGCCATCGCATAACGAGCTTCTGCCTGTGACGCGGCTGACATCAATTCTTCGTCCGTGCACTCACTAGATAGGCATTCCTCTTTCCCAGTTGATGGCCCCTGTTGACTGCTTGGTGTTTGTGAGGTGTCTTGCTGTGCTTCTTTGTTGAAATATTTAGCAAAGTAAGCATTCGGCACCGGGCTGAAAAGATACATGTCTGTTAGTTCAAGTCTTTGGTACCTGAGCACCCACTGCATCTAAATTGCATCTACATGGGTACCACGTACCTGAACTGGGCATCATCTGTTATCATGAAAAGGTGTCTTTTGGGGTCAACGACATCTTTACAAAAGCAAGCAAAAAATTCTCTTTTTGGGCCAGTGCAGATACCTTAAAAGAGAAATCAATACATGTGGGTTTACAAAAAGTACAATAAATAACAAGTTTACTTAAACGCCTCGGAGAAAACATCCTTTACATGAAATGCACGTGTAATGGAAACTACAGACCATACAGTTCAAAATCATTACGCCATGAAAAAATATATAAAATAACTAAATCCACCTGGTTCATTCTGAAATGTGACAATCAAATCCCTGTGTCTCAGTGCATGTCCAAGTATTCTCCCCATCTGGTTCATGGCACTGCCTAAAACATTTGCTCTGTCGATCTCCAAAGGCAAACGTTCACGTTTCCCAGAGGTTGATCTGTGATGTTGCAATGAATATGAATTCTTTAATCACATGTTATAATTTTCCAGCTCGCATTCAAGTATTCCATTCCTTATGAACTTGTTGGGATTTGCGAGAAAACCTGAAAACCCCAATTTTTTTTCCCCTGCCAAAAACACTTAATACACATCTTAATGTATAATTTCACAGGCTGACCTGATTTGTGACAGCTTCTTTACAAACCACCTCCTCTTGTTATCAAAATCCAAGATGGCTCTCCAGATATGCTGTAGGAGTCCATAATTGTTCTCATCAAGCACCTCAGGATTTTGGCGAACGAACTCGTTAAATACTGTGTAGTATGCATCGTGATTGGCCAATGACACCAGTACATTCTTGACCACCTGTTGACAAGAATTTGTTAATTATCACCAGCTTCAGCACCTCTATACTGTACCAACAGAAAACAATTTCAAAATTGTTAATGATAACCTACTATACACCATTTTGAAGTGATAATTCATCAGTGCCTGGGCACAGCTACAGTATTTACCTTCACTGTTCTTTTCTTCTCCAACTCCCTCCTTGCTCTTCTCAGAAGCTCTCCCAGTACAAACACTTGCTCTGGTTTAGGTTTCATCAGCGCTAGCACACAGCTCTCATGAGCTTTGAAGTTAGCATAAAGCAGTGGAGGCCATCCATATTTGTCCACACAGTCAACCTGGTGCCCTGAGTTGAGCAGAAGTTGAACACACTCTGTGTCTCCTGACATGGCTGCAAGATGAAGGCTAGACGTGCCATGACTGTCCTAATAGGAAGGAAGCAGAATTAATTGCTTATGGATTCCAACTGCAGATGCATATATACATTGGAGATGTGGGCACTTACATGAAGATAGCAAGAGTTTCATAATTGAATAATGTTTCAACAATCTTTAAGATAGTATTATCAAGTTCTATTTTCTCACCACAAAACTACACAATGCACCATTGTCTAGCAGTATCCTGACACACTCCGCATTACCACTTTCACAGGCATACATCAATGGAGTAAAACCTAAAAATAAACATAATAGAAGCAAAACAAATTATTGTAGACACTGGCTAGACATGGCTAGACTCTGATTGGTCCAAAACAAAGCATATTCTATTATATTAAGAAACATATAGAGGAATACACCACATGTTCTTTGATTTACAAGAACCAGTGTTATAACCCAGTTGAGAGACATAGAGAACACTCAAAATTCATAGATCACTAATCTTTTGCTTGTGACTAAAATTTTTCTTGTGTTAGCCCAATGCCTGAAATACCTTATCAAGCCAGTAAAACAAATGAAAGTGCTTGCATAGAGTAAAATTGTCTTTAATAGCTAATTTTTGTACTATACACTTGTACCATTATCATCCGGCTGGTCAATAAGCAATCTTGATCCCTTCAAAAGCTCCCTTAGACAAAAGGAAGTGTCTTTAGTAGGTTCCCATTTGCTTTTGAAATGTGATGCACATTCCACAGCAAAGTGCAGTATGTTGCCTCCATCATCAGTCTTGAAGGAAATCATATCTGCGCCCATCCTCAACAAGACCTGGACACACTGTGAAAATGAAAAAAACCATACACTATCATGCACACAGAGAACATAAGATAGCAATTAACACAATTTATTAGTACCTCTGTTCATTAAGAGAAAACTAATTTTCAAACTGATCTATAATTGTTTCTGTACAATACATACACATCACAAACAATTTTATAATTTTTTGCCTATATGCTGTTTGTTTCAAAGTTATTTTCATTGGCAGTTGCTGTTGTTGTCTTTTTTAAACTCATTTAGTACCTTCTTTTAAAAGTCAGAGATCTCCTAGCAGCTAAACAATACAATTACTACCTATAGCATGTAGTTTTCTTTCAGACAACTGTATAAAATGCAAGATACATGTACACTGGCCAAAACCATTTCCCCAAATTTTAAAGAAATTACTTTTGATAAAATGAATATTAAGTTGACTGCTGTGCAGAAAGAAAACAATTACGGAGAAAATTAGTGAACAAACATAGAGATAAAAAGTTAAATAAATCTTAAATAGAAATACTATCCACCTCATGTTGTCCAGCATGGACAGCTGCGACCAATGGAACAAACTTCCTGACATCACTCAGTGATAACAGCCTTGTGCATGTTTTCTTGTCTTCATGAAACAAAAGCTCCAGACATTTTGCTCTGTCATAACAATTACATCCATCTCTGCCTTCTCCCACAGCAAAATGCAACAGGTTCATTTCTTGCTTGTTTGTCCTGATACTTTTACTAATGTTCTTAATATTAGCATGCCCAAGCAACAGCTGAACACATTCTGGATGCCCATCCAAAGCATATGCCAATGCAGGCAAGTGATAGTAATCCAGAGCTGTTTGGTCAGCCCCATGCTTCAGTAACAGTTTCACAAGTTCTACTTGGCCTTCTAAAGCAGCCAAATGTAGAGCAGTCCTCTTTCTGAAAGCAATCTCATAAATACAATCAGAATCTTCCTTGATCAGCTTATTGACCAAGGGAACATCATGTTCAAGAATGGCAATGTGAAGGGGTTGATATCTGCTAGACATGGTATCTGTTGTATCATCATTTGCACTATTGTCACTGTCATCCTCTATCTTAATCCGTTTCCAAGTTGGTTCTTTCTTTACTGTTTTCTTTTTCCTTCTTTTTCGTCTACTTGAAAAGGGATTTCCACCTACACAGATCCCTGTTGTATCCTGATTTTGTGTTCCATTGTCATCCTTATCATGTTGCTTGCCTGCAAATGTATCCAAGAGCTTGAGAAATTGTGATGCACCATCAGAGTTCATGCCCTCATCAGATGTCTCAACATCCTTGACAATGAAATCTCTGTCATCACCATCCTCATCCTCATCTATCTCATTACTGAGCTGTGCAAAACATGCTGCAGCCACCTTAAGGGGATCTTGATCATTATGAGCACTAGATGTGGGAGTACAACTGTCACTACTGGACAAATCATCACTGCTAAGCAAATCACCATCATCATCATCCTCAGTCAAAAGTCTCTTCGCAAGTCTTTCTTTTGGATCCAGTTTAGCTTTTTGCCTTTTCTTTAATAAACCACCAAACATTTTATGATTTTTAACTTCCTGTTTCTGTATGAGCCTTTTCACTCTTTGTGAACGGGGCCTCAAGATTTCAGCCTTATGTGGAGATTCACTTGAACAGATGTTATCAGTTTCAGAATCTTCACTACTATCATTGCTTTCTTTAGATTCATTTCTCTTATTTCCTGAAGAATTGTCTTCATCAGAGTCACTAAACTTATTAAGCTTTCTTCTTTTGTTTTTTGTTTTGTGTTTATTCACAATGCCTCTGTTTGACTCAACAAAATTTGGATTATTAACAGCCTCATCATTATGGTCTTTTTCTTCCTCTGAGCTATCAAGCAGTATTTTCCTTTTCTCCTCTGTTTTGGTTTCCTTTTCTTCCTCGGAGCTATCAAGTATTCTTTTCTTTTTCCTCTCTATTTTGCTTTCTTTGACTCTACAGATTCCAGAATCCTTCTTGCCACTATCACTGCTTTGGTCACTTTCCGCAGTAGATTCCTCCTCATCCTCCCCATCATCATCATCATCATTTATGAAATCGGACATTCCACTGTCATCTGAGTCATATCCACCTTCTCCACGACTCACATAAGAAGAACGCCTACAAAAGAATATTCTATTGTTATTTCATATTGAGGGCTGTTAACCCTTCACTCCAAAAAGTGATTAACATGCAACCTCTCCAATAATATCCGTATATTATCCAGAAAACAGGTGATGAGAATATCTAAACTTATCAAGAAGAACTTATTTTCTTGATCTAAAACCAAATTTAACTTATTTACAAGGGAAATGTGTAACAGCTGGAGGGAAGAATTAGCAATTTCAGATATTAGGAGCTTAAAGGTGTTTTATGTATGTGTGGTTATTAACACACAAAATTTTAAGGGATCTAAAAAATGTTATGCCTAGGGAAAGAGGGACATTTCATGGCAAATACATAAAAGCTAGAAGTTCTGAGACTTCTAATCATTATATACAATAATATATAAGCAACATATCCCCCCATCACCCACCCACCCCACCCCCTCGCAAACAAAATTGAAGCTACGTCACATCATCTTGTGAAGTTACAAATAACACTATCAGGTTCGATCAAACTTACTCTCTGAGGAAATTGTTCACCAGTTTTCTAGGCTTCAACACCTTTATTTTCTCCTGACTCCTGAGTCTCTTTCCTTTCGGTGACATCGATTTCAGTACTTCTTTTCTGCTTGGTAAAGAGAACGTCAATGATGATTTCTTTCGCAGCCTCTCTGAGCTACGAGGCGTCTGCGAGCTGGAGGGGGTCGCGTTCAATTCGCCACTACGCATTTCTTCTTCACATGTTTCCTTGTGTGCACTGTTTATCTGTTTACTTGGTGATCTTTCCTTCCTTTCGCCTTCTTCTGAGTCAGAAGATAGAAGCGATCTTTTCGTGTGACAACGCTTTTTGCTCGACAGACTGAGTGGCAATTCACCATCTTCTTCACTAGATGTTCCCATTATTATTGACACGGACGGTTAGAATAAACAGATCGTCCTCAGCACAGCTGTAACCTTTAAAATAAATAAAAATTTACCTCAAATCCGCTCCCCTGGAGAAGTAAGAGGAAAAAGTAACGAGCAAGAAACATGTGCTTCGTGAAATTAACTCACCGTGAAAATGTCACGAATTGTGCAGATGAAAACAAATATGGCGATGGAAATTATATCCGTGTAATGCTAGGCGACAGTCTAAAAGTACAGTTGAGTTGGGTTATTATCCCTAATTTAAACGAGGAAAACCGAAGCACTTTGACTTGAACGAAATATAAGGCTTTCCGTATTTTGAAATTAAGGGAAATGAAACGATAGGCAATCAGACATTATGTTATTCACTTCCTTTTTCCCCGCGCTTTTTGTTTCAACTATTTAGTTTCCAGGAGAAAACGGCCAAGATCTCATAAGTTACTTTGTTTAACCTTATACGATGTGTCCTTCTCTTGGAAAGGAAATCCTTGGGTGATCGAGGCTCGCAATCAAAATTTCCCAAAACTAACGAGCAGTGATGCAAACATGGATTAGGTCCAATTTTCTTTTGGTTGAAAATTAATTTGCAACCAAAGATATTATAACTCGAATAAAAGACTTCTGTATCTGAAGGTGTACCACTCACTCAGACTTACATGTCGTGACTTTCCGCAGTCACGTGTAAAGCCGTGGAAACACATCCTTTCTAAATAATTGAGCTAATTTTAATAACTAATTATTATTAAAATTATAATTATAATTATACTATTATAATTATAATAATTATAATAACTGAAAGTGCTTTGAGTGCATTTTGCGTCTAAGTCAGTTGCGCACTGTTAAACTTTCAAAGTTATAGACACCTTGTGCTGAGCAGCTTCCTAAAGGGTACAGCCGTATAGATTTAAGTTTCTTACCGAAAAAACTGCAGGTGAGTTCATCGAAATGTTTCTAGATTGTTGTGACGAAATGAGCCGAAATTTGACCATGAAGTTTCTTTCAAAGCATGCATCCATACACTAATCGGAATAGCTCTAAACTTTTGATTTAAGCCACAAAATCAGAGATTGCATTCCTACAGTAGCATGGCTTCTGTAACTTATTTGTTACTCCCCTGAGAGGAACTAAACCGATAAGTGGTGGTTTACTCGTGCGGTTCAATGACTGTGATAAATAAACGACGACGGCCGGACGTTGTGTCGAAAACGAACCTTCCACTCCTTCGATGCGTTTCTTTAAGAAGTTCACTCATTGCTGAATTCATTTTTATGCTTTTTACTGGAACCTTTTCCCTGCGAAGTATGTGCTTTCGATCGAGAGACAAAGCGGATCATTCACTAAAAACCACGGCCTGTAGTGAGCTCCTCAACACTCAGTTAACAAATATAAAAAAGTAGCGGAAATCATAAGCGAAACTGTTGAGTGTGGAACCCTCGGCGCAGTGATACCTGAATGTAACCGACACTGTTTAGAAGCGATTGTTTGAAATATCACCGCACTACAGAATTTATTCTGATTTGAGACTTTTTGTAGCAAGTTTTCATGTGGGAAGTATACGCTTTCGAGAGAAGAATGGATCATGAAGATTACTCTACACTGAAATGAGTATGGAAGCGAAAGCTCGTCTATAGCTTAATTAGACTTTCAGGAACTCGAAAGCGAAACTGTTCAAGCGGAAGAGCTCCAGAAGTTTTTTCGTTTAGGTTAGAAGTTCTCCCTGTTGTTGTTTTCAAGTTTTTGAAATCCTTGGGTGATCGAGCCGTATAGATTTAAGTTTCTTACCGAAAAAACTGCAGGTGAGTTCATCGAAATGTTTCTAGATTGTTGTGACGAAATGAGCCGAAATTTGACCATGAAGTTTCTTTCAAAGCATGCATCCATACACTAATCGGAATAGCTCTAAACTTTTGATTTAAGCCACAAAATCAGAGATTGCATTCCTACAGTAGCATGGCTTCTGTAACTTATTTGTTACTCCCCTGAGAGGAACTAAACCGATAAGTGGTGGTTTACTCGTGCGGTTCAATGACTGTGATAAATAAACGACGACGGCCGGACGTTGTGTCGAAAACGAACCTTCCACTCCTTCGATGCGTTTCTTTAAGAAGTTCACTCATTGCTGAATTCATTTTTATGCTTTTTACTGGAACCTTTTCCCTGCGAAGTATGTGCTTTCGATCGAGAGACAAAGCGGATCATTCACTAATAACCACGGCCTGTAGTGAGCTCCTCAACACTCAGTTAACAAATATAAAAAAGTAGCGGAAATCATAAGCGAAACTGTTGAGTGTGGACCCTCGGCGCAGTGATACCTGAATGTAACCGACACTGTTTAGAAGCGATTGTTTGAAATATCACCGCACTACAGAATTTATTCTGATTTGAGACTTTTTGTAGCAAGTTTTCATGTGGGAAGTATACGCTTTCGAGAGAAGAATGGATCATGAAGATTACTCTACACTGAAATGAATATGGAAGCGAAAGCTCGTCTATAGCTTAATTAGACTGTCAGGAACTCGAAAGCGAAACTGTTCAAGCGGAAGAGCTCCAGAAGTTTTTTCGTTTAGGTTAGAAGTTCTCCCTGTTGTTGTTTTCAAGTTTTTTTCTTTTTTTTTGCTTAATGTTCAGGATTTGGGACAATTTTGGTTCTCAAAGTCATACAGACATGAAAAAATTCTATGCAATCTTGCGTCCTAGCCTCTTTGAAGGCTCTGCATGATTAAAAAATATTGCTATATGTTTTATCGTCAATGTCAACCGGCAAGCTCTTTGAAAACTCTTCCCCAAATAAATGACTCCTTAACAACGCTTTTAAAGAATTCTTCGAATTCTGCTTCGAGACCTTTTTAATTTGTGTCTCAGTTTATACACAGTCTGTGTGCGTGAGCGTTTGTACGTAAACAACTTCATGTAAATACTGTCCAGTGTATTTGCACAATTTTTTGTAGAAGTTTCTGTTAGCAGGCTGTTATATTCGTGAATTCCTTTCTCCCAAAACATTTTTGCTCCGTATCAAAATGAAGTGCAGATGAAGAACATTTCTTGACAACAAATGATCTAGCTTATCTCAAGCATATCGGACGATGTTTTTACTCTAATGCAAATTCAAACAAAAGGTACAAGATTAAATTTCGTCAGTATTAAGACAGGAGATGTATAGCGACCTTTCCTGTGAATTAAAGTCGTTTTCGAACTACGGCCGCGTATTTGGAAAATATTTCACAGTGAAATTAGCACAAGTCAAGAAGAATAAATGCGAGTGAGCCGACATAATGCTCATTTCTTAGGACAGAAAAACTCGATTTACTGTGCTACACGTTTTTCTCACAATTATATTTTAAATTCATTTGGTATTTTATGTTCCTAGATCAAGTAGTCTTGAATTTTCTCATGATGAAGATAAGCTTCCCATTAGCACTGCTCCTTCAAATTCTATTCCTGTCTGCCGTATTTCAACTCATCAATGGACAAGGGGGATCCTGTGAACAGACGTTGAACACGACCCGATCTCAAATCTGCCTGACTGGAGTGTGTGATCTTCAGTGCGGAAATACTGCGGACTATTCTCAATGTGACCAGGTTTGTGTGGTGGAACCTTGCCCAAATATCAGCTGCAACTCTTCAAGTTGTTATCAGCGATGCCTGTCAGGAAAGTGTAATTCAGTTGAATGTTCCAGCGACGATTGCACCCAGACTTGCCTCAGAAACTGCTCCCTGGTGAACTGCACTGCAACATCGAAGTGTAGTCAACACTGCGAGAAGGGACACTGTGGCTTACTCGCCAGCGGTGCAGACGTAGTTCAAAATTGCGCCGAGAATTGCTCACATGTGGAATGTAAGGCTGACAACTGCAAGCAAGGCTGCGAGGGGGAGGGGTGTGGACTCGAGTGCTCCAAAGGTAAGTCCTTTGAAAAAGAAAAAGAAGAAGAAGAAGAAAAGAGGAAGAATAAGCAGGATAAAAGGGAAAAAAGAGGGCTATAAATGAGCTCAGGTGGCTTTTGACATCGCTGATCTTAGGAGCAGACAGGCCGCTTGTCGCATGTAAATCCTGTATAGAACGTAACTTGCTGTTAGTTCTCCTCATAGTTCAGTTATTAGTGCATCCGAATGTGAAATTGGAACAAGCTAAACTCAAAAAATTATTTTTACGATCTCTTATAGGTACCAAGGACTGTACACAGAGTTGCAAAGGGCCTTGCAAAATTCAGTGCGAAGCTTCAAAGTGTGAAAGTAATTGCATAGGAGGCAGCTGCAACTTGGAGTGCATGAACAGCGACTCCGAATCTTGTCAACAAACCTGCGCGCAAGGAGCCTGCGATATCAAGTGCACAGCGAAAGAATGCAAAAGTGAATGCTTGGGAGGCAATTGCGCCAATTTCAAGTGCACTACTGACCAAGGTAACTGCAGCCAGGTCTGCGAAAAAAACTGCAACAACATGAGATGCAAGGCAAAGGAGTGTCAACAGACCTGCACAAAGGGACATTGCAAAATGCATTGTGAGACGGGTTCAGACATGTGTGTTATGTCCTGTCCTGGTGGAAATTGCTTGTTGGATTGCAATGGAAGCAAGTGTAAACGCGACTGTAAAGGAGGCCATTGCGAGGAAACCGGAACAGGTGTGGAAGCTGACGCAAAAGGATTGGTCGTCACGTATTTGTCTTTCCTACTGCCTGTGATGTCAGCATATGTCCTGTCTGGCCATTAATTCTGACAGTCCTGGATAAAAACTTCGACCGAGAGTGATACTTGTTATGCGAGCACCATACTTAATGGCTCGGTTGTTTTTCATTGAAAATTTTAGTTTTTGCACAGGGTTAGGAATTTAATAACATTGTGTCAACTAAACTGTAAGTTGTATTAGTTGAAGTTGTATTAGTTGTATTAGTTGTATTAGCAAATGCTGCTGTTTTCGCTGATTTAAAACAGGGCCTTACTCGGCAACCTACGTGTAGCCGTACCCTCCCCCTCAAAGTGAAACCTTGCGGGGGAGAGTACGTCGTTGAGGTAATTTTAAAGAAACGTAATCGCTTTTGTAACCACTGTGTTTCTGACACTGCTATACGCCTAAGGCTAAGAATGAGTAGTTGAATTATTATCCCATCATAATAAAAGTTGACAATATTTCTAACGCATCCCGTGAAAAGCTTTTACATAGTTATGAGAGTATAATCCTCTCTACGGATCCTAGGTAATGCATATGTTGATTAGATATTTTAGACGATGTAATCGTTCCCGTTTGTAAGGCAAAATAATGAATAAAATTCATCAATTTAAGCATTCATTCGAAGGTCACAGCGAACGCTAAATTTGATTATTTTTCGTCCAACTCAACTTGATTATCAGGCAGCTAAATACACATGGATATGAAACATTTAAACAAGCCATTAACTAACAATCAGCTAAACCCTTCAATATTTTTTATTAATTTCAACGAGACACGCAAAATTTCTTTCATTTCAAGGGAACCACAAAATATTTGTTTGATAGGAGAGCAAAGTGATAAAATGGAAAGAATCACCACAAAAGGAACGCTTATGGCGAAGGGTGGACAAGGTTGATGTGTTTTTGACAAGCGATCTGTTGTTCATTTGCGTTGGACGCCTTGTTTTTCTCCGCATCAGTTGAACGTCATCATTTGGTATCATGCTATTACTCATTAAAATGTTGTATACAAGAAACTTTTCCATGATGATGTAATTTCCTTCTTGAGAAACGTACTTATTACGTATCTGCTGTTTCTAAGTTTCTTATTTTTATTTCCATGACGAATAGGATTTTGTTCGCGGAAAAATACCCATGACATTCTTTTGGCGCCAAACAGGAACTGTCAATATATATTGAATTTGCATTGAAACGCAGGAAAATGAGATCTAGTTCCTGTTAGTTTTTAAACGAACGCCAGACAACCTCGTGTTTAGGTCACTCTTAAAACTCTAACAAGTTTACTCCGTCGATAAAAACAATTTCGCCCATTCTATTAGATTGGAAAAGTGTCAAGGAAAATTTCTAGCGCAGAGTTTCTCCTAATTTTCTTTGACATGTGTCACAGTTGTCTCGGCATGATCTATATACACAAGGAAATATAATTTTTTCCTTGATAAATTTCTTCTTTTAGAAGTCATCTTGGCCATAGAGTAACATGTAATTTTTAAGACAATGGAAGGCTCCCAAGGAAAAGTGTTATATTTTTTCACAGCAAAATTCCCGCTGCTGATGACGCAACTCAGTGAAACACCAATTTGGCATGAGCATTATTTGAGCATGGACGGCTATTGATTATAGGTCTTGCTTGTTATTCGTCTGGGAGCCTATTTGGGAAGAACAAAGAGGAGAGGGTATAAATCTCCACTGAAAATGACGCAAATGGATTCATCATTCATAAAAATGAGAGCTTCAGTTTGAATCAAAATAATTAGCCTGTAAACAACTCTTTCCTCGTGGAAGTGAGATCATGGCAACCTCAGACATCCGTCAACAAACCGACGTAAGTCGCTAAAATGGCTCTAATTACATTAGAAATAAAATCTCAAAAAAATACTGTTCCATCATTTTGTGGTATGATCCACAAACATTTAGATAAGGCTGGACAGTCGCCTTTTGTAACCATGGACCGAATTTTTTCTGAGGTAATACTCCAACTCCTTTCGCGGAAGTAATTATCGCGATCACACGAAGATACGTTGTGTTATAAAATAATCATGAGATTAAGGGAATTTATACGTGACCCCACCCGTCAGGAAAGTTCAAAGAAGTTATCCATCTTCCTGTTTTTCAGTTTTATTCTTCAATTGCTGTTTTTAGCGTGCTTTCCGTAAGGCGTCGATGAGGACTGCGTTAGTAAAGTTGTTATCAATTCCCAAAAGTTTTAAGTCGCAGTAATGATATTTACTTGCCAACTTTTCCTTCTTGTTTTGTTTGTTTGTTTTTTTTTTCGTTATTTTCTCTTTATGGGCATAATTCAATGGCAGATATCCATCAAACAGGATTGAATTGCAATGCAAGTTGTAACCTGACCTTTTAGGTGTTTGTTGCTCAACAATTTGCTGTGCAGTGTCCCTCAAATACACCTCCCAGTCTGCCTCTTGAACAGGTTGATCAGGCGAGAAAGGGTACCTGCACGTGCATGCAATGTAAAAAAGGTAAGATCAGGAATGCAATTGAGAATGAATTGTATAGGAAAAAGGTGTGAGTGTTGCTACTCCCCCAAGTACAAAGGTTACCTCCTAAATTTAACCAAGTTGCCTAAGGGTTAGCTGGTGCTCACCTACACTCCTTGGCAGGGAGAGAGAGAGAGACACTGTGACTGTCTCGTTCAAGAACATAACACTCTGATCCCAACCAAAACTTGAACCTGCACCATTCAACCCATGGTCTAGTACTTCTGAGGGTAACCTTCACATAATTGCACTAATTATGCTTTGTTAGTCATTATTTTTAGGCTGTACACTGTACAGTCTAACTGTGAAGCTCTTACTGTTGAACTCTGCAAACTTCACACATCAGCAGGGCCCTCCGTAGATTCCTATTTGACTTCTCAGCAATTCTCTTAGAAAGCTCTGCTGGAATAGTCAGGCCCTCCTTTTTGCAAACATTGTGAAGTATTTGACAAATCTGTAAATAAATTCAATCAGAAAAATTATCATTCCAGTAAATCAGAATCTGTTTTCTGGTGTGGAGGGTTGCACATTCAGAAATAATGTAAACTTATCCTGTGCACAAAACTGATAAATTTACACAGTTTACATACACATTCAATTATCAACATGTTTTATGGAACTAAATTAACATTTCACAAACTTTGCATAAATACAAAACACTTAACAGTTCCACTGGGCTATGTGAAATAACCCTCTATGAAACACCAAGGTACAAGTTCTACTTTAACACAAGGAAAGGGAGAGTCACCTCTCTCTGTTAAGGAACATTTGGGAAATATCAATAAAGAAATTCACTTCACTCAGTAATGCTGTAGTTTGTCATGAACAAATATTTTACAAGTTTTGTTTTTCAGAGAAAAATGAGACATGATCTTAACTATTTTGATAATCATTTAGGAAATTTCCTGAATTCTACAATCTTTCAAAATATTTCTCTGCCAAATTGCAAAATGAAAATCTGGTAGCAGCCCTGGAGTTTTCTTTTCCGTATTACAGACTAATCAATTGGAAATATACAGTCATTTTTTGCCTCAAACGTAGCGCCGTACTCTGTAATTAACCGACTAAGTTAGTAACACCACATTGTAAAGAGTTTTTATTAGGGTTTCATGTGTTCTTCATAAACCGCGAGAAAATGAAAAGATCTTACGCTAGAAACGAACTAGATTATACACGTGTGGCTAGCCACGCCAATACCTTTAAAATCGCACAGTGTTTATAAATAAATAAATAATTTTTCGAAGTTGCAAATATCGAACAAAAAGAAGTTATTTTGTAGCTTACCGAGTTGATTGTGATCCGAAGAATTGTTTTAACGCAATGAGCGTGCTTCTGTCGAGCGAATTTTTGGCGAATCGATCGAGGACTTTCAGTATTGGTGATAAGTGTATAACAGAAAGAAAGACAGAAAAGACAGAAAGCAGAAATGGCGGCGTTTATATAATGTACGACTCTTTGACAATTCATACGCACTTCTAAGCTGCGCGTCAGTGACGCAAGTGGTGCGAATTTGAATTTGACAAAATCGAACAGATGTGCATGAAAGCTTCAAATGCTTAATTATATTTGTTGTTTTTTCCTCGGTGGTGTTTGATGAATAAAATATCTACATCTTGTAGGGAAATATCGCGCGGAGATAATACTGATAATTTTTTCAAACGCGCGCTAGAAAATCATTAGGAGACCAACTTTCTTCCAATAGACTTCGTTCGACGAGTTTGGACGGGCACTGGGAAGATTAGGTGGCCGGGGGTTTCCAAGGTCCATTTGTACGAGTAAATTTATCTTTTTGTTGAACATATACTTTGATACTCCATTACTATTTTATAATGAAAGACGATGAAAATCGAATGATTGATATGGATAACAAAGAAGACGTTAGTGAGAGAAGAAGACCAGAAATGCTTAAATGAAAGTCTGTGGTTCGTGTCATTGTCTTTGGAAGGTTGTTGTTGATCTTGTTCTTTTAACAACAACTTTATCGACGAGTGTACCCCCCTTACGACTGGTTTTTCCGGAATTATAGAGATCTAGAGTTGACATCTCATTTCAGTTCCCTTAGGGGTTCGGCGTCAAACTATCAAATTACGTGAGACGGACAGCAACAGACGGACAGCGAGACTGAATGTTTTAATTTACACTGATAATTATAACGCTCATTTGAAACTTTTAATGTAAATTAACGTGCATCGTAATCGGATGTTTGACATCAACATTTCATCTCTTAACATATATCTTAATTATCCAAGTTAATATTTCCTTTCAAGAATCCCACTTCAATTTATTCGTTTTAACGTTAAGTAGATGACGAAAAACCTCAGTTTCTTCTCTCATAATACCGTATGACCTGATCATATCGAGACATTTAGATGAAGTCAAATGCAGACCGACTAAATTTTTCAGTTTTGAACTGCATAAAACAAGCACTGCGACAGAACCGCTTTTAAAAGTTTACCCGGCCGCTCCTTTAATTTATCGTCGATTAATTTGGATGTGACCATGGAATCTTCTAAGACATTACAAAGACATAAGTCGTGAATTTTTCTTTACAACACTTTCTTGCATATGCTGACCTATGCAATGAGTCTCCCTGCAAAGAAAATCAAGATTCGCATCAAATCTGGGGAAAAGATGGGGTAGTCTTTGGATATGAGTAACCCAATACTCCACTCCTCCCCTCCTCTTTGAGAAGGAAGAGTGCAATCTGTGTAGCAGTTTATTTCGAATTTTATTTTCAATATTTTTAGTATGTAGCGTCACTCGACAAACATTCGCATTAGGTAATTAGAGTAATTCTCATTTATTTTAGTTTTACAGCTTCCATCTGGTTCATTTAATCTATGTAGTTACCCTTGGTAAATCAAAAAGGCCTCATTTGAAAACTCAACAACCCCGGGTCATGAGGATGACACTTTAACAATAAATATCAGTAGGTGTGAGCTGCTTTAAACAAAATTAAATGGAGATAGAATCATAAACAGAGTGCAGTTTTAAAACTCTCGAAAAATACGCAAGTCAGGACGTTTTAAGGATTGCACTTTTTAAGTTTGCTAGCTAGATCTGCGTCAACATGGATAATGAAACACCATAAGTCACCATTACCAAAATGACAAAGAAAACACAAACGTAATAAAACTTATATTTACATGTGATGGAAAATGCACCATACTGTATGGAGAAATGAAATAGAGAAAGAACAAATCCGAGTAGAAGAGCAAAGTTGTGGCGTTTCTAACCTGAATCAGAAATTTGCTTCCACCTTTCTACCATTCACTGGTTTAGTCGGCCGGAAATTGTCACATTCAGAACCTTGTCCTGACGTGAGTTTCTTGAACGCTTCAAGCTGAAACGAAAAAGACATATAAGTATATAAAACTAAACAAAAATCAGGTCGGTTTTAAAAATAATTTACCTTCGGAAATGAGATCATTCATTCGACGATTTGCATTAGACAAGAGTTACATGTACGCCTTTGATTAGGGGCTGATATTTGAAATTCTTTCAACGCTTCTAAATTCCTCATCAATTATGAAAAAAAAGCAGCATGGGTTTCCAAAAACGTTTCTTATTCTTCAAATCTCGTTAAGTGTAAATCCCAGTCTTTTGCTTCTGAAACTAAGCCAGCGGGAGAACTGGTGACCATTTTTTTAAAACCACGAAATATATAGGATCAGAGGAGTAGGTTAAGGAGCAAAAAGATAATTCTCTGAATGGTGGAATACCTGATGTTTAGTGATGGTTACTGGGTTCTTCATGACAATCCATTTCACGGTTTCGTAGCAGGGAGGAGTCGTTAGTGAGCCCATGTAAGTGTAGTAAGGCGCATGCTCTTTAGCAAGGTCCGGAACAAGGTTGGCCAAGGTCAAATTGTCAGCCGGTGTATAAACAGGGATGCTAGATCCTGTAGTTAGAAATCGAGGCGGATGCTAATATAGTTTAGCTCATATGACAAAAACAAAATTTTACATTAGATAATACTGATCAATAGTCCTGACGATTCCGATAGTGCGAGTGGCTCAATAGCCACGTTTTGTTGTCTAACCCATGCTCTTATCTTTCAATTTACATTACAATAAACTCTTGCTTGCATATTCCCGCTGAAAGTCAAAGCATGTTTATTTTACCTACTACTGTATATAGTTTTTTTTAGTTTGTATATTCTCCCCTAATTGGTGTCCCCAAATTAGTAAGGGATTTGTTCCCTGGCTAGACGGTTTTTGACACTTTAATAAAGTTTCTATTCTCTATTCTATTCTATTCTATGTAAATACAACATGAGCAAACCTTCCACGGCAACGTCATCCAGTTGATCAACAATGCTATCAAGTGCATTGTTTTCAGTCTTCCCTACCTGCAAAAAAACAAAACTTAACAATGAAAGGAGTAATGTTGAGGCTAAAGGAATGAAACTAAACTAAAACCTAAAGCTTCTGATGACGGTCGCCGAATTTAAAAATTTCCATTTAGCTAGATTATCCAATGACCAATATGGACGTCCATTTTTTTTTGTTTTTGTTTTTTTGTTTTGTTTTGTTTTTTTTGTCTTGTAGACCATTACGTCATGTAAGACTACGTGTTACGTCCTAAACTACTTCCTCAATAACCTGCCATGATCATATGCATGTTATGACAGAAGTATTTAGAATAGTTCCAAAAACTTATGTATAGCCTTACAATACCTAGAAAACTAACCAACATGGACGAAATGACACAACATTATAGAGATGGTCCCAGGGAATATGTCTTACCTTCAACAATACTGAAATGGCCGCCAAGCCATCCTTTTTTGAGGCTGCATTGTCATAAAACCCATATTCTGTGTTGTAAAACATCAATTGCAACTGTGTGGAGATTGGAGACAAATAAAGACATGACTATAAGAGTGGATTTATGGTAACCGAAGCCACCCAGTTGATGAAACAAATCTGAAAACAGAACCTAAACAATAGATTCCAACATCTTCAAATGCAGTTTATAAAGTAAGGATGAAAAAAAAAATATTGTTCGATCTTCAATCTTGACTCGTGACTTTGAATGTAATAATTAAAAGCTGACTTGTAATTGCAGTCAGAATCTAAACTTCAAAGCATTGGTTTTAAGTAATCTCGAAAGCCTAGCTTGTAGTTTGTAAGAGTACTAATCGGTTTTTGTTTTGACTCAGCAAATCATCGAAAAGTGTTCTATCGGAATAGTCGCATCATAAATCACTCCTCTTCAATTGGCTAATTAGGGCAGACTTAGATTTGTAAATAAGGCTGTTGCCTATATTCAATATGAGCAACACAATGGTGAAAAAAGTTTTGACGTATTTATAAGCGCCTTACCTCTGCTGGGAAACTTTTCCCATCAATAGTGTGCTCAGATCCTCGATCAGCCTCACATCCAAAGTGGATGTTTAAATCATGCAGCTGAAAGTTCTTATTAATCACAGGGACACCAGTTAAGTTGCAGGTGCCTCTCTCATAATCCGCTGTTAGGATTGGCTCATATCCATTATTCAGCAGTATTCCATTAAACAATCCTTCTTCATTGTCACACGTGATGTCCAGCTCTCCCAGAGATGAATCAGACTCTACCGTCTTGGTTGCAATATTGATTGGTGATTGGTCGGCCAGACGGCATGAACTTGCAACATTTCCCCATGCATCGGGTCCATAAACTGCATCAAATAAAATGCAATTTTAAGTTAGTGCAATTTTAACAGCGTATAATGTCTGCTTTGTCAACATCATGTCGTTCTCCACGCGCCCTGATGGACATTTTAACACTTGAATTCGTGATCTTATGCCTAATTCAAAGTCAGACAACCACAAAAACTTCCAACTGATTTCTCAAAGTGATTTAGGATCATAACCTTGACTCAGTGGTTACTTAACTCTCTGATTGGCTCAGAAAACTCGTACCATTATCTCAGCCAATCAAACCATCTACATTTACTTGTGTTTATCTCCAGTTCTCTTTAGTGCCCTATGACAAGTAACTTGGTCTCACGACACTCAATCAAAAAGAGCCTATTTCTTTACCTACAGCTAATCAGGTAGTGAACAAATAAGTTCCCACAATTGTAACGGATCGAACACTTTTCTATAAACATATTCTTTTCTTTGAGGTCACAAATTTTCCTGAAATTACCCTTGCTACTTAAAAAAAATCACGCATTAAAGTTAATAGAAACAGTTGTGGATTCAAATTTTAAAACTGCTGTTCCAGACGGATAAAGATTGTAAAGTAACGGTTATTTCCGGTCAGAAAAAAATTACTCGCCTCCATGAATAACATCACTATCTCCATATTTCCAGGTTCCTCCTGCGTTTGTAAGAATATTAGATATCAGTTCCGACATTTACCGCAATGACAATTAGAAACATATAACCAAAATTGGGTTCTCTTACTTGCCAGTGTTGAAAAACACAAGAGAATTAGCACAGCTGTCGGAAAGGCCATTAGCAGCGAGTCCTCAGAGTAGCAAGACCAAGTTATGAATAGTGCCAGTGGACGTAAAAAAGCTCTCGCAAAATTATTATTTTTTATGAAAGAGTCAAAAGATTCCGTTAACTCTTCCCAATTTCAAAACATCAAAACACGATGGACTAATCATGTCTCCCACCTGCTTCTCACAATCTAAACAAAAACACCGAACGTATTTGCTTTTATGCAAACGTTTTAAGTGAAAAGCTGTTAGTATGTTTCTGTTCATGACTTCTATTATTGCTAGCTAATAGCATATCTAATAACTGCAAAGGTAGATCAAAGCACGTGCAGCCTCAAGGTACCCGTGAAATGTGGCAACTCTTGGTCGCTCACCAATTATAACAGTTGATTTGCCGACACTGCTGGTGGATTATAAGCTTTGATCATCTCATTTCAATGGCATTGGTGTTTTTGCTACACGATTTTTTTCTCGGGCACGCCACTACCATTACATTGAAATACAGTTTTACTGCCTCTGATCAGAAAAAGCTGAAAAACTGAAGAATGGAGATAGTTTCACATTTTTGTGATCACTAGCGGTGATTTCAATCAGAAATTTACTTTAAGTTCTGCACGAAAAAGGAATTACGAAACGAGCGGCGGACTTAACAGGTTTGGCTTTATCCTTTCATCACCACTCGTCAAATTTGTGCGAGACTCTGAGCAGTACACAAGCTGGTAGTGTTTTTAAAGTCCGAAAATGAAGTAATCACACCCGCAAAGCTGTATGGGATTATGATTACTAAGGCGCGTGACGGTTCATGTAACTTGTATGCGATAATCCCTTCTAATCGTTTTCACGCAGGATCAGGGCTGAATTTTACATATTAAAAAATCTGCGTTCATATGTTTCCACGATGAATTCATACAAAGTGAACAAAGCTGTGATCGTTGGAAATCATTGCGCCATTGGGACCCATGTCTTACCAGTGACTACTTCAACGTGCCGCCATATAGCTCTCGAACGAGTGTAGCGAGTGTGATGATTTCCGTCTCACAAAAGTTTTTAGCTTTGCATAAACTTTTGAACTGATCTGAGCGAATGACAAATGGCAAGAGTTTTATAAGTTTATTGTGTCTGCTCTCAACCACGTATGCCAATCGTGCGAATTTCGTCTTTCATGAAAAAAGATGATATTTTCGTTTTCAGTATTCGCTAGACATATTTAAGATAAAATGAGAAGCAAGAGAAAACAGACAAAATTGTTTTTTTTCCCTTTGCAGTAAATGTGCTATCGATAGCTGACTAACACCGATGTAATTTTGCTCTACTGTTTCTTTCTCTTATCCAGTCTTGTATCCTTTTGTGGCAAGAAATTAAAAAGGTTCCTATGCGAAAATTGGGTAAAGAAAGAATAATATAATTTTTATGCAAATGACTGACAAGGGTTATTGTATTTGTGGAGGAGCTTTACAACTTTGGCAAACAAAAAATGTCAAACGCAAACAATTATAACAACATCGGAAATGAAGTAAGAAAAAGGAGGAGTGATTGTAATTCATTTTCCCCTTTCCGAATTTCAATTTTTTAAATCTGATCTTAAAAAAAAAAAAAAATCTTCAGTAAGAAAAGACTCAGACAGCTGCCACTTTCTATTTGCTTCATGCAGTCAAGTAATTTAGTCATGTTTTTGTCTGTCGCGACTGTAGCTTCATGTATAACTTTTGTAACAAACACAGTATGTTGCTCGCGAAATGTGAATAAAACAAGCTGAATAAACTTGACCTTACCTATTTACTATGTTTCTTCTGTTTAAATGGTATGTAATTAAAAGCGATGAAACTAATATGTTTTGGATGAAATCATTTTTTTGCTTGAAATATGGTGTTAAACGGAATTGAAAAGCGGCGGATAAACTCTTGAAAAAAGAAAATAATTCCGTAATTTATTTTCTGGGGAAGGATAAGAGCTGAGCTGAATAATCTTAAACTTTTTCATTACAACAAGATTGCTGTTCGTATGATAATTAAACGCGTTGAGGTCAACATTTCTCGTTTGACATTGTCTTCTTCATGCCACAAGGAGTTCAAACCTTGCATAAAGTGTTCAGTGAATTATACTTCGGGTTTGTTAATTGTTCGTCTCGGTCGCTGTTCCGGCTTTAAATCAGTAAATTGAGAAGACGTAGCCTCATTGGTTTTCATAACTTATGACCAAAGGAGTTCAAACGAGTCCGTTGAAAACCAGAAAAAACGTAATGAAATTGCCGCAGTATGCTGCCTTTGGAGAAATAATTCAAGCTGAACAAACTAAGCCATGTTTACTATGGGTCCACAGTTTCCTAAGATAATTAAAGGTGTTAGATCTAATATGTTTCATTTAATTTTGTCTTTCATAATACGATTTTGTATTCAAATGTTGAATTGCACCAGTGGACAAAGAAAGGACATTCAATAAATCAGCCTCGAAGATTTCTAGACGAACAAATTCGATTAAGGCAAGTCAGGAGAGAAAAAATAAAGGACATTGTGAAACAACAACGAGAGCAGTAAACTTAGTTTTATTTAAAAAGTTTTGTTGTAACTCCACGCACCACTTTTTTGACGGGTTTGTTACAAACGCAATATGTTCCCTATGGACAGAGTATAACATTTGCTGAAAAGACCTGACCCCTTTCATTATGCGTCTACAGTTTAAACGGTAATTGAATGCATTAAATCTTATACATTTTAGTTAATATCTTCCTCAAACTTGCATCATGGTATTGAAATGTCTACGAATCATTATACGACCACGTAATCCAGTGAGTCGAGGCTCTGGGTCACTACAAGATACTTTGAGTTAAGCAATCGTCTTTTGTAGTGACAGTGGCACTGAAAGGTGTCAGAAAAAAAGTGCCGTATCCGCAGTAGGAAAATGAGTGAAAATAGAGAAACTCTGCGATGAAATAAAGCAGCGGGAAATTTCATGTATTTTACTCCTGACCCAGCGTTTGCATCTGTCGCAGGTTCGAGATTTCTACTACTTGCTGTCCCCTGACATAAAGGAAACTGTCGGATCTCTTGCTTTTCTGATCTCTTATTATTACCGACTGTCAAACATCTTGACTTGTGTCCTTCGACGGCTAAAGGAGAAATTAATTATTTCCGTGTCGTGTTTATTTTGTGGTTATTGACAAAGCAATCCGACAAAATAAAGGAAACAACAAACATTTCGAAGAAAAAAAATAATGGAAAATACGCCGAAAATTTCTAAAGTACCAGAGAATTTTAAAAAACGAAAAATGCGCTACAAAAGTGATGAAATAATTTGTTTCGTTCAGTTTATGTAGATATCCTGGATGGACTTAATGACATCTCGTAAAATCAAAATATATGTAAATTTGTACAGCTTAGTGCTTCCATTTACTTTAACATTGATTTCCTAGCCACCATTTCTACGGAAAACGAAAAAAATCCAAAATAAAACCATATATGTTGTCCATTGACCTGAATTACCAAAGAAGAATCTTACTAACAATATTGGCATTGAGTTCTAAATTTGAGGGTGTCGAGTCGAAAATGATGGTAAGTCCATTTGCAAATGATGCAGTCTTGAGCTTCTTTTCCTTAACGAAAAAATCTTTCTATATTCTTGTCTGAAATTCCTGTTCAAGAAACCGTAGATAAGAGGATTAATAACGCCTGAAAGATTTCCCAGAATTAGATAGAAAACATAGACTTGTCTCGGAAGAGAAACTTCACCTCGGAACGTGTCCACCAAATCTATGACAGCAATCGGCGTCCAACAGGCCAAAAATCCTATCACCGTGATGAATAGAATCTTTGTAACTCTGACATCAGCTTGAGAAATGTTATCCGCAGCCAAGGAAGAGGAACGTAGATTATGAACTGTTCTTTGGTGTATGCGCATTTTCCTGAAGACGAGTGCATAGCAAATACTTAAAGCAGAAGTAGGCAGACCAACGTAGAAATACACAATAAAATTTGGAAGGGAAATTTCAGCTGTTTGAAAGCAAAACAACTTTCCGGGATGAAAGACATAATGTCGACCCGTGAGTAAATAAGGTAATGGTTCCAAGAAAGCTAAGCCAACTCCGAATGCTATCATAATTATGGTTTTCCATTTCGTAAAAATATGTCGGTAATGTTTCGTTACCACCATTCGGAAAAATCGATTGATCGCGGTCAGTGTTAAGATCAGCAAAGAGGCGCAAGCCAAAATCATGACAAAAAATCCCTGAATTTGGCAAACACTGTCGTTAAATGGCCAGCGACCAACGATGGCCACAGCTACAGAATACGGAGCACATAACAAGGGTAAAAGAATATCAGAGATCGCCAGCGACACAATGTAGTAGTTTGGAATTGTCCGCAGTCTTGAGTTTCTATACACCGCCAAAAGAACACAGGAGTTTCCAGCGATTGCCATCGAAATAATCAGCAGGTAGAAAAACGTTTCACATATCACGACCTTCATGTCTCGGTTTTGGAGTTCTTTGGCCAAAGTCTCGATTCCTTTGAGCGTCATCGTCATCTACTGAAATAAGATGGAAATTACCTTTAACAGAGAGTGTGGCTAAACGGAAGACTATGGGACACAAACTACTTTCAGGCTCACCCTAACCTAGCATTTACTGACGAAAATAAGAGCTAAATTACTTAAAACAGAAATCTTGCGGCGCGTTACCCACCACGCTTTTGTAACCCTTTTCGCCTATGTAAATCACTTCACGTTTTATTCGGCTATGTCAGCGCAAAGTAAAGCTGTTTCGTCTTACCTCTAAAAACCACGTTTGCTTAGTGTTTTTAACCCTCTGGGTCAACATTTTGAGGACATTGATAAGAGAACAAATAAAGCTATTCAATTTAGCTCATATAACATGTAGAAACGTCTTCTGTAAATTGATGTCCAACAACATGCGACTGAAACTGTTGAAGCTATCTCAGAATTTTAGGGGTATTAATGAAGACAGCAAAAAACTCGGAAAACAGGTTTATAATGAAGTGTGCTAATTTCCTCGTTTCAAAACTTTGATGATGTGTTTGAAAAACTGCCAACCCGAAGCTACAAAGCTCTTCAAGAAAAGATAATAATATTAATAATAATAATAATCAATTTTTTCAAAAATAAAAACAAGTAATTACAGTAAATGAATACTAAAAAATATTCAGCATTTATGTCGCCATAGGAATCTTAAGTTATATCCAATTGATGTATTTCAAATTTTCATATTAGGGGAGAAAAAAAAGTGGACACTCGCCTTACGAAAGAAGAATAGATCGCATTGTATCTAATTGCATGGCACTCAAAGGTAAGTAAATTTTTAAGTGCAATTTACCCTTTTGTACTTTGGTTCTTAAAAACAGACACTGGAAAAATGAATATTCATTGCTTTTACAGTAAGTTAATAAACAAGCTGTATTCTAAATTAGATCAATGAACCTGTGGAGGGTTGTCTGTTCTAAATTAGACCAATAAATCTGCTGAGGTGAGTTCAATGAACTTCGCTTCACTAACACCACAAAGAACAGACAAATAAAAGAGATTGAACACACATTTGAATATCTTGAGTCGATCTATGGCGTTTGTTGTTTCTTTTCTTTTCTTTCTTTTTTCACCGCTTTCTTCCATCTCTCAAAAAATCTTTGTTCTTGTTTTTGCTGGATATTGAGCTGCTTAACGGTAATTTACTTCTACTTTTTCCGTAAGTTAAACTGAAATTCTTGTTTTCAGGTAATTTTCAACAATGATATAAGACGAACGGAGTGGAAACAAGATGATCTAAAGAAACAATTCCTCACGCGATGTACAACCTTCACCTATGATAATTCTGAGACGAGTGATACCTTACAACTTGTTATTTCTTAAACAATGCTCGACTCCTTGAGCCATCACAGCACGAAATCGAGAATTAACAGATCTTTGATAAACACGGAAAGTTCCGGAAAGTTGAAATAAGCCGGGGGGGACTGTTACGCCCTCAGTTTCATCAAGAGGAAATGTTCTATCATTAAATGCACTGCTCCATTAGTAGCACGTCGATGACAATCAGTTTAGCTATCGTCTGAAAAGAAACTACTTGAAATAATCAAATCCAGCATCCCTTTTCAACGGCCTTTTTTTTCTAGTTGGAGATGAAGTGTGGTCTTTTAACATTGGCTCGGCCTTAAGGCAGCTCTGAAAAATAAATAATCGCACCCGGGCGGTGCCGAATCACCATTTTTTGGCAAGCGTTTAAAAATGGAAATGGCTATATGAAATTAGCACTAAAATTAGTTTTTGTATCAACATATATTTGCTTTTGTTCAAATTTGGACGATATTGGTTTCTAAGGAAATAAAAACTAAATGCATTATGAATTGAGTTAAAAAAAAAAAAAACTGTCCAAATAACGAATTTACAAACGGCGCCCTGTAAATTGCGTAGATTATTAGTTCTTTTCAGATACACGACAGTTTTGTATTCACAAAATATTCTGAACCACTAACCAACTGCTATTTCTCGTAAAGGTCTCTTATCTCTCAGTATCTCACAAAGTCAAATTAAATTATGAGTCCATCAATATCAAAAGAACGAAAAATACTCTAGTGTCTGTTTGTGTCTTTGGTTAGAAAGCTGTCGATATTGTTTGTTTCATTAGCCCAGTAATGACATATTAGGTAAATTTTATTGTCAAGACTTGACGATTTTTGCTTATTTAATTTATTTGAGGGATATCATCTCTTTCGTTTGGGTAAGAAATCTTTTTCAGTCTGGCATCGAAGTTAGCACTCGATAAATAATTTGAATTTTATCAATCATTATGGAATACTGAACTTAGAGCGTGTTGAATCTCTCAGACGTGTGTATTGGACGTGAGAGTAAAATTACCTGCTTGGTGTGCGCCTCCATGCCAGTCAATGTTGAATTTAAATGTCTTTGGTAGCTAAATGCCAGCCTGTTTTTGAAGAAGTTGAAAAGGTTTCTACCACACTCTTTTAACAGTTTTTTCTTGACTTCGGAAAAATTATTAGCAAAAAGGTCCCCGACGATTTTAAAAGGCCATTCGTGAGTAGGAAACAATGCAGCTTCACCTCCCCCTCAATAAGAGAGTAAATATCTATTCCCACAGTTGTCTTTTCTCATTAGTTTACGCCCGCTGAATTAAGCGGGAACATCAGAACTGTTCTACTGACAAGAAGTAAGCAGCTTCGTATCTAACCAAGCTTTCTTTACCTCTTTTCAGCTTCCTTCTTTATTCCACGAACTCAAACTGATTATGTTCTTAAAAATACCAGCTTGGGTTACCAGTCTAAATCGTCTGGTTTCTAGGAGACTTAAATATAATTTTTCAAGCTTACGATTTAAATAGTTTTAACCGGTGAGAATTTTTATCTAAGATACCTGAAAACTGTTAAGACAAAGAGAGGGAACAAAGCGAGTTTCTCTTTTTATACCACTACAACAGACTGTGCGCCAACGCTTCAATTTTGTAAGAGAGAAGATACTGACATTGTTTAGATAATTCAGTGTTCATCGTCAACTCACTTACCGATCAGTGGTTGTAAAAAATTCCGTTTGAATCACTTTGTTATTTAGACTCCACAGAAATACAATGCAATTCTTTTCTTTTGTGTTCTTCTGGACAAGTTTGTCAACGGGGTTGAAAAGAAAAATCAGCTCTTCAGACAGTACCCGTAATTTTAACTTGCAGATGTGTGCTGACGGAGTACCATAAACAGATCGAACCAGCAGCTGCAAGATTCAATGCGTTTGATTAGACCTTAAAGATTTAACCTTTCCGACATGTAAGCCTGGGGTTTAACCAATAACTCTGGATAAGCACCGCATGCAAATATAGAAAAAAAACCTTCTAGAAATTTTTTTAAAACTTTTCTTTGTCGAAGACAGCGTTGCTTTTAAATGTCACATACTGAGGAAGAAAGAGGGGGTGTTAGGAACAGAATTTCACAATTTCACATTTTCTAACAGGTCGCCGACGCGTCGCACTACTTCATTAAGGTTTTCGAATGCTCGTCAAAACAATGCCTAAGAAAATAGTTTCCTAGAACAGAATGCATATATAAATGAAAAAACACTTTATTTGTTCGCATACACCTTTATCTACATGGAAGAAAAAATTGTTTCGTATCACTCCTCTTTTTTTACGTACAACTCTGACTGATATTCATGGTATAGCTAAAAACTACAGAAAATATTTCAAACACTACACATAACTGTAAATGAATTATCGTGAATAATTTTTAAAAATATTTATAGAAACTCACACTCAAACGAGAGAGGAAGTTACTCTCGACGAAAACAACCACCCTTCATTCGCTCTGACGAAGGGCTAACGCTCGCTAAACGTCAGCTTTGAAACTCTACACATCATCGTAAATGAATTATCGTGAATAATGTTTTAAAGATATTTATAGAAACTCACACTCAGACAAGAGGAAGTTATTCTGGAAGAAAAAAACCACCCTTCATTCGCTCTGACGAAGGGCTAACGCTCGCTAAACGTCAGCTTTGAAACTCTTTGCGGTGGCCAACTTACGTTATCAACTCAATTGATAATACTAAAATACCCTGTTATACTCTCCCACCGACGCAGCAACACCGTTTCTTTAAAAACTTACCCCTTTTATTCACCCCTGATAAAATTCGTCCCCCAGAAGAAACGAATCAATTACGGTAAACCCTTGTGAATCGCCCTGTTCATTCCTTTCCAATTTTGTTTTAAAGCAAAGGGATAAAATGCAAATTCCTACGTAGACTTAAATTAGCATGTTTCAAAACAAAAAATAAAAACATCATTGATATTCAGGACACGTTTATTTGCCCCCTTAAAAATGAAAAAATTAAAGCTCTTCAGACCACCGCCATAAGTTAGCTGGTTGTTAGCTCAGTGCTATCTGTTATCTCCGTTTCTTAATGACAACTGATATCCATCACGAGCGTAATGTCCAAACCTTAGATTCAATATATAATTTAACTATTAATTCATAAGACACGCGTCATCTTAAGATGAACGACATGGTAAAGATAATGCGGACGTAATGTTGTCTAATTTACATGGATCGTGTATCTCTCAAGAGAAAAAATTCGAAGCGAATCATAAATTCTGGCTAGGTCTCGCTTCATATCTCCGCGAAGTTCACTTTTTAAAAAATTCAAAAGGAAAAGAAAAACATTAGCAGGTTGATGAGATCTTCTTTTAAGGTGGCCATGTGAAAGAAAGTTTCCAAACGTGGTCAATCCATTTAAAATAATACCTCAAATCATAAACAATATTTCTTCTTTTATCCTGCTATAACCAACTCTCGCGAGCACCACCTACAATGATACCTTAATATATATAAAATTCTTTTTTTTCTGTTATTACAAACTCATCGATCTTTGAAGCTTTTCCTTAGGAAAATAACTTGATAAGAGCAAAAGGAAATTCTATCCATAAAAGCCAAAGTATTTTGCCAAAAGTGATAACAAAATAAATACCCAATTTAAATAACCAATTTTCATCACGGAAATTTCGGCAAGCCATTCATATTCGCCTTTCTGCCTTTCAGTAACTTATAATGAATGTAAGATTATAACTTTAGGACGTGTCACTTAGGCTTCAGAATTGTCTTTGGTTCTTTTGCAGACTACCCATAGACTAAAACAATCGGAAGAAGATTACAATTTTACTGAGAAAAACGACAAATGTAGACCTGCCCCTCATTTTGAGGTAGGATTGATTTCGGCAGGTTTTTCTCGAAACGTCAGAGGCGGAATCGAAGGACTTTGAAGAGAGTCGAGAAAAATAAATTTACTAACTGATTAGTTAATCTTGTGTGCGTCAATTCTTCATTAATCGATCGATAGCTTTGAAAATTATCTCTACATCGCCATAAGTCCTCCGCTGGTGGAATTATAATAAAACACATCCCAATGTAGGTAAACCTACATTGTATATGCCTCTAGGAGCAACGTCATTCCTCTGAGCACGTGTTGTTAGATTGAATAGTCATTCGGAAAGTAGCCATTAGCTCACAATGTTTGTGTAGTGCTGGTGTGCTGTCGGAGTATTTTGAACAGCTGAAGCAGCTGTATCCAGTCCTGAATAACTATTGAGAGACCATCACGTAAGTTAAGGCTTAGCTTTTGAAGCTATTACTCAATGATTACTACTTTCTTTTTCTTTTTCTTTTTTCAGTTGTCCGTATACTTTTCCTGCATCACGCCGTATACAAGAACTTAGTTAGCATCAATTCAATTCCTGGTAATTTGTTGGATACGTTGTTCATATGCAATGGATATATCTGCACTGACATCCTCGTCATCTGACAGTATGAACCAATAGTTTACCAATGTTACGCAACTCCTTTCAGATTCATTTAGAAAATTAAATTTGATTATATCACTGCTCTTATATCTGTCTGGTTTTTGGAAATAGGCCGGGCACCCGGATTTCAGCTGCTCTCACTATTTGCCAAGTTCGTGATCTGAGTTTCCTCCGAAGCCTGAATTCTATACATCTATCCATATTTATCTATGAAACCAGTTTCCTTAAGGACACTAAGAGCTATTTTCAAGTAGATCATATATTGGTCTTGAGCGTTTTAAAGAAATACATAAAACTTTTATAACCAATGTCGTTATCAGCGGAATTCTCTCTGCTGAACCTACTTCCACATTTCCCCCTAACTAATATGAAATGTAAAGTTCGCTTTCACCAATTTTTCTTCGAAGGAGATCGGTAAAACACGGTAGCAGTTTTCCGATCTATTCCGCGCTACGATGACTTTTCCTGCGATTACGCAATCATTTCAACTCATTAACATCGATTGAGAGCCGTATAGCCAAAATCAAAGTAAGTACCAGACAATAACTGATCAGGAAAAAAAAAAACTTTTAGGACGTAAATCTAAATTAAATGAATATTAAACTCATCAACGACTAAAAGCTTTACAACAACCGGTCGATAACAATCGTTTTAATGATCGTAAATTACAGACGTTGCTCCATAAGTTAGTTTACACGATAAATTATTTACATTAAGTTGTCGCGGCGTTTATTTCTGACTTTTTCTTCTGAAAAGAAATAATCATCGATTGTTAATAGATCTTTGCAAAGTAATGATATGATACAGATATAAAAACTCATGATCATAGTCAGACTTCGACTCCTTCTCAACGCACGTACTTCTGAAGAGCTGTACTTGTAGACTGCAGAAACAAGCTGGTATGTTACTGTTTGAAAAATTTTTAACATTTGTTAGTTGAGAGAAGTTTGCAAATTACATAAACAGTAGCCAACATTTGATATACATGATTTTCAGAGCTATATCGTTATTTTGCAATGGCAGAATTGCAAGGAAATTTATGAGAGATATGGTTGTATTTTGGAAACCAAGAAATATGGTATATTTTGAATCAGCAGAAGAAGAAGAGTGTGGAAGATTCCAAATCAGGAAAAATGAGGATACAGTTGCATACCTGTGATTTATGGGTCGATCCAAGAATCCTAGTTTTGGGAATTGCAAACTAAAAACCAAACAGCATTAACACCACCTAGATCGCAATAAATCGATCCAAAAAATTCAATGAAGAAATCAACTAACTTAAATCCTAGTACTTGAAATTTCCAAGTTTTTAAAGACTGGAAATTTTCCTTTGCCGAATATTGTCAAGTTATGTAATATTAGCTAAGAGTGAATATTTATACCTAGAGCCTGCCCTACCTGTGGTCGGAATGTCGCATCTGAACATCATTCGACGCTAGTCGGTATATAGAGTGGTTCTAAATTTCTTACGAGTTCGTAATATGTCACGGTTCTTCATATCCACTACTATAAGTTTTGCTTGTCTAGTGAAGGTCTCTAGAATACCTATTTATCTTATGAAGGCGTCAGCAGTCAGCAGCAGTCTCGATTTCAAATCTGTGAAAGTGCAGTTAAGGTTACATAAACGGAGACGGTATCGGTAATATTAACGCTAAGCTAACGATGACTGCACGATGACATTATCGATAGTTTTTCATCTCTGTTATTTCCCAGGTCTTAGATCATGAATAGGACATCGTTCATAATAAGTGTAGCAGCCCTCCAAATGGCTCTGTGCTTTGTTAATGTTCTCACCGAAGAACAGAAAGTAGTTTGCCAAAAATTCAGGTTTGAGATGGGAAAAAATGTTGTTGACGACCACGCCCTCGACGGCCATGTGATTGAGAGATACACAGTTAAGACAGCTGCACAATGTCACATGATGTGCAGAGACAACTGTTTATGTTTATCCATCAACTACCTCTCAAGTCTCCAAGAGAACAATTGCGAGTTGAATGACGCTGTGAAAAGAAAGAAACCAGAGGCGCTAAAATTCAAATCAGGAGCTCAGTACTACGATCTGGTTAGAATGCATTCAGTAGAGGTGAGAGGTTAAGTGAACTTTTTAATTAAAAAGACAAAAGACAAACAAACAAACAAACACTGAGAAAAGGGAGGAGGGTTAAGGTAAAATTTGAAGAACGCAACAGTCTTTCTACATTTAGGAAGTTACAAGTAAAAATGGGTCCATAAAGTTAATTACATTAAATAAATACCCTAGGCGCGTAAATTTGAGAATATACTGGGGAAACTACTGACGTGTAACTTTAAACTTAATTCAAAAACAGGGAGGCCGACCTTATGTAAAAGGAAAGGATGTGTGTATAAACAGATGTTGCCAGCCTAATCCTTGCTTTCAAGGAGCAGAGTGCGTGGAGAATTGTGATCCTGATGATGCCAGGTTTACGTGTAGCTGCTCCGCTCGTTATACTGGACAGCGGTGTGAACATAGATGCTATAAAAGTTGCAAGGATGCTAAAGAAAACGGCATATGGCAATCTGGCAGGTACCTCATATGTAATGGAGAGATCGAGCCATTTTACGTGTACTGCGAAATCAGCCCATCGTCCAGCTTCATATGGACTCTTTTACAATCCTTTGCTATCGATCGGCAGTTGCAGTTTAGTAGCCAACCGTTCACAAATAGCTTTCCGGTTCGTGACAATCTCCTAGAGATAGACTGGGGCCTGTACCGCTTATCCTTGGCCCGCATGAAGTATCTTGCCGAGCAGTCGACTCATCTCAGAGTAACGTGTAATTACAACACAGATGGTCTTCAGTATACGGACTATGCACAAGCGGAACTCGAACACCACAATTTATTTGCAACGTTCAACAACAAATGTAGAATTTATGAACACATCGTCATCCGAGGCAATGAATGTAGGAACTGCACCGCTCTGACCAATCAACCGAGTGACCACGCCTGGCACATCGATAGCTACTTAAGTTCAGCCAATGGATGCAATTTTGATGGAAGGCCAGGGATGGGAAAGAGCGAGCATAACTTTGGATGGTATGCTCATGGAAGAGTGAACACAGATCACCGATGCTCGTCATCTCCAATGTCGACAACTCAACACTGGTTTGGTATTTTTTATGTTCCGGGTATTAATCGTCCTCAAAGCTTTCCTGGTAAATAAAATCTTGATACTTTCCTCGATACCCTTCCATTTAATTTAGCGCTGTGAACTGGTATCGCACCATACCAGTTATTATTTTTTCTTCCTTTTCATCACCCTTTTGCTCGAAAATATACATTCTATAATTTCATGGAGATATTCCTTTTTCGGTCACTGACAGCAGAAGTGAAAGGTTTAAACAAAAAGACCCTTTGGCAGGGTTTAAGTGTCATCAATTTTCCA